CAAAATAAGAAGGGATGAAAATCTCTGTGATCATGGCAAACGAATAAACAGCCGAAAAGAGAAATTTGAATGTGTCTTTCACTGGGCTAACCTGTTTGAAAAATCAATGTTTTAAACATTCAAAATTACTATAAAAGTGTGTTGAAATTGAATAATGTTACCACAGACAGTTGATAGGCACAAGTGCATAAAACTAATCCACTAACGCCGAACTGTGAGAACAATGCAAAGGACAGGATTCTCTCCAATAGTTCCGAATACCTTTTCAAAAGAATAAATCATTTGTACTTGTTTTGAATCACATAAAAAAAAACCTTTTTGATACCTTATGATTAGTATATATTTCTGGCAAAGATTAACCAAAATTTTCCCTTGCCTTTGATATTCGTGTGGTTCGGAACAGTCTCTACCCAATGCATGAAGTTGTTCGCTTAAAACTTCAATATGACCGCCAAGAACGTGAAGTAAAGAGGCTCCATAAGTGTCAACAACGATATCAACAAAAACCAGAAGCAAATTTGAAATCGACTGAAATATAATGCCACCAATATAAATGCCACGCTGATGCAGAAATTCACTCGGATACAAGTGAGTTGATGACCACAATCTATCCGCCGGACTAGACATAATTACTTCAACAGCAACACAAATCCAAGATCCAATATAATTGGCGCAAAACAGTAAAAGCAATCGATCCGAGTGCACGAATTTTGGTTTGAATATTTTTTCATATTCATCGGCTGTGATCGTTGCATCCAATTCTTTCATCAAACGAAGTAATTGGACGAACGTTTTCTTTTTCGCCAAAACATTCAATCCCTTGACTACTGCCATGATAACCGTGCTTGTTATAATCAAATGATCAACAGCAGCATCAACCGAATCCACCCATAATACACAAATTAATTGAGATATTGGAAATCCAATGTTCACGAGTGTGGTGAAAATAACCACCCAAATGCTGTACAAAATCGAACCATCTTCTGGTGGCCACAATCCACATAACTTGAACACTCTTATGTGCCATTTCAAAACAAGTCGAGAATCCATCTTCCAAGAAAATTGACATTCAAATCACACAGTAGCTACTAGACTGCCGAAATCAGTGGAAAAATGGACTTTTATACGGAGAGATTGAGATCGACTTTGAAAAGACATATATAATTGCATGCATGTTCTGTACTACAGTCGAAAGCAATTAGGAAAAAATCAAAATATTTCATGAGTTAAATTAGAACAAACCACGAAAATGCATAAACAGTCGGTAAAATGTAAATGGAAAAATAAGAAAGAAAGTACAAGTCAATTTTAATGTATTCCTTGATTGAGTAGCTCTACTTTGGTATGACATCAATGAAGCCATGCATCTTTTATAAGGTTGAAATTACAGACAAAATTTACGTTTGTTTGAAAACATAATTTTAAAGCAGACTTTAACAAATTAAAAAAGATAAAAACAAATGAATATTGCAAATCGGAGGAATTTTTTTAAATACCCTACGAATTAGAACTTATTTTGTTACGAAGGTGTGCATACAAACCTCCCTTCCGATGAAAACTTAGTCAATTCCGTTATTTGTGTCAAATCAATACTTCGCCATCTCACATAAAAATTACCGTGACCTGACAAACGCTATTAAAGGATATAAGCTCAGTGAACTGTGTTTTGAACTTAAAGTTTATAATCAAAATTCACTTAACAAAAACACTAATAATAAAGACATTTTATTCCATATGCTATTCATATTCTTCTTTATTTATTTATTAAAGTATGACTTAATAGCAGTAAAAAAGAAGTCCATTTTTTAATGTCGACCAAAGTTGAGTGAAATTATTCCAGATATTTGTAGGTGTTATTTAGATACTTGTTCCGTTCCAAGTATTTCTTGTCGATGAGAATGTCGATACATATCTGTAAAAAACCAAAATGCATGAGTTAGATTTGTAAAAGAAATAGATTAAATGCATTAAACGTTTGCTATGTATGTACCTTGATGACAGAAACTTTAGGCTTGAATCGTGTCGAAAGTTGTGTGAGTACCTCGCTGACCAACCTTTGATGATCGAGAATTTTACGCATTTTCATAATACGTACAATAGCTGCCTGTATCAGAAGTTTTCGGTCTTCTTCAATGTGCTTATGCGTGGCTTCATCTTCGATCTTCAGTTCGATTTTAAGCGGGATGTTTATGTTGATTAAGCAGACTCTAACAAATTAAAAAAGTGAAATGTGGATTTTTCATTTTATTCTAACGAAAAACCAGTGCATATTTTATTGCAAATCGAAGAAGCTTCTGACCCATTTTGTTTTCTCTTGTTATGAGCTCGTATTGAGTGAGAAATGAATTTCAGTGTTTAATATTACTTAGTTTTAGTCTCAATGGTAATCACATAGTTCGCATTCAAATGAAAGTTGAAATGAGGAATGATATCCAATATAGCAGCTTCATTTCTTTTTTTAACATTTTATGTATTTCAGTGTACAATTATAAATAAAGTGTTCGTTGCATCATTGAATTAATTATATTATTTTTAGAAGATTTTCCATTTTAGTGATATAACCTTTCACATAATATAATAATGAAATATTCATTTCTTCATCATTATTTCTGTGTGTTTTTCAACATAGCAAATATCGAATAGGCCGTCTTCAAAATCTAAAAAAATCATTTTATCATCAAAATTACAAGAAATATTGTTCAAGATAAAATTACCTTAAGCATAGTAATGAGGTTCAGCATGAAAACGCTGGCCGCATAAATCGAAATCGGATTTAACATTCGTTCGACGAAAATGCGCATGGATCGTTTGTATTTTTCCGTGGCACATATCCAATTTGACTGAAATATATCATAAGAAAGTTTTTCACTTTTGAAATACACCGCCGAACCAAAATAAGAAGGGATGAAAATCTCTGTGATCATGGCAAACGAATAAACAGCCGAAAAAAGTAATTTGAATGTATCTTCCATTGGATTAACCTGAAAACAACGATTTCTTATTACGAATGTAGCCATTTATCCAAATATTTTGGATAAAAAAAAAAATATTTGGAAAAAATTACCATAGAAAGTTGATAGGCACACGTACACAAAACCAATCCACTTACGCCAAATTGTGAAAACAACGCAAAAGACAGGATTTTCTCCAATAGTTCCGAATACCTTTTCAAAGCAATCAGACATTTATTTATTTGCAATTCTATAAACAATTGTTATTAATAAATTCACTTTGCAAACCTTGTGATCAGTATAAATTTCTTACAAAGATTAAACAAGTTTTTTTCTTGATTTCGATATTCGTGAGCTTCGGAACATTCTTTGGCCAGTGCTCGAAGGTTTTTACTTAAAACATCGATATGACCACCGAGAACGTGAAGTAATGTCGCTGGATACGTATCAACAGCAATATCGACAAATACCAAACAAAAATTTGAAATTGACTGAAATACAATGCCACCGATATAAATGCCATGCTGATGCAGAAATTCACTCGGATACAAGTGCGTTGAAGACCACAATCGATCCGCCGGACTAGATATAATTACTTGAGCAGCAACACAAATCCAAGATCCAATATAATTGACGCAAAATAGTAAAAGCAATCGATCCGAGTGCACGAATTTCTGTTTAAAAATTGTTTCATATTCTTCAGCTGTGACCGTTGCATCCAATTCAGTCATCAAACGAAGTAACTGAACAAACGTCTTCTTTTTCGCCAGCACATTCAATCCTTTGACAGCTGCCATAGAGATGCTACTTGTTATAATTAAATGATTAACAGCAACGTCAACTGACTCCACCCATAATACACAAATTAATTGAGATATTGGGAACCCGATGCTAACGAATGCATTGAAAATAATCACCCAAATGTTGTACAAAGTTGAACCATTTTCTGGTGGCCACAATCCACATAACTTGAACACTTGTATGTGCCATTTCAAAACAAGCGGAGAGTCCATCTTCAAAAACATCAGTTACGAGATACTCAAGAAGATTCACATTCAAACCACAAATTCTACCCGACTGACAAAATTCATAGAAAAACGGAATTTTATAGGTACATACAGACGGAAACTTTTCAAAGTCGTACAAAAGATTGTTTCATCGAAAAAGAGAATATTTAATTACGTGCATGTTCTTCAATAAGAAGAATTTTTTTAAATCAAATAATCATTCAATTTTGCTTGCGTTTGTTGCGTCTCTTTCAAAACTTTTGAAGGCACGACCAATAAAGCAAATGTCTAGGATCAAAGAAAACGTTCATTTATTATTTACGAAATAACTAGACTCGTTGTTATCAATGCACAATCCACAATGTGAATGGAGCCAAAAGTATCTGATTATCTGGAACATTGTGTTGTATTGTCGTTTCTCAAAATATTCGTCTGCTTAGGAAAATCGAATAAAAATGCATATAACCAATTTATTTGAATGCTTTTCTTTATTGAAATATATAATGAATGTAAAGTAGTAATAAATCTTTCTGGAATTTAAGCATTTCCTTAAAAAAAACAATTGTTTCGAGATGTTCGCATCCCATATAATTCATTTGCGGAGTAATTTTGACGATGGCGGGACTGTGTGAAGTTCAGCGGAGATAGTATAGAAGCGCTGTGTGTTCAAGCGTAACATCACTTCTCTTCTTTCGCAGATGATTAGTAACTTAGCTGTGTGTCACGTCTTCTAAGATGTTCGTTTGAACAAAATAAATCTATAAACAGCAAAGAATGCTGTTGAACTCGTACAAACAGCGTTTGCATGCTATCTCCGCCAAACTCCGCACAGACCCGCCATCGGAAAAATTACTCCGCAAATGAGCTACATGGGAACAGAGAGAAAGAATCATAATTATTGTTCAACTCAACCGAAAAAAATAATTGCAAACTAAAGTCTATGTCGGTGAAAATCAATTTTCATATATAATCCTACATAAATTTGTCTCTAGAGCTCTTTGATTTCAATTATTAATTTCTCATTCATTTTTGTTATTATGTGTTTTGCGTTGAGTTTTTTTGGAAAACGACTCTCTATATTTACTTTATTTAATATGAATTGTTTGTTTTTACAGTAATTTTAACTTCATATAATAACCACAATACTCGTACTCGTACCGGCCATCGTCGAATAATAATTATCAACCTATCGCGGATGAAACTAGCTCAGCTACTTCGGAACTCGTTGATCGAACTGTCAATTGCATTGCTACACCATCCGATAAGGCTAATTTTGCGCGCAGCAATATCTCGTGTCCACCGCGGAAGATACCTGAAATGAAATATTTTCGAAACGATCGTTAGTTGTCATTCAATTTACTTGTCGAACAAACATTTTAACGAAATAGAAAATAGAAAAATCGATTCGATAACGTTAAACAAGAATGAGAAATGACATATCAGTTGTCTGCAACAGTCTCGTTTCATTGCATACCATAGAGAGAAAGGGCGCACCGATTCAATTGGAATGTTGTTTTCTGTCGAACCATTATATGCTCACTCACATATTGTCGATGGGAAAACGAACATTACTGTTATCTCTATTAAGTGTGTGCAAAATAAATACGTCTTCGTTAAATACTCGTTCAATGTAGGTATTAAATTTCGTTGCTTTCGTTAACCGAACAGCCGAGGCGAAAGAAATACATAAAAAATCGACAGAGACGCGTAATCGAAGTTGCAAACAAAACGAGTTCAAAAGAAATCAATGACAATAGGAATACACCGGGTATTGGATTTCATACGGTGTCAATGCATGCGACGAAATCAGACACTTTTCATTTGAGGAAGAGAATTTGAAAAAAGGAGTTTCATAATCCACCGTCGAAATTGGTCCGCACATAACAATGCGCAAAAAACGAGATCGAAATCAAAGATATGTCATTAAAGCATACGATGCTCACGATTAAATTGCATCGCCCCATTTATTCGGTTGCGAAACGCTCTTGATGAGAAAATATTCACTCGAATTCAAATCGAATGATTTATATGGAAATGTACTTCTGGGTGAAATGCCTGATTTGAAATTTTCGATCGATCACTTTCCCAAATCACATGTCATAAAACAAATGAAATGGGAAACGGTACAAATTGTAATTCATACCATTCAAGCATGTCAAAGATGATCGATACACACTCAAAATGCACCGTTTTGAATTCATCTATGTAGTATTTCGAGTTTGTATTGCATGTTATTGGTTGTGTCTTTGAATTTGAATTAAATGAAATTAAATGGACTCTATAATTATCGTCAGTGGCATTCACAAATTTACGCTGTATTTCCTTCTTTTCTGCAACTTCTTCAGCAATCAATTTATACACCATCGTCTATAACATTTTCTCCTCGTCGTAGAGACAGGCGGTGAGTGTGAATGAATAGCACCGCATTCACGCGTCGTCAAAAAAGGTATGCAGTGAAGAGCATTGCGACGATACAATGTAATTGGTGATTAGTGTTATACCGCACCGCACGTTCATGGATTTAAAAGCGAGCAATAAATTTTCTCCAATAATACGATGCCAAGCGAATGCACAGTGGTCCGATGTGAGTGCATGGGTGTGTGTGTGTGTGTGTGTGCATGTGAAATATTGAATGTGCATGAAAATGTGCACTTGCATTTCGATCGACTTGGTTTCATTGCAAAACTAAGTAGAAATTATGTTGTACAAATTAGTCTGTGTCATTGAAAGCTGACAACGATAATTATTTATGTAATGCGCACCAACGTTTTTTCCCTCCTTTGTTTCGCGCGCTATAAACTATATTTGCTTTGGTTATCGACGGTGCATTAAATTGTGCACAGCTATTTACCGTACGCTCGATGCATCAGCAGATAAAATTCCATCGAGAGATTTTGTCGATTACCGCTAAGCGGAAAAGTTTGAACTTAATAAATAATCCAGGTGAACATTTCGACGTCTAAATTTCCACAAAAAACATGAAGATAAACGCTTCATTTGCCCCGATAGTATTTAAAATTGATTGAATCGAGAGCATGGAAAGAGGCGAATCTGATATTGATGTTTGCCGCAAGGCATTTCTCAACTTGATAAACGACGTGGAATTTGAAAAAAAAAACACACCATGAACTCTACAGAGAAATGGCCGTATTGATGAATGAACGTTTGACATCCTACAATTAAAATCAATTCGAAATTAGCTGAATGCGTCAAACGATATCAGTTGATTGCATCTATTCGACTTTCTTTTACCGTTTTTCGGTCATTTCAAACACTTTTCCTATTTTGGTCAATTGCTGGTTAGCTGATTCATTTTAAAAGTGAACCAATCGATTCGACTTGAACATAATGGCACTTGATATCGATTGTATGGTTTGATTTTAATCACGTAAAGGGCCTTTCATTCAGACCATAGACAAAAGAGATTTCGAACAACATTTTTTTTTCTCAAATCACGACCGAGATACTTGATACACGTTTCACATGTGTGATGGTATTGTTAATGATCTAATTGCATTAAATGTCAATATCACAACAAAGTAATGACATCGCATCGCCTTTACGTACATAATGAATCTCTCAAGCCCATGATAATGATATTTATTGGTTGCACATTGAACACAGCGTGAATAAAAGAAAGAGAAAAATACACGAAAGAAGAAGCAAGAGAGCGAGCTAGCAAGAGAGACAGAGAGAAGGTGAAAAACATGAACGAAAACAAGCAAATCACTTTGACACATTCACACAGCCATACGAGACACACAACACATGTTGGTTAAGACATCGCTAACTGCACGTTGATGTTACTCTTTGGTTTTCATGTTATTGCTTTGCCTTCTTGTTGTTGTACACGCTTGCCCAATATCATTCGCATCATTTATACACGAACAAATAAAAAGTGTTCGGAATATCGTTTTTTATGCATGTAGAAAGTGATGTCTTCTTTCGTTCGTATCAAGCACTAGAGAGACACTATACTAAATAGAAAATGTGTGCAACATGATACTCAACAAATTGCCATCGAACTCGTTTGATTATTATTCTGTCTTCACGTTTGAATATTGCACACACATTATTTGTTTTTTTTTTTCTTTCCTCACAAAGGCTCTCGATATTTATGGTTGCAATCACAGCGGAAAATTTATTGATATTAAATTGAGTGTGTGTGAGATTGGCGATAACTTTCATTGCAGTTTATGGCTTCATTATTGTTATGGGCCATTTTAAAATTGCCAACAATAATAAAATGTGATTATTTGCGGCCCGCAAGCAAATTACATTTTATCAGTTCAATATCACATTTATCATTGTTGATGATAGATGCTTTGTGTTTGGTGTGTTTTTTTCCTCTTGTTTACTTACCGGAACTGAGCAGCGTATGTGTATGAACACCTTGGTTGACCTTTCCGGAACCGGTGTCAGCAGCCAGACCAAGGAATTTTTGTATCGAATTTACGGCATCTTGTAATGTATTCACAGCAGACAATTCATAAGTGTCTTCAAGTTCAACCCACGCTGTAAATTTACAATAAAAGACATGATTTTGATTAAGTATTTTTCCGCTTCAAATTTTAACACGTTTTTTTCTCACTAAAACTTACCATCTGTTTCGGCCGAACTCCAAGCATTTGAAAAGTTACTCTTCGTAATTTTCTGTACTTGATCGGCCACAGAGATTTCCAGATCTTCCAGCATGTACTCGTCATCGTATCCATCGTCCGAATCTGGTTCGCCCGTTTGTGGATCGCAATCTTTTACAATAAACTTCAGTGTTGCACCAAATGTGGCCGCTGAATTGGATACATCTTGTGGAAATTCGACAATCACATAAGTCGAACCGGTTTCATTGTACGGTAATTTAGCGCATGGAATAACCGCCCGCATGATAAAACCTTCCGGCGCCACTAATTCAACACGAACATTCTCAAGCAATTGATCGGACAATGTGTTGACACAATCGAATTGAAATACCATATGATTGTTGAAACAGTGTTTAACACATTGAACGGTGTATTCGGTTTCATTTTCGGTCAATTGTACGGATGCTGATGATTTATGTAACGGTCCCAATCGTTGAATGCCCGGAATTTGTGATAGACGTTCGGCATTTGCTTCTTCACGTGTTATTTTCGGTGCTTTTGGAATTGTATTGGTTATAATCATAGCATCATTTTGAACTTCTTCTTTAACTGGAGCACTAATTGGTACCGATGACAAATCAAATGTTTCAGTACACGGTGTTTGCAGATAATCACGCAATGCTTTCTCAAGCAATGGAATCGATAGAGCCGGCTTTTCGGTGATGTAAACTTTATTAAGATCGGCGTTACCACTGCTCAAAATTGTATAATAGTATGTAGCACGGTCCCGAACCTCATCGTCTGTGTCCATTTGACAGCGGCTCAACAATACCAAAATGTTCGGCAATAGATTCGGGCATACAGCGCCAAATTGAGCCAATGCTGAAACGGCCGCCGCACGAATTGTTGCATTTTCTAAAATAACACGATTATAAATGAATCGAATGTATTTCGATGGTTTTGAGAATGGTCCCTCTTTGCCCAGCAAATGTAAAATGCGTACGGCCAATGATGTGTGCTCACAATCTTCAATGAATTCGCATAAATGCGATAGGCCAACTTCTCTGGCATCATCATTCTCTTCGATAATCGTAATCATGGTGTCGACAATTGATGTTTTATAATCTAAACCGCCCTCTTCGCGTAACATTTGACTTAAGAAATTCATCAAAATCGAATGCTTACGTGGAAATTTAAAGCATAGTGCTCGAATTGCTTGCACAATGACAATTTTAAATTCGTCTGAAATTTCAGCAACAAATGTGGCAATCTGTTTCATAAGACGTTCAACGGAACTTTCGGCACCGGTTTTCAACAATGTTGTTATAGCCAAAGTGGCCACTGAACGATTTGAATCGGTGATCAAACCTTCCAAATCCAAATTACATGTTGTTATCGCAACTGGATGTACCATAGCCACTTTGTTCATTGTTCGTACGGCCGCAAAACGCAGTGTTGCCTTTGGTGAACTGCAAAACAATTGCAAAATACTGGTGGCTTGTCCCAATTCACGTGTTGTGGTTCGTTTTAGATTGACAACTGCATGGGCCGCTTCGTAAACGACCATTTCACTCTTTTCACGCAAAGATTTCTCAATGAATTCCATGAGGGCATTTTCCGAATTGCCGCCGGCATTATCATCATCTTCGATCAATCTGCATGCAATTCGAATTAGCATGCATAGCGCGTATGGACTTTTCAGATTTTGACGTGTCAATTTGTTAACCAATTTTGAAACAGCCAATCGATCCGTTTTACGAATGCGATAAAGAAGACCAAGGGCATGATATTGCACCATTATGTTATCGCTGTTCAATGCTTCTTGAGCTTCGTTTGCCCAACGTTTTACAACGTCAGCTGATGTATTTGACAAATGCACTGAACTCACTAAGGCCGCACACGATACCGATTCATTCTTATCCACGATACACTGTTTCATGTATCTTTCGACCGCCTGCAACATTGTATTATCGGTGATACTGCACAATGCACGAATGGCCGATGCACGATACAAATATTCTTTGCCTGCGAAAATTGAAAAAAACAAAAAAAGTTTTATGCTTGTCATTGGTAGAAAAATGATGGAATACCTGTCATGTCTTTAGTTAACGAACTGGTCACGATAATAACATCATCGGCAATTGAGCTAAGGTCTTTGATGCCCAAATAGACCATGCGACGCAAAACTACATCTTTTGATTGGAATAGTTTTGTCATTGCAAAGAAACAATCGGTCGCTTCGCGCGCTGCCAACACCTCACCCTTTTTAGAAGAAAGTTAAGTTTAAAGAATATTCACACCTTGAACTTTGTTGCTGAATGTGAAATAAACAAACCTGATTTATTAAATAGAGAATTTTGGTTAAGATGTGTGTGCATTTTCTAGCATTGACTGGAGTCTCGTTGAACGTCCGAGTCTCTTGCAATACAGATGTTTTGTCGATGTTTTGAAACGGATTGCCACTTCCTAATTTTGAATGAAAACATGAACATTTTAATATTTTTATCACACTTTATTCAATTATGGTATGACTTTTTTTGTGAAAAAACAATAAATTCTAACTGAACAGAGTCAACATTTGTTAAATATCAAAATTTATTACGAAATGCCAACAAGTACAACTCACCATCTTCTTCCTCTTTCTTATCACGTTTAAACGAACTCATTCTTTATCGCTTTTAAATTAATTGATCGTGTCAATTCTAAGTTTTCGGTTAAAATAATATTTATATTGAATATGATTTGATTGAAATAAAAATTAAAAGAAAACAGAATTGACTACGACGATGGCAAATGTATGTGAATGAGAGAAGTTGACAGACGAATATTTTTTAACACGTCACCTGAGCGCCGCCACCATACATTATACTCAAACGCGTACACACAGTCAACGTCAACAACAATAATGTTTCCCCTATAACATCATTTCGAATGATAAATACTTTCGGTTTATTTATTGATATTTATGTTTTATCTTTTTTACATGCTTGATTGCGGTAATTTCAATTTTTTAAGTTAAAATTGAAGCAATTTCATTTTTCGGCATTGAATTTGTATTTGTTCACATTTCCAATATAGTCAAAACATTGCATGAAAGGCAGTATAGTGTTACATGGGTTCATGTCAAACGAGTGATCTTCAGCGAAATTCCACCGTGTGGCGCTGGCGATATTTAAGGGAATTCCTACTATCAATGCTTCTAATTTGATTCAAAAAGCTGCATTTACACTATATTTAGCTCCAATAATAAATAAATATGTTTTTTATCCTTTCAAATGTATAAATGAAAATGATAAAATAAAATGTGTGAGTTTTTATGTAAATTAAACATAAAGTCGACAATAGTAAATTGAATTTTATGATATTCCCAGTTCTATGTTAATTTCCCAGGACGATTAATGGTTAACCTATGTTATCTTAATACTTTCCTTATTTAAATCATCGCACAATATGATGCGGATCTAATGCGGACACAGTAAGTCAGAGAGAGGGAGAGCGAGTGAGAAAAACGAAACCTCCTTCGTCATTTCTTAAAACCCTCACTCAAGCACATTGCATTGCATTGAAAGCCGCTGTTTGACTTCATCATTTCCGTACGGCGTTTCTACACGAGATGAACGTGTGTACCACCACAATTCGGTTCGTTTGCGCAATGCATGGCTTTAAACTGTTGTGTGTCGTCATCACAAAAGCTGAATGAAATTTTTTTTTCCCAATATGACGAACACGTCCAAATACACCAACACTCATACGCAAACGCACACAAACACACGCAGTTGCACACCGACGCTGTAGTCAGAAGAAAAATAAATCGCCTGCGATTATGGTTGAATGTGTTAGAAACAAGGATGTATTGGAGTTTTTCATTTCTCCAATATAGAGTGGCACAGAGCCACGGGTAGAATGGGAGAGAAAGTTAGAAAAGGCGCGCAACAACATACACAATGGCAAGAGCAAGACCATCACATCGACATCGCACATGCATCGTGGCATTTGGAAAAAGAGAGGGCGACAAATATACACATATCTTTATATGTATGTAGAATAACTGTGAAAATGAAAATGGATGTGGGATTTTCTTTCCCTATAAAAGTTGCTACAACATCGTCGCTTTCGATTATTGTGTATCAATAAAATAATTCGGGCAGTTGTGTTTTTGTGTGAATCGCGGAAAATACTTGTGATTTTCATCAACGACCAAACTCGATCTCTTTTAAGAGACTACCAATAACAACCACCAAATAAAAACAAACGCCAACGTTCAACATTTACATATTTGTTAAATGGTGTTTTTTCTATGTTTTTCCCTTCATTGGTTAAGCAATAATTTAAGTTTACGATTTAAACAAAAATTGTGTTCAAATTAAAAGCGCAGTGAAAAGAGCCACTACAAACACAAAATAAAAGAAAGAAATTATAAATCAAATACACATACTTACACGATTTTTCATCGTATTTTCTTTTTTTCTTTCATTTCGATTTTAAAAAAATCCCATTTCATTTCATCGTGTGATATTATACATACTTGACACGTTCTCATGCATTTTTAAATGAACAAAGCAAAAGCAGAAGAGAAAAAAGCAAAATTGTGTGTGAGAATACACTGGGAACATTTTGTTGTGAATGCCAATAACGCAAATGGCTATATCAATCGTTAGAAACGAATGCAAAATACACATCGAAATACGACATATTTGCTCGTAGCCTGACACATGGTCGAAAGATACATTGTGATTTACTAGTTGTTTTGATTAAATTTAAATTAACAATATAAAATACAAAAAAGTGCAAATATTCGGCATTTATATTCGAAAAGCCAAGCATAAAATTTAATCGCAGCCGAGGAGGCAATATTCAGAATAGAAATAAAAAACAATAGAACGAAGATAAACAAAATCCAATTGCGTTCCGTGTATATGTGTGCAAATTGAATAACGTATTATAGCTGCAGAATAAATATGCCGATAGAATATTGCTTTTCCAAATAAAATTGAATGTCAAAGGACAAAAAAGCGAGCAAATCAAAATAAAAGAATTTTCATGCAACAAATAAAAAAAAGTGTAACAAACGACGGGTTGAACAATCACAATCATATGCAATGGCATTGCGGGAATGAAAAACGAATGGCAGTGGTTAAAAGCAATTGAGAGAAAACGCATGGCGCATACGACGAACAAACATTGTATAAATCACATCATAAGCTGCAGGCGGAAAAGCACAATTTAATCAGCGAAACAATTTTCATCACATTTTGCATTGTATTTTCACTCTGTCCGCCCTCTTTGTGTATGAGCGTTCGCATTGTTGATGTTGAAATTCATTTTTGTTGTTTAATTGATAAAAAAGCAACACCTTCAGGCGACTTCATTGCATCGGTCGATTCTGGTTGATCGGTGGTGAAACACACATATCGAATATAAACGGAGCAAGAAAAAAAAACGAGTCAACGGGAAAATCCAATAAGTTGTGTTTTATTCTGTACGAACATACACAGCGCGTACAAGAAGACGGGGAGAGAAAGAGAACAAAGCCACACGATAGATATACGCAACCTACACATTTTCATATCCACTGAAGCATATAATATCCGAGAAAAGCCGTCGCTTTATTTGTGTCATATTTGCTTTTGTTTCAACATCAACCAACGCATTTCGACTCAGGCAATTTACCCGAAAAATCTATTTGGATACATACAAACAAGTCTGTCTCTCTCTCATCGACCACACGCGTACGACTACAAGTTGGTGCTGGGTGCTACCGTGTTACTATTACGACTCCTGTTAATGTTGAAAATTGTGTACTGACCTACACACATTATCTGAATATTGCCCGAAAGCATTAGTGCCATTTACCGTTTGGTGAAATTTGTTTTAAAATTTCCATGGGGCGGAGGACGATTGTGGTGCAATCGGTTTTTTTGGTTAACACTGTCTCTCTCGATATATCCCATAACCATCTGATTCATTAAATGTGTACACGTTATCTTGACAACGCACACACGTTATCGATATATACATACATACCAAATAACTTTACCACTTTTTGCCACAATAAAACCCAATAATAATAACAATAAACGATCGACTGTGCCGCTGCTGCTGCTCTGTTTTCGACGAACACACAGCACCGAGAATAGCGAGCGTGAATTTTTTGAACGTGCTAAACCAATGAATATTATCGAATAAATTGTAATTGCTTGTTAAATGGCTTGTTGACAATGAATTCATAACTATTGTTCGGTTTACATAATAAAAGAATACATACACACAGACATACAAAGTAAATGCAAATAAACTGCAAATTAAACTGAATATTCAATAGTGCACAGATTGGATTGCCGCTGCTATCGAACAAAATAAACATTAAATACTTTATATTGGACGTAGAATTTAGAAAATTAAATTAAGTACACACAAAATCAAAATAAAAATCTACTAAAATGCCAGAACAAAGCAACGATTATCGAGTTGTGGTCTTCGGCGCAGGTAATTTATTCCATTTATTTCTTTCCTCTTTAAATAACTTGATTTAACACCTCTTTAAATAACTTAATAATAAAAAAAACTCGATAAAAATGGAGTCATTCCAAATTGGGCAATTTATAAATACCTTTTTATTTATTTGGAAATCGATGAAATTTTGAGTCACTGAACCATTTCTTTTTGGGTTGTTTTGATATTTATTTTAATGGGCAATCGTTTAATTTTAACAACGACGGAATAAAAGAGTATTTTTATGGTGATATTTTTGATTGAAGTCTGGGGAACCTTTTTGCCAATCTCGTGCAGAGTTGTCAACGTATTGTTCCACAAAAATAAAATTCTCAAGTTGGTACGAAGTGTTACATGAAAAGGACATATTTTTTAAAATTTCGAAAAAATTCAAATATCGAATTCTAAATAAAGATGCAAACGTACACGTTCGTAGAAAAACTATACGTTCGTGATTCGCATTCGTTCGTTCGTTCGTATTTGCTAATGGAGGTTGACATTTGTTCGTAGAAAAATTTTCCGGTCCAAGGAATTTACGGACTAACACGAATATGGAAATTCGCATACATTTTCAATTCTCAACTTATGATTTGCTCGAAATATCTGTATGTATTGACTCTTTGGATGAATTGAAGTATAATTTTCGAATGAACCACTCATATGTTGTAAAAATTCAAAAAAAAATCGTGGTTAAGAGCTTCTGGTTCTATTTACAGCTATGAATTTAGATACACATGTGATGTGTTTTAATCGTTAATATTTGTCATTAGGTTTTTTTTAATTGAAAAGAGAATTACTTTCATTCCGTTGGAACAATGGTTCAATTCATTCAAACTAAGCCAACATTTTGGTTTGTTTACAGCTTTGCTCTCGAATATTCAAAGAATGAACGAAAGGAAATTGGGTGCTAAATGCGACATTATAAAAAGCTTATTGCTATACAAATATACAGGGTGTCTCAAATAATAGGGCCGTTCTAAAAATTTTAAAATTTCAAAAAACCCTTTGGGGGGTATGTTGGGGGTAAAAAATAGAAAATTTCTATCGGAGCAGAATTTTGAATTTTTCCCCAGAGGGCGCAGGGGGGGTCGATTTTCCCTAAAAATGAGTATCTTGCCAAATCGATCAAAATAAAATGAAAAATAAGTTTGAATATTTATCCATCTATGGTTGCAATGTGTTCTAGGGATCTCCCTCTACAAGATAGACCCACTTGTAGGTCGATCAAAATGCAAGGGGGGAGGGGGAGGTGTCATGAACAATAATTTCTTTCTTCTTCATTTATTTCAAAATTGCGATATGAAAATCAATTTTTTTTTCTTCTATCATATTGCTAGAGTCCATCCCTACAAAAAAAATAGTTTTAAAAAAAAATCATTTTGATTTGAGCCGGCCCGAGGCCGATTTTCTGGCTATCATGTCGATTTTGACCCTATTTTTTCATATTTTTGAAATTTTTGTATGAAAGTATGACAGACTACCCCTATTTTTCTTGTTTTTATCGTGTTCTACGCAAAATTTCCCATAACATAGACCAGTTTAAACATCCCAAAATTTTTTTTTCGACGACAAGAGGCCCATCGGATGATCGTCGGATCGATTTTTTCACACTTCGCCCGATATTCTGCGATGTTTTCGAAAATTATTTCAACTTCTTTCATCTTTTTTGCTTGCTTCGTGTTGCTCGAATCTTTCTCTACAAGAACCATTAGCTTTTGGATAATTTCAATTTGATTCCGGCCGGCCTGGGGTCGATTCTTTGGCCGCCAAGCCGATTTTCCCCCTTTTTGTACGGCATTTCGCAATTTTTTCAAAAATTATTTCAATTGTTCGTGGTTTTCTTGCTTCCATCGTATTGCTAGAGTCCATCTCTACAAAATAAAATAGTTTTTAGAAAAATTCATTTTGATTCCGGCCGGCCTGGGGTCGATTTTTGACCCTATTTTTTCATATTTTTGAAGTTTTTGTATGAAAGTATCACTGAATAGCCCTATTTTTCTTGCCTTTATCGTATTCTACGCAAAATTTCCCATAAGATAGGCCAGTTTGAACATCCCAAAAAAAGCTTTTAGACGGCCGGAGGCTCATCGGTGGGCCGTCGGGTCGATTTTTTCACATTTCTTCCGATATTCTGCGATTTTTACGAAAATTATTCAAATTGTCTACGGCTTTTTTGCTTCCTTTGTGTTCCTAGAGTGTTTCTCTGCAAATAATAACAGTGTTTGGATAACTTCATTTTGGCTTCGGCCGGCCTAGGGCGTCTTTTTGGCCATCAAGTCGTTTTTAACCCAAAAATCGAATTGTCGGTACGGTGGCTCAAAATTTGGTCGTGAATTGATTTGAAAATTATTCTGTGTCATGAAGATGGAATCTACGAACACAAATAAGTAAAAAAACACACCATTATTTCAAATTCAATCTCGAAATATCGGACGAAATGTAGAAAAATCGCCTTGGCACCAATAAGTCGGCCCGCTTTGGCCTGAATCCAAATAAAATGTTCTAAAAACTATTTTCCATTGTAGAGATTGACTCAAGGAATACGATAGAAGCAAAAATCAATAGGTAGTTGGAATTTTTCAGAACAATTTTCTGAAAAAAATCCGAAATGCTGTAAAAAGGATAAAAGTGTAATTGGCGGCCAAAAAATTGACCCTAGGTCGGCCCAAATCAAAATAAAATAATCCAAACACTGTTATTATTTGCAGAGAAACACTCTAGGAACACAAAGGAAGCAAAAAAGCCGTAGACAATTTGAATAATTTTCGAAAAAATCGCAGAATATCGGGCGAAGTGTGAAAAAATCGATCCGACGACCATCCGATGGGCCTCTTGTCGTCGAAAAAATTTTTTTGGGATGTTTAAACTGGTCTATGTTATGGGAAATTTTGCGTAGAACACGATAAAAACAAGAAAAATAGGGGTAGTCTGTCATACTTTCATACAAAAATTTCAAAAATATGAAAAAATAGGGTCAAAATCAACATGATAGCCAGAAAATCGGCCTCGGGCCGGCTCAAATCAAAATGATTTTTTTTAAAAACTATTTTTTTTTGTAGGGATGGACTCTAGCAATATGATAGAAGAAAAAAAAATTGATTTTCATATCGCAATTTTGAAATAAATGAAGAAGAAAAAAATTATTGTTCATGACACCTCCCCCTCCCCCCTTGCATTTTGATCGACCTACAAGTGGGTCTATCTTGTAGAGGGAGATCCCTAGAACACATTGCAACCATAGATGGATAAATATTCAAACTTATTTTTCATTTTATTTTGATCGATTTGGCAAGATACTCATTTTTAGGGAAAATCGACCCCCCCTGCGCCCTCTGGGGAAAAATTCAAAATTCTGCTCCGATAGAAATTTTCTATTTTTTACCTACAACATACCCCCCAAAGGGTTTTTTGAAATTTTAAAATTTTTAGAACGGCCCTATTATTTGAGACACCCTGTATATAATTTTTTTTCTCACGTATTATATATATCTATATATTTTTCCCCAATGATTTGCCCAATTCGCAACAAATTTTAATGACAAGCATATTGCTTATGTGCTTTTCTTTATTACATTATTCATAGAACAATAAATATTTTAATAACATGCCACAGTAGCAACGATTTTGCGCATAATATAATGATTAATCGTAACAATATAGATGTATGTTGAGCGAAAGAGTGAGAGTGAAAGTTGATATTTGAGGACCGTGAAACATAAACATGTGAAGAAAAGAACAATGCACAACGCCAACCAACAAAATAAATAACTAATGACTACTTCCAAAAACTTATTTTTAGATTTTCTGGATAGACTATTCTATTTTCAGTGTTAGCACGTCACAGACACATTCACGTTCGTTGATTGACATTCTTTGTTCGTTGACACATGAGTGGTGAAAAACCGTTCGTTGTGTATGTGACACGTTTTGCTTATCGAAATCAATTTTCTGTTTACTGAAATCTTGATTGTGAGCAAAGTTTCACGGTCGCTATAAGTTTGGCATTGCCCATATTACACACATGTCACATTGACGATATAAAAATGTTCATCAACACGAACGAATGAACTATTTGATTAAATTGTACATTGAAAATGTTGAAATAAACCATGAATCTAATGTCTTTCTATGTGCTCTTTTTTTCATTTTTTTTTTCACTTTGGTCGGTGGTCGCGTGATAAATGACATACACACACACATACACAGGTGGAGTTGGTAAGAGTTCACTGGTGCTGCGATTCATAAAAGGAACATTCCGAGAGAGTTATATACCAACGATAGAAGACACATACCGACAGGTAAGGCGTAATTTGTTGTTATATGTCCTTTTATTAGATTAAGAGGTTTTGATGCTGTACGGCTATATTGTATCATGCAAAAAGAGAGTTGTGACGCACAACAAAACTTTTGTTTTTCAGAATCTGTTCGAACTTTTTAAAGTTTTCTATTCATTCAACGGGTGTTGAATCCTTAGATCAACGCGTTCAAAGGCGAAAGTAAAATAGAAAGAGAAAAAATCACATTTACCTTTTGTGTTTAGGGTTCATTGATAGCCAGTAGTAGATGCTGTGCATTAGAAGGGTATCGACTGTCATGATAAATTAAAAACAGAAAATAATCAAAAATGCGAAAAGAAAATGCGTTATTTCATTTGTTGAAGACGGAGGTGAACCACAATGCGATTCGTATGCCATGCTGTGGGCTCATGAAAAACAAATCAAGTTAAGAAAATTATTTTGTTGCAACATACCGTTACTTGAATTCAATGGAGTGTGCAAAGTAAATGGAAGACGGCGAATGGAAGAGAGTTGGGAGGGGAGGGTGGAGATGGTGTAAAGAACGAAAGGAATGAAGAAAAGTAAAACAATAGTTCGATTGGGGCGCACAGGCGATTGAAAGTCGCCAGACACAACGCAGCAAAGGGAATCGATGCAGAGCTTCTTTTTATTGCTTACACATGCGATTCACACGCAAAAGTACAGCCGAATGCATGCGAAAGCATTTCTTCTTCTTTCAATGATGATTTATAAATAGCATATGTCGTATTGGTGTCTCTTTTATTTTGTGCTTTTTCTCACTCTCCTTTACCGCACGGAGCATTAAAAATAAATTTGACATTGAAACAGTCAAGCAGTGTCGTTACTTGTATTACGTCTTTTCTACATATTTTGAGTTGGTGCTCACTCAAGCAGACAAGCAACCAAGAGACAGCGAAGCAAGAATGCGAATGCATATTGTTGAACATCAATTTTAACTCCTTGTCAATGGGATCGAAGGCTTAGAAATGTGGTATTTTTAAGATGAAAATGGATGTTATTTATATCAATTTATGGTACTTTAAGCGTGGTCTAACAACAAAATATACACACACCCAACCGGCCGACAAATGACGATGGATTTTAGATGTGTTTTTGATCGATACCATGAATAACTCACAAGTTTATGATGAACACCATCGTATATTAGAATGAAGAAAAAAAAAACACCAAGTGATTTGATATGATAAAAGGGGAAATTTTCCTTCGTCCATCTATCTCGTGTCGCTGCGTCACTTAAACTACGAAGTATGATAAAAATCAGTTTGCATTTATCCAGTACTGATAATAATTGGATGGATGATTGAGAAATAAACAGGTTATTTCAATTCGTCCTAGCAACACCAATGGCCCTTTTTAGCACTACTGGAACCTTTTTGCTTTATCTAAATAGTGATGCGATGAGTGAAGCGATTATGCCTACATTCACTATAGTTTAGATAAAATGTAAATGTTACAAGGCTCTCGGCGTATGCTCTTCACTTCATTATCATCGTATGCGACTGCTGTTCAATCGCTGAACACATATATTTCACTCATTGTGCGGTGATGATTACGATTTATGTATCTCCAATTCACAATGTGAAACTCACATTTACCGTTCATTTCGAAACATAAATCATTTTAAATGCTATCAAAATGAAGTTTTTCGTGTCATAAATTCAGTGTGGCAGTATTCAAAAGTACAAAGATTATGTAACGACACGCAGTACTATTTTGATGTTACGAATCGCATTTTTGTGCCGACTGTGTACTGTGTTTGAGGCCATAATGAACATACACCGTCTATAATTCAATCGGTAATAACAGATATTCAGCGATAGAGGAAAGGAAAGAGAGAGAGAGAAAACCTCGAAATAAAAGCCGATAGAACGCGCATTCAGCATTTTCATTAGAACCATATATAGCACCTCTAGAAAGTTGACACATATGAGTATAATATATACGTAATATATATGTGTGTATGGCTGGTGCGAGCGACCAAGCTCTCGATCCCGAACCATTAAATGTATGGCATCATCGTTTGTCAGCATGAACGTAAAATAAAATTAATTATTTAATATCATCTTAATTGCTTTATTTTTGCCAGTGCGCTGCGTATAGCACGATGGATGTGTCACAAAGACGCCATCCGCGATATGCGACGACGCATAGTGACAATTGCCAATATAAAGTACACATACATACATTTGGTCGCTTTTTTTTCTTCTTTGCGCTCTTCTTTCTCACGGTCCTTCTTATTGACAACAGAATATCTATAAGATGCGAACAGTTGAGCAGCGGTAAACTTTTATTTGAGCCACTTCCTGTTATATTTTGTGTTCAGCGAAGCAACTAAGTTGACAGTTCACCAAACACAACCAATGTTGTCGCACCAGAAACAGTTCATTAATTCAATTACCGAACTCAATGAAAGTTGGAACAAAATTATAACACGATTCCGTGATCCAAGCGTATTTGATGGATTTTCTACTAGTTTCACTTAAATGAATGAACATTCTCGTTTGACACACGTACAAAGAAATGTACATCGTTTGTTTTTGGTGTGAAAATCTTTTCCATCTCACACTCACTCAAACATTTCATATACTATTCGAATATTCGTAGTGCTACATCATTTCGAATTCCGTTTTCATCAACAGAGAGAATTTATTATATTCATTTTGATTGTTTGACCATTGTGACACTGACTTCCTTTTGTACGTAAAGGCCTTTGGCAGAGCACAAATGCACACTTCAATGCTTGAAACACTAAGCACACTTTTTAACTTTTAAAAATTCGTATTGTACCATATTTTCCGTTATTTCGCCAACGTTAACTAACGTCCCACACAAATCTATGTATGAATTAATTTAAATAAGATTTAAATGAGCTGATTTCTGAAACAATAATCCCTCATTAAGAACCAAATTCAACAGATTGTTGTTTGGTTTTCGTTTTGAACTTGGCAAACGGTCACAGAACTTATGATGCAGCAAGTAAATTACCAGTCAATCTATCTCCATCTTGGCCCCAATTTTACAAATCTTTCGTGTTCTAAAATGGTGCTCGCTCCCTATTCCAATCTATCTCTTGGTATTTTTCATTTCCATCTGCCGCGTTCACTATTCTGCGTGGCAAATGTTTCTCTGGGGGTATATTAAGCTTAAGTAGACAGTTGAAATATTAGGTGTCTTGACTATGTATTATTTGTACTTTAAAGTAAACCATTAAATTAATGCAGTAATTTTGCATATTTCCATCAAGTTGGAAAATTTATTTAAGGCCCTTGTCTCGCTTAAAATGGTTTCGCTTTGGCGTAGACAACACATTAATTACATCCACAGCGATTGATTTTGTATTATCAATGAAACAGCATCTGCGAAATTATTCGCGAGCAAAAGCGAAATAATCAAATCGCTAAAATTCCCATGTAATACGTTTTGTAGCGTCTGTATGTCTGCCTGAATGTAAATCGAATGGGAATTAATATGAAAACGTAGCAAATTGAAAATGTGAAAATAAAAGTAGCAAAGAACGGCAGAGATTGAAGTGCTGTGGAAATGAAAAAGGCAAAATGAATGAGAGGTCACCGAAAATGAAAATGCACCAACAAAACGTGTAGGTAGAATGGTAGATAGAAGTGAGCGTTTGCGTGTGTATGGCAACATACAACCAACGGCCATTTTCCATTCGAACAAATGCCTGAGTCGTTGTAATGCAGCTAACATAAATTTCTCAATTAATTCATAGAAAATGCCGAAAGCTCATTTCGCTCACTCTCGTTTTCAACCAGCACCCCACCCACCCACACAAACACTCAATCGATGTGAACTTTAAACTTTTCAGTTGATTTTGCTGAGCAATCGCACGCATTCCAATTCATTTGGCATTGTTCACATTCGATTCGAACAGTATAATATAAATGTCATGAATGCTGAACATGAATCGCGAACACATGTACGTGAATCTCACAAGAGACTACGATTTCAAAGAGGAAATTTGCTCCGTTTGGGTGCCCACATTTTTGCATGACAAAACGGAAACAAACCAAAAAAGAAGGCCACGCAAACGAAAATGAAAAGAAATCTCTGCCATAAATGACATTTTTAATTTATTATTTGCGTTCAGAGAGTTGATGTGGAACTGGAATGTGCGCACACACTCTATTCAAAAGCTATATTGAATTTCAAAAGCATTATATTGAAAATAGTAACTGATGCAAGCATGAAAGTAGATAAAATGAATGATTTCAAAATGAAAGCGAAGTGAATGAGACGGTAATATCAAAATGAGGAACAAGAGGAAAATTGGTTTGGCAAAAAGGTGTACCAACAAGTGGATAAACTTAAAGTGAGCAAATGCATGCAACACAAAAACCACATGCTTGACATTTAAGCTCGTTCCTCGGCTGGCATATGTGTACGTTTCGTGTATGCGAGTGGGACGAGTGAATTTATTCCAAACCACAACATAAAAGTTTGACATTTTCGAAATCATTCCGATGACGGGTACCTTTAACATCGCTAAAATTTATTTACAATTCCTTTACTTCAATCAAGCTGTGAAATGGCATGCAGTCAAGAATTAATATGAACAACGTTTTATTTGATATCTGCTTTTGGAAGAACTAAACTCATATTATTTTGTTAAAAAAATAAACTTTTCGCACACTTCCAATGCGTTCTATTCTATGCGAAAAAAAGTTACAGCGAGAAAAAAAATCTCTACAAAATATTGCAGGCAATGTCAATATTGTTCGGAATCCCCAGTACATTGGAATTTTGAAGATTGAACGAAAGAGGAAAAAAAACAAGATATATTCAGCAATACAATGTAAACATTTTGAGAAAAAACATTCCAAGAAAAATTGCAACAAGAAATCGAATTCTTTACAGTTAAATATAAATCATATTTAAATATTATATTGAATTTTTGACATGGAACGTGGGTGGATTGTTTCCCTTTTGAAACGGGACAAACAAACAACCAAAAAGGTTGAAAATGATGTTGGAGTTTGGCATTCAGGTACGCGCCTGTGCGCTATTTGCCGCTAATTAAATATCCATTTGATATAATCTGTTGAATGTGGCAACCGACATCCACCTACGCATCAGAGATATATACGACGCACGTGAAGGGATTTTCGACAGTCAAACCAATGTTCTCGGGATTGGTTTCTAAGAAAACCATCGAAAATGGACGATCAGCCGCGATGACTTTTCTTTTTTTTTTCGAAGAAGAAGACCGTGAATTTTGGGTAATGTCAAAAATGTCATCATTTATCTTCTATAGTCAACATCATTGCTCCATCAATCAAGTTTGGTTTCACTCAAACGAAAATGTAAATTACACAATCACAACACTCCATAACAATCGCGACAAGGAAAAGCCAAGGCAAATATCATGCTCATCTTTCACATTGTTTACATTCGAAAACACAATATTTCTCGCGACTTCATTTATTTCCCGTAATCGCTTGCCATTTATATCGTTTTTTTTTGGTACACAAATCAAGTGACCGAAAATTCCTTGACGGTGAATTCAAATTCATGCTCAACCATCTGAAAACAACACTCGTTCGTATTGTGCTTAGATTTACGTATACTTATGGGAGAATTATCGAGATTCATGATAAAAATCGAAAATAAACAGGGCCATTGGTAACAAAATGACACAGCCAGCGAGAAAATAGCGATAAACGGAGCAAAAGAGACAGTAAGAGATTTGTGAGCGAGGATAAACATTGAGATGACAAGAGAATGAGAGACTGAATAAGTATCGATGGGAATATTTGTCCAATGGCACGTATCGTTTCACTTCGTTGTTCAGTTTTTAATTAAATCTTTGACATATCACAAACGTTTCATTTTACTGATGGCTAACCTATGATCTTTTATCAATATCGTTAGTCAATCATACTAAAAGCGAATCTAAATCATCCATTGCGCATTCAGACCCGCATAGTGGGATTGGTGGCACTGCAATGCAATTGTCATAAAATATAAAACAGTGGTTACAATGTTACCAAAGTAAGCTGTACCGAATCGACGGCCATTAAAGTACTTGTACATATTTCCGATTTATGGAGGTATTTTATGACAATAAATGCGAGATTTTATGGCATTTTTCATTTTACACGTGAATCGAAAAACATGATGATTGAAATCATTTGTGATTAGACGATGCAAACATTATTTGCGAGTATTCTTTCCTCCTTCGGTTGTCTGTGAGTGAAAAAAGTTCGCTTCTTTGAAATATTGGATTTCGATGACTATCGGATAATCGATTAAGGGCATCAGTGACGAAGAGAGAGAGAGGAGATGATAAAACTCTTAAGATTCTTATTAAGCATTTGATGATAATTTATGAGCTAACGATATTCGATAACAACAACTTGAGAGATTTGATTTCTACCCCGATGAAATGGTTTCAACTGAATATTGTTGAGCAAGAGCCATGCAAAATCTAATTTACTTTTTATCAGAGCATAAAAAATGGCATATTGAGTCAGAATGAAAAACCTTGAAGCAACAAATCCAAATTGAACATGCAGCACATAGCAGAAACAGCGATAGCAGCGAAACGCGTCAGCGAAACTCACTACATGAACTCACGAACATGCAAGCAACATCAATGTATAAATAAACAAACGATTTGTATCAGTTCCAGTTGCGATTTTCCATTACGGATTTCCATCTTTTTTCTCGCTTCTACGGCATATCAAATGAAATCCTCTTATTTTTACAAATCACTTTAAATTATTTTCAACTAATATTTTTGGATCCAAATGTATGAATATTTTTACATTCGTTTAATGTAAACAAATATAATTCAGAATGCTTGTCTAGCCACTCTTGCCACTCTTGACAAGTACGTGTATAATATTAAGGGGAATTATTTGTGTGTACCGTGAAACACTTCAATTTGATTGCGTTTCATTAAACATATTACCATTTTTTCCAATTTTCTCTCTGTTTTTATCCATACATATTTTTTTTTTTGAATTGCGCGTCAGCGAGGAATGTACGCTAGCGCTTTTTGGACAAAAATAAAAGAGTCTATATCTTATGTTTAACTAGCATATTTATTACAATCATTTCAATAACACTGTGCGACAGTTGAATAAAAACAACTGCTTATGATTCTTTTTATTTAAATTGAATGTATTTGCATTAATGCAGTCGAGTATATTTATTACTTCATCTACATCTATAGTAAAGTAAACTTCCGGCATATAATTGGTTTATATTTTGCTTGGCTGACACCATTGCCTCTAGAAAAGAAAATTTCATATTGAAAGATAATTCAAGAATTAATTGAATTGAATGATAAATATAATATTAATAATTGGAAGGTGATAAAGCTCAGTTTCCACAGTTTCATATTTATCTTATTAGTTGTATAAATTTATTCTGATTTGTTCAAACTGACGGCATTTCAAGCATTCGAAAAGTTGTTCGCGTCTTTCTGCAAAGTTTTGATCAATGAGTCAGTTTTCGTGACTGATTCCTTAAAAAAATACTCAACGCCACTGAAGTAAAGAGCTGACATCTAAAATAACAAAATTAAATCAAATTTCTCTGCATAAAGAAAAAAAGTTCGAGTTTGTTGCAGTGTGTAATTTGTATAAGTCCTATACATACATTGCATAATAATATATCTAGAACATACTTCAGTCAAGCATCGCATCCAAACAAATATGAAAGTTTATTTTACGGAATCTACATATTTTGATGACGATGAATTTTCCAGAAGAAAAAAATCATACACACAAATGTGCTTCATAACATGTCTGTTCACCGCTCTATGATTACATCACGTTTCTATTCAACAGATTTGCTAATTATTAATACTTATTCTATTGGTAAATTCATGGAAAACGACTTGAGAAACTTCATTGAAAATATAATTCGCAAATGAGATTCTGATGAGATCTTTATGCAAAGTTCAAGCTTTTTCTGTCTGTTGTTGGGAGTTTTTCTTCTTCTTCTCAACGATCAATTTAATTTTTTGCAGAAAATGCTGTATTCAAATTTCAAAGAACCTGAATGCTGATTATGTTTTTGTGAATTCAATTAATAAATAAAATGAAATGATTGAATGCGAGGAAGAAAAAAATAACGATTTAGTATGTTGCCATGCACACATTCCAAATTGAAAATGCGTCGTTCAATTATCATATTTGTGCAGAGCTAAGTTGAATTGAATGAAAAGTGGCTCATCAAAGGCATGTGAATACGCATTCAACTATTGGCATTCTTTGCGAATGTGTACCCAAAAAAAAATGCCAATCGCATTGATTGGCGAGAGACGGTTCACTGGGCTAAGTAACTGCTGCTTCACTGATCTCTCTCTCTTTCTCTTTCTCTCTCTTGAAGGGAGCTTCACCATAACAACACCATAATATTTCAGTCATAAAAATGAGAACAAACAACCGGGTTATTGCTTGTTAACCGTACATTTGCTGTTGAACCCAACGGAACATAGAAAAATGGAACTAGTAAATCTATTAAATAAACGATTGAAGTGCGCAAAAGAGAAAAAACCAACTCAAAAATAATATCAACAGATTATGGATTTAAGTCGATTTTACCTGGTTATTGATGGCAAATTCGAAAAATTGACTCATGACATACCCATTCGACAAAAAGTTGACAAAATTCAAATAAATCATTGAAACCAATTGATGAAAAGTTTTTTATGGGCTCAACAAAAGAATTTTCTCAAACGTCAAGAGAAATGGTTTTTTTGTTATTGCGGTGACTTCGATAAAACAATAGAAGAAATATTTTTTTTATGTATTTCTTGGTACCTATACAATGTGTACAGATTTCCTGCGACGTAATAGAAGCGCACCACTGTGGGCGAATAAAAACAGAAAAATACGTCGTCGACTGTTGTTGTTGTTCGAGCCCATCGTAAAAATGTTGAAAAGTTTTGATTGTTTTTCGTGAAAATATTGAACGCTTAAGTACACTAAAGGCGACGGTTTATGACGATAAAAAAAGTGGCATATCACAAAAATGTGTGCACACCGCTGTTACTTCCACTTCCATTCGCGGCAATGGCCATTGTTCGGGTGGAATGTCGATTTAATCAGTAATAACACAATAATTTATAACCGATTAAGCACATTAAAGTAACACATATACACCCAGAGTTCTTGATGATACATTATATCGATGGTGGCACGTACTCTCTCACATCAACATCAATCGCACGAAAATTTATTGTGCTTAACCTGTCAAACTTATAATAAATGAGGATCAAAATGTACAGACAGACCAATCATTGAGTTTCAGAGCTCGTCGAAGTGCCAATGCTGAATTAATATAATATATATTCTTTTTTTTCGGCACTTTTTTTCCCATTTCATTTTGATAGGTCATTAGTTGCAATAAGAACATCTGCACCTTACAAATAACAGATACAACGGGTAGCCATCAGTTTCCGGCAATGCAGCGTTTATCGATCACAAAAGGCCATGCGTTCATACTGGTATATTCGGTGTGCTCAAAACAGAGTTTGGAAGAATTGAGGGCGATTTGGACATTGATTAAGGAATTAAAAGGACAAGAGATAACACAAATTCCGGTCATGTTGGTTGGCAACAAATGTGATGAGAGCGCTGCATTGCGCGAAGTTACCGAACTAGAGGGAAAAGCTGAGGCCGCATCGTGGGGCGTTTCATTTATGGGTGAGATTGCAATCAATATACAAACATAATACCTAACATAACATAGTTTTAACATAAGAAATTTCATTAATATTTTTTATTAATTGTTTTATATTCTCTTGCAAACTCGCAGAATGCTCGGCCAAAGAGAACATTCGGGTGACTGAACTGTTTCAAGTAAGTGAAAAAAAAGAGAAAAATCAATCAAAAATTCTGTCTAGGCATCTAAAAATAATATATTTTCCAAGAACGGTGGTTTTTGTGGTGCGTGTGAAAATTAGAGAAAATCTCAACACTGCCTCGAGACAAACCACAGCTTTCTTATTAATACATTTTTCCCACTCTCCCGAAACAAAAACAAAAAAAAAATCCATTAAACGTGCCATCAATAAGAAAGTGGCTACTTTCTCACGTTTTTCTTTTCGTCGTAGCGGCTATATTGCTGTCGTGCGAATCACTTGAAAGATTTTCAATTTTTCATTTTCACTTTTGCTCATCCAGTATTATTTTACTTGAATATTTATCCGACGTCTATCACATTGTTAATTTATTCGTGGCTGCAGTTTAGCGCAGAAAATAGCAAGAGAGTGAGAGAGAGAGAGAGAGAAAAGTTTCTAATTTCTTTTTTTATCTTTTGTTTTCTATCATTTTCATTTGTCGCACAGGAATTGCTGAATATGGAAAAAACGCGCACCGTATCACTGCAATTGGATGGAAAAAAGAATAAAAAATCCAAACCAAAGAAGAAAGATCTGGCAAATGGCGGTGTTTCACAAGACGGTGGTGAAGGTTCAAGTGCTAATATCAAAGAAAAATGTCACGTAATGTAAGCGCTTTCGAAACGATTTTAAGACCAAAACCATTAGCGAAAAGCAAGTGCAAATAAAATCATCTCAACTGTACTACTTCTGTTATGAAGAAGAACAGCAACAAATATATATATATATATATATATATATAATGTACAACACATAAAAACTTCAACGAATAAACTTACAGTTATAAGAACGGGAGACAGAGAAAAATGTCGAAAGAAAAAAAAACACATAAATTACGAGCCACAAAAATAGACACAAAAGAGAAACAGTAAAAATGTAAAGAGTTTTCAGCGCAGCAACACTGTTGTATTCTATTTGCAAATTATTAATGGATCATTAGAATATTTAAAATGACAAAGACATTACAAAATGGTGCAAAGTTAGAACAATATCATCGAAGAAAAGAGCGAGTGAAGAAAGAGGCAAGGTTAAGAATGTGAGCGAGTGAGTGGGTGCGTATGCTTATTTGTCAAGCATTTAAGGAGATTACAGAGAGTGTGAGAGAGAAATGGCACTTGAGTTAAAAAGCCCAACTTGATTATGGAAGTATACGAAAATGATTTGGTAGAAGAAGAAAAAATTCACAGAAAATACAATCAAAACCAAATCGAAGAAAATAAGCGAGATAAATAAGAGGAAGAATACAAGTTGAATATGAATGAAAAGAAGAAAAAACGAAATCCCTGTAAAAGAAGGGGATGAAGTTGGTAGATAGTGAGGAAAAGCTTTTACGTCAAAGTGCATTTAAATTGCTGTTATCTATTTTCGCATTGGAAATTGTTCATGTTATACCACATATTTTTTGCTCATAATAAATTTGTGTTTTCGTCGTTTTTCCCTTTCGTTCTACGTAATATAAGTTTACTATGTAAAATAAAATTGCCAACTTGTTTGCTATACCACAGAATTGCCCTGCGTCATATATAAATTGTATTGCTCAACAAGAAATATATGGATGCGAAAAACATGTTGAATGCACGTTTCCTACTCTCTCTTTTTTTTTCTTCGTCATATTGGTTTTATATGTTGTTCTCATCGTGTTATTTGTTGAGACTGCAATTCTGGTTCTCACACTTTTTATCTCTCTCTATATATCTTTCTTACTCTTACCTACTTAATTCGCATCAAAAATTGAACGTATTCGTATTGCAGTGCAGGATTTGCAGCGAACATTTCGTAGGGAATAAATGTGATTTGATTTTTTGTTGTTGTTATTATCGTTGTTCTCGCTGTATCGTGTTGGAAAAATCTGTTTCGTACAGATTTCAGAACGTGTTAAGTGGGAGAAAACCACCAGATTGCTGTGTGCAAAAAGCAAAATATTTCGCGGAATTTAAAGTAAACAGATGCATTGTTACCACACACATACACACACAATAAATGAAATTCGCATACAGTTAATCAGACCATGATAACGCTGTTGCATACACAGCATTGTCAGGCGCCAAAGACCAATTTGGATCGTTACATACCTTACCCATATTATTTACAAGCGCATTATTTCATTTGTACAGTAAACAGAATTAGTTGGTGGCTTTTTTCTTCTCCAATTTTATGTTTAATAATAATAAATAGCCAAAATGAAAATGAAAATCCATGAAAAGCAGCTTGGACACTGTTTACGAATGGGATTCGTTTGACCCAATTCACATTGCAAAATGTAATGTTTCCCACATGCAAATGCATCTCGTCACACTAAATAATCATTACCATATTTTGCGAAACAAGATGCGCATCCATCCATACACAATTCAAAATCATTGGAACATAAACCAACTCGGCACACAATGAGGAACGGTGATGATAGAATAGCATACATTGAAGAAGAAAAACAAAAATGTTTGCTTGTAATCCCAATCGGATGGTTTCTGGTTTATGGTGTTGTGTATACACGATGAAAAGCAGCTTCACCATTAGCTTAGGTTTAGCGTGGAGGCGTTTCCGGTTGATAACATCGTTGTAATTTATTGACATATGATTAGCTCGTTCGAGTCTTTAATTTCTTGTTTATTGAACGATTTCACCCACGCATCCTTTCCATAAACCATTCAATAAGCTCTGGAAATAACCCATATTATAAATGGCACACTATATTCTCCACAACGGCAAAAGTGATTCAAGACATTCTTTAACGATCTGCGATGGGAGTGTTTTTTTTTTCAAGAGCCATCACTTTTTATTTGAAGCAATGTCGAATGGGAAATGACGAAGAAAACTTTCAATTTACTGTGTGGAAATTGCATGACGACTGAACATCATTTATCAAAACAGTTGGATCGGATTCAATGCAAACTTGTGCAGAAAGTAATCAACTAAAATAATACAAAAATCGGTATGAAAAACAAAAAAAGCGTTTGGTCATTAGAGTGAAGTCCTTGTGCTATTACGGATTTCGACCTATTCCGAATGGCTAGTACATTTACAGCAGTAAACATTTGTTTTTGAACGATTCATCACTGCAAATGGCCATTTGGATTAAATTCATTTAATGCCAAGTTAGGGACAAACCACTTGATTTCAATGTGGCCGGGTTTTAAGTAAATTAGAAAACAGCAATTCAACACAAACACACACATACATAACTCCCACGACAGAGTGTTTGGTTCATATTCAATTCTTTTCAGCGAAATGCAAACGAAAACCGATTGCAATAATGATAACTCATTCACTCACACTCTGTTAATGTCGTTTCTCTTTTTGCGCCGCTGAGATGGTGAGAGAAAATCAAGAATCATAAAATAACGAATATGGAACCTCGTTATCTGCCAGTGCAAACACTTGAGAAATTACTATTTAAATAGGAGCCAGCTGTAAAAACATATCAGATTAATTTCCATCGAGATAAGTGGCTCAATTAGATGAGAAAATTCCCATTTCGAATTTGTCGCATGGTATTCATCGGTTGTCGCTTCTTGTAAATTATGAACAACAAACACAACGACACTACCGTTCAACACGCTTAAAATTCAAAGTTCTTTGCTTGGTTGAGGTAACGTAACAAAAAATTGCTCATTTCATTCGTTTTTTTTTTTTTCATTCTCGAAAAAAAAAACCTATGCGTAACATAGTAAAAGTTGGCGTTCATAAATAAATAAATAATCCAAGTTTGTGAAGTGCACTTTTCACTTGCAAAACTCATTTAGAGCTATGAAATTGTGTGCACATTTGATCTTTTCATTCATTTTGGAAAATTGTTTCTCCTCTCGGTGCGTATCACTGCGAAGCGAAATGAAACAAACAAAAAAATTAATAATTCTAGAAAAATAATACTCGAAAGTTTTCCGGAAAATTCCATTTCTTAATGTTCTGTGTTCGAGATGAAGCGGAAAATTGTTCATCATTTGAGTTTGAAACCCATTGAAATGGTTGCGATGGAGAAAAAAAACCCAAACGAAGTAGAAAACTAAAAGGCACTTTGGTTATTTTTCAATGCACCGTAGCGGAAAACGGATGGAAACGTATCGCATGCACAACAGAAATTTCCACTTTTGTTTCATTGTTCATAACTTTATTTCCGCTGGAAAACTAATTTACGTATCTGGAATTCAAAGACCATATCTATTCTCTTTCTCTTATTCTTGTATTTTTTTTCTCTCGTTGTTATTCAGTCTCAGTCTTTCACTCGAAGTCTCGATGAAAAAGTGTTTCCTTTGAAAAATGAAACCGACAAAATACTGATGATTCAGTGTAACTAAACACATTTTCAAGGTTTAATTGGCATTCCGAAGAATTGTATCATACAATTACATAATTGCTCATTTGTTTGTCGGAACAAAAAAAAAATTATTTCTCATCCATTGCCATAAGCTGAATGAAATATATGTATATAAAAAAGGGTAGAAGCAATTCGTCTTGACTTTTGACCACACGCTTGTGTGTGGGACATCGAGAAAACAATGTTTTTCGCTCAAACCCAATTTCTACGAATCGAAGCAAAATGCCGTTGATATGGTGTATTGCGTGGGTGGAACTTTAACTCAAATGCGGTCGCTTTTATCACTTTTGACGTTTGATTTCAACTTTTTGTTCATACTCCCTGCACACAGCTGGGACACACTACAGAAGTTAGCCATTGAAGCTGCGTAGTTTGTGTCAACATTTTTACCAGTCGGTTGTATTTGAAAATTCTTTTTTTTTTCGTTGGTATTCCCAGTCCAGCATTTTTTTCGTGCTCATTCATCTTTCATTTCCGCAAAAATCCATTTAAATGATTGCAAAGCATATGTTGCACGCACGTCGTTGCCTTTTACATTGTGAATTCAGCTGTTGCTTTCTACCTCTGTATGAGATACTTTGCCCAACACACACACACACAGTTATCATATGCCAAATTAGACGTTTTTGTTGACTTAGTGATGTTTTATTCGTATGAAAAAGGTATAAATTGAACAAAAGAACAAAAAAATATGTGTTATCTTTTTTTTCCTTTTGTTTAGCTTGTAGATGTAATAAAATAGATATTTTTTGAATGAAGCATTGTATTTCGCACCAAACACACGAATTATTAGACGAAAAAAATTGAGTTATCAATTCGATTGACAAATAGTTACATGTCATATAGATTTAAAATGTAAACAAAATGAGATTGAAAAAAAAAACGAGAAAAAGTAATAATTGAAACAAAAAAAATATATTTTTTTATTGAACATTGGCATTTTGCAAAACAGAAAACAATAAATTTTATCAGAGAAATTTAATTAAATGCACGTCGTATGATTAAATTTTCAATGCTTTTACACGTTGTAGTAAAACCTTCAGGAGAACAAATTAGAGAGAAACCAATTAGAAAAGCAGAAATTTTTCGGTTGAGGCTCGTTTTTCCATTCCGGAACCTGAAAAAATCGAACAACACAATCTATGTTCAATCTCTTTGATTGACGATACAAAGCATTTTCGGCTCTTTTGTTCATTTGTTTTTGTTGTTTTGTTTTAATATATTGACATCAAAAACATTATATTCGATTGATATCACACGTCATCACAAGACACAAGAGAATTGCGTGCTCACATCCATTCGGATTATATATCGATTTAGGTCATCACGCAACTCCTTGACGTGGAAAATAACTAGAAAAACTAACTTAATTTTTCTATATCGATATCAAGCGAGAGAGTGATACGGATTAACCCTTAACCGGGCAGGTCAAAATCCTAGCGTTATCGCCCTCTGAGGCCCGACGTACATTTTCCATGCAAATTCAATGAAAAAAAATTCTTTTTCTTTTTTCAAATTTCATTGAATTTAAACAACGAAAATTATTGTTTTAACATAATAGATACTGAATTAAATATGTTTTTTGTAAAATATAACTGAAATGAAAAAAATAATCAATATTTATTCCCAATCGGATGAATTTAAGTTTCAGTTCAGTAGTTGTTTAGTACAAATTTTGCACTTCATTTTAAAAAAATTGATGACATTTTGTATGGAAAATGTACGTCCGGTAGTTGTTCAAACCTCAATACAGCGCTACTTAGGGAACCAAATTTAAAACAACTTATCAACGATTAGTAGAAGAATGAAAGAATATATTACAAAACAATTTGTTTGATTAAAATAATATTTTATGCGATTTTATGTATCTTTTTTTTTTAAATGCACTACCGGGCCTCAGAGACCCTACCTGCCCGGTTAAGGGTCAAAGAGAACGACCATTTTGTTCGGTATTTAATCTTTTATTTTTTTGAAATGTAAATAAAATTTTGTTTTTCTAGAATAAACTGTGATTGAAATGAAAAAGCCACACAAATTAACGACATATGAATGTTTTCCTGAAATTTTATCGTATACATGAAATCAATAGCAAATAGAAAAGAACAGAAAAAAAAGTTCGAAGAGGAGAGATGTTGATGTAAATCGAATAACGAAATATTGATTTAGAGCCAGTGAAAATCAAATTTACAGTGTTGAGAGAATGAAAAATCAACAATGCAAGGAGATGGAAAAAGTGTCTCCAATTTTTTTCTTATGATTATTAAATATTGCAGCGTAAGCGAAACGGGCGCACGTATACACGTGCCATACATAAGCCAACGTCGCACTAAGTTAAATTAATCAATTAGTACATTTCATTTCCGTTCAAAACTGCGAATTAGCGCAATTATCCCAACAGAAAATGTCTAATGCATGACAAAAAAAATATCGAAAAGGAAAAGAGATTATAAATACCCAGGGACATAAATGGTGGAATGATTTTTGTGTCGAAAATGATTCTGCTGTCACCGATTAAAAGAACATCATGATTTCTCATGATGATATGAGCACCAGTTCTTTTTACCATATTTTACCTTTAAAATTAAACAGCAAAAAGAAAAACCAGAACCCTGACTTGCAAAATTTACACTCGATGAACATTCACGAAAGAGGCAGCTAAAATATGAAATTCAAATGATTTTAACTAGAGTAGAACTCCAAATGCGGGTGTTTAACAGAAATACAAGCGGAGATAAGATTATTGCTCCCCTTCTCCCTCTCCTCCCAACAAAATAAAATAAACAGAATTATACAATTAAAATTATTATCTATTTTTATCTAATTAGTGGTTGTTCGAGGTGAATAGTGATCGTTTGTGCATGGAAAGACAAATCATTTTTTTTTTAATTTGCTTCGATGGTGTTTATGCTAGTCTAAATATATTAGAGAATCCATGTCACTGACGATCATTGTCCACATCGATTTCAAAACAAATATGAATATATTATCTAGTTTTAGATGAAAAGTTGCATTTAAAAATTGAAACATACATAAATGGATACAACGAATTCAAACACAAAAAAAAAAAAACAGAACGGTGTGAAAAGAACACTGATCTAGTGATTTACACATACACGGGCAAATAAATGGAATCACCAAAGCAAATGAGATTTTATTTATTATTATGTTTGTTATTATCAGTAAAAAAAATAAATGTATTCGAGTATGGAAAATCATACGATTTTTATTAAATAACATGTAGATGACTGTTGTGGTCGGTTGGTTGTTTTTTCCCCTGCACCCATACCCCATCCATGTTCGTATCTAGAATTTGCCGTTTTGTACGGAAGAACGATAAAAGTTAAGCATTTTTAAATGCTGTTAGTTATATCTCTTTTCACAACCATCGAATATTGTTCTGAAAATATTCATTTTCAACAGGCCTTAGCTCGAGTTAACTGCCCAACCGTTATTATAGTTGCCGTCATCAGTAAGCATGTAATAACGTAATATCGTCTCTTGATTTTGTATTAAAGTGAAAGAGGTGTATAGCAGGCGTAGTTTTAGACACCAAAATCTTCTCTTTCACTCTCACCAAAAATCAATGATTGTCCTATTTAAAGTTGTCGCATATGGTGTTAACAGTATCCAAATCGACGGCTGAGCAGATAGCTCGTGCTAAATCGTCTGATTTTCACGTGCTGAAAATTAAAATAAAAAGCTTTATCAATAGGAAAATAATGTGAATAAATTGATGTTATCGCAAATGACTGGCGAAATGCCGTAGAACTCATTTATGTTGCCCAAAAAACACATAGAAACTTATATGTGTAGAATGGTCGAACCATTGCTTTTTCTTCGCCAATCAATGTGTATCGAATGAATATGAGACGCTATTATTTTTAAAAGTCATTTAAAAAAAAAAAAAAGATAATTCTGATTAATGGAACAAACACCTAGTTGATTTAGTTAGCTAAAAAGAACATAGATTTTAGATCTCAACTTCGTATTTATTCTTTCTTTGGTGATTAATTAAACGACCAATCAATTAACAATTAAAACATTGCATATTTTTTCCTTCTCATTTAGAGTTTCAATTTGCATAATTTTTAATGAACCAAAAATCTAATAAAAAAAAACAAAAATACGCAGCAACACGAACAAATAAGTCGTCACTGCAAATTTATTACCAAAAAAAGTAAATAAATAAAAAATGAAAAAGTATTATTCCTTTTTATAGATTTTTTAAAACATTCACTTTGGATTTACATACAAACATGAATACAAGAAGCAAGCGATATAAACAAAACTTAGTTATGCAAAATGTCAGCGCTATAAACTAAAACACCGTATACATAAAAATATATTCAGTCAAAGTACAGAAACACACAGAAAAAAAAACACATATAGCAAACATATAGATATGGAAGATGCGCAAGAAAGAGATACACAAACACTCACCAATAAAGAATCTATTAATATATGCATTTATTATTACTAATATCTTACTGATAATTGTAATGAATGACTAAATAAAGTGGTCATACGACTTTGAGTATCACAAACAACAAAAATAAACAAAAATCCTTTTTTCTCTTCATTCTGGTATGGTAAGTGTGTTACTACAACAGCATATTCACTCCTTTTGATCATACATAGGTACGGCCAGTCAGTTACGGGAGGTCCAGCCACACATAGTCAATTCTGAGAAAGGTTAGCTTCGGACGATTTAAGAAGGGTTATCCTGCTTACACCCTCTTTTGCCAATGGAAGCAGATAATGTGGGGAGATAAAGAAATGATGACGAAGAAGTGCATTGTGTAACAAACAAATATTCAGTCACCGAAGTTGAAAACCACAGTAGGGCCGCTTTTTGTTGAAGCGAGGTAAGAGAACTTTCTTCCTTTTGACAGTTTTCGACAATTTTCAGATTTCACGAAAAGATTGAAATGCACATGGAAAATATATATGTTTGCTTGGAGTTTACAAACTAATAACAATTATAATGATCTTTTTGTGGTCAAATGTGTAAATTTCATTCAAATACATCATTCATTGCGTAAAATATAAAAAATATACAATATACAAATTTGCTTTTTTACTTCAATAAAATCGAAATATTATAAATTTGTGCATAAATGCCTTTATGCTAATTTTTATGCAGTTGAATTGAACGCTCTAGAATAAAAACAACAAATCTATGTTAAAAAAACGCCGTGTTCCGCTTTGATATAACAACCATTCTATGGGTGAGATCTAAAAGAACGTATGTTTTTTTTTCGCTTTAAATTTTGGAAAAGGAATGTATGTGTTTTGCCAATTCTGTCTTACTAAAAGGAAAGTATGTTTTGCACCAAAAAAATTTTGTAAAAGGAAAGTATGTTTTCCGGCTTAATCAGTTGCTGATAAAGGAACGCATGTTTCGCACCAAATAAATTTTGCAAAAGGAAAGTAAGTGATTCTGAATCAGTTGTTAAAAAAAAGATGCATGTTTAACGATGATTTTCCTGGAACTGGGCTTCAATGGATCCTCAGGATCATCAGAACGCTCCCAGTTCTGGAAGTGGGTTTTGGTGGATCCTCAGGATGGACCAGACTATGGTTTGACAATGCCCTGGCCCATCCTGAGGGTCCACCTCCAGAACTGGGAGCGGTTCTGATGATCCTGAGGATCCACCAAAGCCCACTTCCAGAACAAAGACACTTACGTTCTTTTATCCAAACCAACAAAACTGAAACATGCATCCCTTTTCCAACAACTGATTCAGCCGAAATACATACTCTCTTTTTTCAAAATTTACTTGGCGCAAAACATACATTCCTTTATTGCGGCAAAGTCGAACACACTTGCGTTCTTTTAGATCTCACCAATAGCATTCAGTACGTTGTTTTTATTCTAGAGCGTTCAATTTATTTGCGCTTCATAAAACCAGGGCTTTTTAAATGTCGTTTTTCTGGATGGGGCGTTTCCCGGTGTTTTTTGACAAAGAACACCAGTTCCTCGCAATGCCGCGTTTGATGAAAATTCACTGATAACTCGATGTTCAATACTCAACAAATTTTCAATAAAAATTACCTATATTTATCATTTGTATTTTTTTGAAAATTGTTCGATTGGTGTGTTTATAACTTGCTTTCTAGTCAATCGTTTATTTTTGTTTGCTTATGTTTCTATACGTACTTTATTTTTAGTTTCAATAACAAGATTAAATTATACGGTGTATTTGATGGTTCACCATCATTGGCTTGCAATATGGTATTGAAACTAAATATTCCATTCAAGATGGTTTCTGTGAGCAGTTAACTGATGAATATTTCAAGGTAATCGAAAACCTTTTGAAAAACTGATACATTGGATGTGTTTCTAAAAGCATTTTGGTCGATTTGAAATGTTGTAGTTGAATCCACAAAAAGAGATTCCGGTGCTTGACGATGATGGTTTTTTATTGAGCGAGAGTGTTGCTATAATGCATGTATTTATGTGACTAATTTGCGCCAGAGAATTCGATTCATCCGAAGGAGCCAAAGAAACGAGCACTGGTCAACCATGGATTGAACTTCAATATGGGATTTTACTATAACCACATTTGTGAATATGCGGAATATATCGGTCCAAAATTAACATTTGAACTTTATTTTATGCTAAAATTCTGTGCGTAGATGATGCCAATTTTCTTTGATTACCAATGAAAGGAAGAAAGAAGGTTGAGCTTGCTCTGAATGCATTCGAAACATACTTGAAGTATGCTCCAAGTATGCAGCTGGGGATAATATGACTATTGCCGATTGCGCTCTAGCGGCCGGCACGCTACCATTGGAAGCGATCGGATATAAATTCGACCATTATCCATTGGTTACCAAATGGTATAACACATTAAAGAGTAAAAACACAAGCGTGTGGAAATTGGACAAGCTGGCCTCGAAGAAATTGAGGATAAATTCGCCAGACCTCACGGAATAAAACCATCCATTTTATCCAGCAAAAAAGAATTGACTATCAACATACAGCAATCTATATTCACAAATTTCAATTAAAGTTATTTTATCGGCAATTCATTTCTTAAAAAAATAAAATTTATAAATTCATATATAGTTTGATAACCGAATTTTGATGTTGTTTTCATTCAGAATTATTCTTCATCACGAATATGACGCCATCTGTTGAAATATGCTGTGAATTTAAACAGTTTTTTTCTATGGTAAGGTAACGATATAAAACCGATTGTATGTTGTAAGTTCAGAACAACATCATTTCCTTAAGGTAAGTTTAAGTTTTTAAGCCAATTTTGATTATGATAACATCATATAACATAAAGTTATAAACGACTGTGATTGGTCGTTCGTATAAGTTTTTTTTTTCATTTTTGTGGACGTTCGTCAATCGTGTGTAATTTTGCCGATCTTCGCCAATCTTAACTAGTCTTGAGCAATTTTTATCAATCTTTATTCATTTCATATTGTCATAAACAAATCAAATCTTGTGTCTACCCCTAGGTTTTTTGTGATGTCGACAGAACGATATTTATAAAAAATGCATGAATAAAATCCAAAAGAATTTAAAATTATATTTCTGTACAAAAACACATCAGAAACTATATGAACTGTTAAAATATTTCCAGAAACCTACCGACAGTTCATACCCAGCTCTGATTTAGAGTCCTGGTAATAAATTTTCGAAATTCAATTGTTTATTTGACAATTCGATACAACACACACACACACACACACACACACACACACACACAAGTTAATTATGACACAGCAACAACGATGAAGACGTCACACTCATACACGCATACACTCACAATGAATATTCCGGCAAAAGTCATTTGAACATGACTTAATGGCTGCCATATTTACTTTACTTTCGACAATGTTTTTTGTTCGTTAATTTTTGAAAAATTGTTGTCTGGTGTAGCTGCTTTTCTTGCCTGTTAATACGTGCACATTAAACAAAATCTTTCATTACTTCCTTGGCCTTTGACGCGATCGTTCGTATAAAAAATGTTCATTCGTTTTTTTATTTAGTCTTCAAAAACAGAAAAAGATAGTAAAAACTTCAAACTTAATATTTCAACATCGTGAAAAAATGTCTAAATTTTGTTTTAAACCGTAATTTGTGTTTGGTAGTGTAATTTTTATCGTTCATTGCAACCACGCTGGGTATTTGAAGTGCAGAAAAAGAGTTGTGTTTTAAAGATTGTCATTAAGAAGCTAAGCTCTAAAGTGAAAAAAGGCAACAAATCAAACGTGAACTTCACAACCATGGATCTGGTGAAAGTAAGTGCACTCACATGTGATTAGCATTTTTTCCTGCATGCAATTATGAAAGGAGGATGGGACTTTGTGAGTCAGTCACTTTTATATCGGAAGCACTTCACATATAAACAAATGGAAATATCAGTGATATCAACATAAAAATTAGAAAGTCCCATTCTCCTTTTTTATTTATTTTTTTATTTTGCCTTTTCACATCAGGTATGGCGTACGCTCGAAGAAGGGATCACGCAAATTTATAAGCAAGAATCCAGCCTTACCATGGCTCAGTATATGGATTTATATGTGTAAGTTTAAATTCATAATCATTGGGACATTCGAACAATTTAATCAAATAATTAATTCGTATTCTTCAACTTCCTTGCAGGTTCGTTTATAATTCGTGTGCCTTAGTCCAACATGTACCAGAGTCCAAGAAAAATAAGATGATAATGTATAGAATACATAATTCAGGCACAGCTAAAAAATACAGTTCTGAGCTGTTTGGTAGAGAACTCTATAAACGATTAAAGCATTTTCTAGAGAATTATGTGACTGAGTTGTTAAAGGTGTGTATTACCATTCGGCCAATTTCATATCATCTGCATATCATAAATATCAATGCAATACTCTAATAAATTGTTTCGATTTTCATTTGTATACACAGAGTGGATCAAATTTGATCGACGAAGATTTATTGACATTTTACAACACAAAATGGGTTGAATATCATTTTTCAAGTACTGTACTGAATGGCGTTTTCAGCTATTTCAATCGACAATGGGTGCGTCGCGAACGTGAAGAACATAAGGATGTTTACGATGTATATCAGTTGGCATTGGTCACATGGCGTGAATATTTTTTCAAATATCTAAACAAACAAGTTTCAAATGCCGTACATAAACTGATCGAACGTGAACGTAACGGTGAAACGATCGATTCCCATCTCATATCTGGTGTAATCAGTTGCTATGTTGAATTGGTTATGGATGAAACATATCCGTTTGCACATAATTTGTCCGTTTACAAGGAAAGCTTCGAAGATATATTTTTAAAAAATACCGAGCAATTTTATTCAGATAAAAGTGCTGAATTTCTTCGACAAACCTCAGTTACAGAATATCTGAGACGCGTTGGAAAACTCTTTAATGAAGAATCAAAACGCGCCCAGGTTCGTTTACACAATAACACACTCGGCAGCTTAACTGAAATCTTCGAACGTGTATTCATCGAAAAACACTTAGATATAATGCGTACTGAGTTCCGGGTAAATCAACCATTTTTTTTCTTCTGTTGGATGAGTTTGTCTAATTAAATGCGAACTTGGTCATTTTCAAATTTACAGAAGCTACTGGAATCGAACGAAAATATCGAATTGAGTGGTATGTACACATCAATTTGCAAATTGAATTCCACATTTGCAAGCATATTGGAAGAACACGTTCACAAAGAAGGTGTAAAAGTGATTGAACAGTGTGGTGATGCTGCAATAAATGTAAGTTTGCCAAATTTATAACCAAATCAAATCACTAAATGGAAAGGTGTGAATTTAAAACTGTTTGTTTCTCTGTAGGATCCAAAAGTATATGTGCAAACCATACTTGATGTGCATAAGAAATACAACGCCCTAGTATCGGAATCATTCAAAAATGATTACGCATTTGTAACTGCTTTGGAGCTGGCATGTAGCAAATTCATAAATAGAAATGCAGTTACAACGACCAGCAAAAATACAAGCAAGAGTTCAGAACTGTTGGCAAAGTACTGTGATTTAGTGTTAAAAAAATCGAACAAAAATCTCGAAGAAGCCGAACTTGAACATGCTCTCAATCAGGTTATTGGTATATTCAAATATATCGAAGACAAAGATGTATTTCAGAATTTCTACAGTAAAATGCTGGCAAAACGATTGGTGAATTACACATCGTCCTCAGACGATGCCGAAGCATCAATGATTTCAAAATTGAAACAGGCCTACGGTTACGAATATACTCGCAAATTAGAACGAATGTTCCAGGACATTGGCATTTCCAAGGATCTAAATGATAAATTCAAAGCGAGAACCAAATCGTCCGATGTGCCAAGCGAAGTCGATTTTAGCATCCAAGTTCTGTCAAGTGGATCATGGCCATTCAGTCAAAGCTTTGATTTCCCTTTGCCACCCGAGCTAGAAAGATCTGTCCAAAATTTCAATAATTTTTATGCGGATGTTCATTCGGGACGTAAGCTCGTCTGGCTGTATAATATGTGCAAAGGTGAAATTGTGACAAATTGCTTCACAAATCGATACACATTGCAGGTAAAGATTTGAATTGACAAAAGCACAGTATTAAAACAGTATTTAAAAAATATTCTTTGACTTTGTCCACAGGCAAGCGCCTGTCAAATGGCTGTGTTGCTACAATTTAACGAACAAACCAGCATAACTGTTCAGCAACTTGGTGAAAACACTGGTAAGCTGCGATCATTTTATTTGGTGGCAGTGTGCAATTGTCGTGTGCTAAACTAATTTCATCCTCTTAATATTTCAGGTATCGCTCAAGAAAAGTTGCTCAAAATTTTGCAAATTTTTTTAAAAACAAAATTGTTTACGTGCTCAGATGATGAAAGCAGCTTGAATGGTGAATCAGTCATTGAACTATTTTTAGCTTTCGAAAAGTGAGTTTAATCTCTATTCTATTTTATCATATTCATGTGATATTGATAATATACTAAATTCAATTTTGTTAATAGCAAAAAATCACGCATCAACATAAACATCCCGCTTAAAATCGAACTGAAGATCGAAGATGAAGCCACGCATAAGCACATTGAAGAAGACCGAACACTTCTGATACAGGCAGCTATTGTACGTATTATGAAAATGCGTAAAATTCTCGATCATCAAAGGTTGGTCAGCGAGGTACTCACACAACTTTCGACACGATTCATGCCCAAAGTTCCTGTCATCAAGGTACATAGCAAACATTTAAGATATTTTTTTAAATATAATTTATTAACTTTTGTTTGTTTTTTTTTTTACAGAAATGTATCGACATTCTCATCGACAAGGAATACATTGAACGACAGGAGACAGACAAACATAGCTACAAATATCTGGCATAGTTTCGCTCTACTTTGCACGACGTTAAAAAAATTGATTTCTTTTTTACTATTATTATAATAAGTCGTAATTTAATAAATTAATAAAGAAGAATATAAATAACATATGGAACGAGATGTCTTTATTATTAGTGTTAATACAAAATTAGGAAAATTCTCATGTTAATAATGCCTCAGAAACCTATCTACTGTCATGGAAGTTCAATTGAAAGACCGTGAGATTTTAATTGGGTAGGAAGTAAAATTCCGGTCCGTTTCAAATTTAAAAAAAATCGTTTATACCACTAAAATGTACAAATTATGTGATAAGAAAAAAAAAATTCTCCAGAGGGGGACAGAAACCCAAACACCAATCTATTTGAAGGAACTCACAAATTTTCGAATAGTCAAACTAGCTCAACACAACTCGCAACATGCGAAAAAAGAATGTTAGATTTACATTGAATGCGAATATTCGTGAACCGGGTTTTTCGTTTGCACTTGTTTTTATTCACTATAACACGTTAAACATGATCAAATGTTGGTATTCTTAAAACACAGCATAATGACTAATGTTTTTAATGAACGCAATAGATGGAGTGGGGAGCTAGCGAAGCGATCGCGAAGAGTTATATTACCATTCATCTTATACACTCTGTCACATCTGTCGTAAACAACTAAGTATAGCGAAGCTGTCATTTGAGCATTTCGTGTGTATTTTTATTGGAGGTAAGAAGTTATAAATGCTATTTATTTCCAACATTTTCTTTTGAAATTCCATGAAAAGAGTGAGTTTGAATAATAATATTATTTATTTAAAAATTACACATCATTGTCTCTTTAATTTTTCGTAATTTATCCAAATCTGTTCTAGAGTGAAAATGTTGTGAATATATAAATGCATACTAAATTCTTATATAGTTTGAAATTTATTCATTTTCGAATATTTTTCACCTATGTAAAAATAAAAATTTCTTCCAATTAACCACTTTTCGCGATCAAAAATGAGAATTTTTTGCATATGTCATTTTGGTTTCTATCCTATTAGTGCTGCAATTGACTTTCTAAATCATGACTTTAAAAAACCAGTTGTGGTTTTTCTAGACAGGGCGTTCACTTGCAAAACATTAGCATCTACTTCACAATTTCCAGCGAAAAAAAATGTTTTGAATAAAACTTTCGGTCTTCCCCACATCTTCAAATAAAAAAAATCGAAAATCGTTGATGCTCGTGGTGTATTTATAACTTCATGTTTTTTGTGCTGTCAATCATTATTTTGTTTGCTTGTTTTCTCTGCTGTTTTATTTTTAGTTCAAAGATGAAATTGTACGCTGTATCTGACGGTCCGCCATCGTTAGCTTGTCGTATGGTATTGAAAGCACTAAATATTTCATTTGAATTGGTACCGGTTAACTTTAATATTGGCGAGCATTTAACTGATGAATATTTCAAGGTAATCGGAAACCGTTTGATAAAATGACACATTGGGTGTGTTTTATAAAAGCATTTTGTTCGTTTTAAATGTTGTAGTTGAATCCACAAAAAGAGATTCCGGTGCTTGACGATGATGGTTTTTTATTGAGCGAGAGTGTTGCTATAATGCAGTATTTATGTGACCAATATGCGCCAGAGAATTCAATTTATCCGAAGGAGCCAAAGAAACGAGCACTGGTCAACCATCGATTGAACTTCAACATGGGATTTTACTACAATTACATCAGCCAATATGCGGTGAATGTTCATGAAAAATTCGCGTTTAAACTTTATTTAATATCATTAATTTTTGAGTAGATGGCACCGATTTTCTTCGACTATCCACGAAGTGACATGGGGAAAAAGAAAGTTGAACTTGCGCTAAATGCATTCGAAACATACTTGAAAAATACCAACACCAAGTATGCAGCTGGGGATAATATGACTATTGCCGATTGCGCTCTTGCAGCCGGCACGCTACCATTAGAAGCAATCGGATATAAATTCGACCATTGTCCATTGGTTACCAAATGGTATAACACATTCAAGAGTGAAAACGCAAGCGTGTGGGAAATTGGACAAGCTGGCCTCGATGAAATCGCTGATTTTGAACAAAATCCACCAGACCTCTCGAAATTGAATCATCCATTACATCCAGCAAGAAAGAATTAATCATCACAGCTATAATCAAACATTTCCAGATTTTTTTTGGGCACTCGATTTACATTTTTAAAGAAAAGAAATAAATGCATAGCAACTGAATTTTGCTTGTTGTTTATATGAGTTTTCGGACTTGTGAAATTACCCCTTTACAAATTTTCGTAAATCAAAAAGTGAAGACCTTTTTTAGCTCTTCACTTTTTGAAATGGAAGACATCCATTTTCTCACGAGCTATCACTGAACTTAACAACACCCGAATAAAACTAAATTAAAGAAACAAATGGACATGATGAATATAATAGCAATCACTTAATGAAACTGAATAAATTAAAAAAATAGAAGAGAAAAACTAGCACAATACGTTCGCTGTATGTATTTGTATATCCTATCGTTCCCTCTTCAAATATAAATCAGAAAAACAGATCATGACGCAAGTTATTTTTTATTAAAGATTTTTTTTTGTTTTGAAAAAATATGCACATGTGACAGCCAGAGTCAATTACATATAATTGTGGGCGAATTGAAAATTCATTTAAAAAAAGTACAGGATGTATTTTTCTTATTGTAGAATAATTATAGTGTAAGAATATGATTCGCAGTTTTCAATCCTTCATTTTTAATGTGCAACACACAAAAATTTTATCGAGCGCAAGCGGGGAAAAGATTAGCAATTCGTGTACAATTTGACAAATGGGTTTGATTACCAATTTTCTTGGTCATTACTTAAAATAATTTCATTCGAAGTGTTATCATTTATTCATTCAGAAGAACGGAACATTCTGGACGATTTTAAAGGTTGAACACATAACTTCACACTGTGAATAATTAAAATCATAATGCATGGGACAAACAAGGTTTTAAGAAATGTTGGACAATTTCAATAGAACCAATAAAATTCGTTTTGTATAAAAGCGCTAAAAAGCAAAATTCGTTTCAGTAACTGATAGTAATTTGGATAGTAAGTAATAATGAAAAAATAAAGAAAGATTTTTTAAAAATTGAGTTTTGTCTTTTGATTATCACGATGACCAGTGCTCGGTAAAAAAAGTGTCAAATTTTGATAGTTTTAAATTAACTATTGGTAGAATTATTTTTAATTTTTGGTATATCTATCAAATTACAGAATGACACCATTGCCGACGGCTCAGAAAATGTTAACATGGCTTTGCATTCTTAATTCAAAAAACGACCAAAAAAAGAATTCGCACATTGCATTCACTTTCGCTGTTGTTGCCTCAGAGGTCTTTGTATCCATTGCTTTTTTGACATTTATTTTTAAGAATGCAAAAGTTGATTTCGAAGGAACCGTATTTGCATTATGTCACTCAATTGTAACTGTTGGAATGGTATATCTCGCATTAGTGGCATTTCTTGTGCGACATGGAATTTGTACCGTTTTTGAACAGTTATCGGAAATTTATTACACAAGTAGGATTTTTAATATTTTATAGGACAATACTCTGTAAAAATATGACCGAAATATTGTTTCAAATTCAGACAATGGTTGTGATCGGTTTCAATTCTTGGCAAAAGCAAACAACAGATGTGAATCGTTGTGGAAGTTTTTCTTCCAAAGGGTTGCCCCAACATTCTGTGCCTCATATGCGTTTCTAAGTGCAGCTTCAGTTCTGTTTTGTTTCTATTCACATGGAGAGTTCAAAAAGGATCAATTATACGTACCGTACCCTTTGGCGTGAGTGACATTTTCGTTCTCAACAAATAAAATGCATTAATTGAATTTTCTCTCAGTCTGCCCTGGAATCAAACGACACCATTGGGCTATTTTGGAGAAATCTGCGTTAGCATTTCATACGCCACATCCTATTGTATTATGAATGGTGTCGTTCTCATGACATTCATTTCAATGTGCTTCCATCATCAAGCGTTTTATGAAATGTTTCGTCATACATTGTCCGAATTGGATAATGCCGATGAAAGCCGCAATGACACAGAGTTTTTCAGCAAACTTGTGAAATTTCAAATACAAATTCGAGAGTAAGAAATATACATCGATGCGAGTAAATTTTCAAAAATATTTCAATCATTAAATTTTCCATACAGTTGGTTCATGAATTCGTCTGAAGTCTACTCTTCTATTAATGTGCTTGAACTTCTCATGAGCATGTTGGGTTTGGCTGCTTGCATTTTTCAATTGGATCTAGTAATTTAATTTGGTTCCATTCGATTTGGTCATTGTTCGAAGTAATTGGGAATTCCGTATTTTCAGAAATCTCAAGATTTGGATGTAAATGCCGCTATTTTTGTATTAGTGGCTATGTGTGCCTTGTTAAATCTTTTTGTACATTGTTATTTTGGAAAATTGGCCTCGCACAGCTATGAAAAAATGGTTGAATGTTTATTTGAAAGTAATTGGAAGGATTTACCAAATGATTTTCAAAAGTATTTCATCATTATTATTGCAAACGCCCAAAAACCAATTTTCTATCACGGATTCAAGATGGTCATATTGAATTTGGAGACTTTTGCAAAGGTGAGTTCAATTTAATTTTATACATGAAAAACTGTTGCGTTTTCTATTTAATTTTCATTTTAGGTTATAAAAACAGGTTTGTTCGCTTTTATTACCATTTCATTTGGATTATATTATATACATTTTTTTTTACAGCATTCAGCTACTACCTTCTTTTCAAGACAATGGTCGATTAGTGGAATCAACTTTGACCTTAAAGAAACCATCGGACGTCTCGGTTCCATAGATTATTTCGATAATATGCATTCATGAGAATAAATTAATCACAATTCTTGGTACTAGGCCTAATCAAAAATAAACAATTTAAAAAAAATCAGCGTTTATTAAAGTTTGATCTCTTTTTAAATGAACACAACTCAAATATTCATAAAAATATCTCTTTCGTATTGTTGGCGCCATCTATCGTCATAATTCATAAGAACAATTGATACACGTAACTGATTAAATGATAGCGTGACATTTTCGGCGAATGAAAATAGGCAAATTGACAGCTGCCAAAAGTAAAACACTTTTTTCTCTCATTAAAGTTACACATATGCATATTTCAGAATTTGTCATTTGATCGTATATACGCTGCTATCAAAATCAAATTCAATAAACCTCAATGAATCCAATACATAACAAATAAACACTCATTTTCGGTGTTACGTTCAACGATTTAACGAGAAAAGGAATAAGTGTCAATCGAGTGACGGACCACATAACACAAATTCATTGGTTAACAATTCACAAAAATGCTTACAAATAGTTTATTGTGTTATTTTTTGGCACTATTTTTAGTGTATCAGAGTGTATCTGGTGTAGAATTAACATTCGATTTGCCAGATAGTGCTCGTGATTGTTTTTATGAAGAGGTTAAAAAGAATACGTCCGTAGTTTTAGAATATCAGGTAAGAAATTGGCACAACTTCGGCAATGGAACGACTGGAACTTTGATCGATGACTAATTATTGTGGTATTTTTGTTTTTACTAATTAAGGTTGTGACCGGAGGGCAATACGATGTTGACGTAGTGCTAGAGGGACCAAACCAAGAAATTCTTTATCAAAACACTCGATCTCAATTCGATTCACATCAATTCACAACAGATGTAAGCATTTCGTTACTTTCGGCGAATGCATAATGCGCATTTTATTGATTAACCACGATCTTTTAACAAATTGCTCGATATTTTCAGACGGACGGTGTATATACGGTGTGCTTTAGCAATGAATTTTCAACATTCAGTCACAAAATTATTTATATGGATTTCCAAGTTGGCGAAGAAAACCCATTGACACCAGACTTTGAAGCGCATTCGACGGCATTGACACAACTCGAATCAGCCGCTCAGGAAATTCACAAGAGCCTGAACGCGATCTTAGATTATCAAACACATCATCGTTTGGTGAGTACAATCCATGACTGTAAAGATTTTCGGGATATCTTCCGGCATTCATCGTTATTTTTTATTTAAAAAACTCTGAAATTTTTTAACAAAGTTCAACATTTTGATATAATTGATAATTGTAGCGTGAAGCTCAAGGTCGCAAACGGGCCGAAGAATTGAATGAACGTGTACTTTGGTGGTCAATTGCTGAAGCATTCGCTATTTTCGCCATCACAATCACACAAGTGCTTGTACTAAGAAACTTCTTCACTGATCGGGCCGCGCATCAACCACGATACGGACGTTTGTAAAACAGTTTTTTTTAGCTTAATATTGAGTACATGATGTAATTTATCTTTGCTGTTTAAATTTTTTTTCCATAACACGGTGCAACATAAACAAAGAACAAAAAACAAAACAGAAAAATCTTTTTAAAGGAAAACTCAACAGAATGAACAAATTAGTGTGCTTAGATTGAGAATGCAATTTATGTATTTAAATAAAAACAAAATGGAACAAAATACCAAAACGAATGTAACATTTTTCTCTCTCGTTTTTTTTTCGAAATAAACTTACTTTTTAGAGTTAAAAAAATACCGTTTTTTGTAAAATGAATGTTTATTGAACGACTAAAATGGTTGCTATCAGCTTAAAATGTGATGTTTTTCATTTTTTCAAAAAATGACCAAAAATGTGAATAAAATATAAATGATGGCCGTTGGATAAGCGATGAGTGCGCCGTTGCTCGATTGATTTGACATGATGCCCAAAATGCGTGCCGTTTGAAAAGTTGACAGACACACTGCGATTATTCCGGCCAATATTGAGAATGAATTCATTGTATTGAGACTGAAGAAAATGCCGATAATTGAAAACCAAACCATGTGCAACATTCCATAGCCCAATGCGCTCGCAACCCCTTTGATGGTTATGAAATGCTCTTGATGACCATAAGACATTTGTTTCAACAATATATACATTCCCAGCACCGATACCATTGATAAAGCGTACAAATGACTGAAAATGAAGACCTTTCCCGCCAAAAACAAACATGCGCCGAACAAAAAGCAAAAGAAAATCGGACCAAATAAATCGGTGTCGATCAAAAAGTGCTCATTCGCCAATTGATTGGAGAGAAATGGATTCATGAATATCATTGCTTTCTCTTTGATCTGCCCAGGATAGATTTCCAGCTCTTCAAGTAGAGGTGGTTCATTTAATTCAATATTGTCAACGATGTCGGGTGCACATGTGATATTTTGTTGCGGCGACACCGATAGCTTGATTGAACAACCGCTGTATTGATTATCATTTGCATCGAAATATTGACTTTCATTCAGAGCCGATGCATTTGAATTGTTGAAATAATTGCTGACCATACCGAAACAATCTTTGATAACCACATGAATATCGCTGACATTGTGGTATTTGGATTCTGAAATGAAAAGAACCAAATCATAAACAATGGAAAGAATGCAGTTTGAGATATTTGAAGTCGTTTAAAATTTACCCATTTTAAGGTTTGTTCGACGAAAATCGTTTTTTAACGCAGTCTTCTATCGATTGCAATATGATTTTATAAAAACAACAAAAGATACTAGATTTTGACAAAACAAATCAAGACAATGCATGAAAAATGATGAAAGATTTTGTGTGTTTATTCACTAACGGTACCGTGTATCGCTTTTTCGTATGAAAAAGCGAAGAGCGCAATAAGTGTTACCAGATAGCTACAACACTGCCGCCTAATGAAAATACCAACAATTGCTATAAAATAACTGCTTTACAGCGAACAATTTATTTAATTCAGCGCAATTAAAAAGGAGAATTGAGAATATTTCTTTGGCAAAAATCATGTTTCCATTGAAAAATGTCTAAAAATCTGGAATTGTGAATGGAAATCGAATACATAAACTGCGGGAATAACGATGCATAATGCCGTAAGTGAGGTGTCATTGCGTGCACACACAAACACACCATCACAATATTCATCGATGTTTTTGTGATATCTCATATCACATATCACACACACCGTACACCATAATAAATGTGTTGTTATTATCGCCAAATTAGCTGAACTGTCAACAGCAATGCGGAGATGTCAATGTCGTTGTTGCGTGTTATTCTATAGTATATCGGTTGTGCTTGGCACACACGATTATTGCCACAGCAATAACACATATCAAATCGTGTCTGTTGTTAGTGCCGTCTTGACGGACCCAAAGAATATTTATCGTCGATATGTGCTCTGCTTAACATTTCTGGTTGAACAGTGAACGAGTGACAATCGTCTTTCTGGAAGCTCACAGATTTTATAAAATCGTTTACACAATCGTTTCTGTCTGTTTTTTTTTTTTTCAAAAATTTAATTTCACACTTCAAGTCAAAGTGTTTCACACTTTTTTTCTGCAATATTTTCTCGCCTCTTAAGACAGTTGCAAGTCAGAACAATTATCGTAATTGGTTTTGTTGTCAATTTCCAAGAAATTCTTGGTGCTGTAAATAAAAACGATACTTGTAAGTAAACAAATGCAACAATTTTCTACGATGAAAATATTTAGTTTGTGATTTTTAAGTGCGTTATAAAATGAGTTAATTCCAATTTATAAATTAAACGATTTTAAAAGAAAAGAAGAAGCAAAAAAAAAAAGAAAAACACTTTTCAAGGTGCGTATTTCATGCGAAATATGGGAGACATTCTTTTATTTATAGTAAGCTAATTTTGTTGGATGGATCAGAAAAAAAACACGAAACAATTCGAAAATACGCGTTGCGTACCGAAACGCATTTTCTTTATTCAAGTGACGACCTCAGCATATACTCTTATTGCATGACGATTTAAATTAAATAAATATTTAGTGAAGTGCACAACAGAGACCGATTCAGAATCAAAACAAAATAAAACCGCGCCAAGTTATACCATATTCATTACACATCAAAACACTCTTTTGCAGCCGTTTTAGTGCATTTCTTTCTTTAAACAGAAACAAATTTATCTACGCAAATAATTCATTTTCGTGATGAAAATTGGGTTTTGACTTTTAACCATTACCTATTTTTAAAAAAGACAATTAATTTTGAACAAAAAAAGATACACTATATTGACTATTTACGTTACTCGCAGAAAAAAATCACATCAGCTGTTTTTTGTGTGGCATTTCAACTGGTTCAACGCAAAAATGGATGATGAATTTGCATTATGCTGGAACAATTTTCAGGTTTGTCTGTTTTTTTGCAGCCTACTCTTTAAAAAAAATTATTTTAAATATCAACGAGGAAAAGCGTCTTTTTTTTAATTTTTAAACTATTTTTTAAATAATAACTTTTCGTATTATTTCATTTTTAAAGTAAAAGAACCGTTTTTTTTTTTCAAAATGACTCTATTCGATTTTTTGGATTTTCAGGAGAACATTGCGTCCGGCTTTCAAAATTTATTCGACCGTGGCGATTTGGTGGATGTAACTTTAGCATGCGATGGAAAACTGTTACAAGCACATAAAATTGTGTTGGCGATTTGCAGTCCATACTTTCAAGAGATGTTCATTACGAATCCATGCCGTCATCCAATCAGTAAGCATTTTTTTTAATCTATCTACTTTTGATTGGTCTTCGATTTCTTTATGATTACGCGTCGATTTCTTTAATAGAAATTTAATTTAAACGAAACAAAATATTGATCGCTGATAAAAATATCATAGTTGAATCAAGTGTAAGGGTTGAACATCAAAACTAAGTAATCGATCGATGTAAACAAGCATTTGAATAATGAGAGAATGTATCACTTTTTGTGTCCTATTATTAACCGCCGACTCAATTCAATAGCCGACCTTTCTTTGTATTAAGTGAAATGGTGATACAAATTGTTTCCAATTCTGATTTAACAAAAATAGTAAGTCGTTTCGTTTGAAAAATTCATGAAAAATAATCAATAGTTTGTAGCTGGAAAAAGGTCATAATTTTGTTGAATATTTCGAAATTGTTTTTGTTACACCAACTGTGAGAGGTTTGAAAATTGACAATAATTCAAAACAGCCTATAAAAGAAATACAGAAGTCAATCACCTTATGTGAAAGGCAGGCGTCATTTTTATGGATACCAGAATCTTCAAATATTTCGAGAAAACGTGTTGTACCATTATCTAATAACAAGGTACTTAATAATAAAGTGTTGGCGTCGGCAAATTGCGTATTTGAAGTCTGAAACAAAAATAGTGCTATTATTTACGATATTGTGCATATACATGATCTCTTTGGAAATCAGATTATGAGCACATGTCCGTCATATTATGTGCTAGATCATTCAATGGTTGCATGACAAACGAGAGAACTTCGATCCGAAGCTAATTACGAACGCATAGATATTTTTTTTCCGTTCAATACACATTCATATCTTCTTTTCCTTCGAAAGTTCGTATTTTCTTTATCATTATTTGTGTGTTCGGTTGTTGTTGTGCTTGTGAGTCTTGAGCGAATCACCTTTAACCCCGTTTGTTGATATCAAGGAGAATTTTATCTTTTCATTACAGTTGTGTCGGCATAAAGTCGCTCCGAATGCCACCAAAATGATCGCAAAATAAGTCACATCATAGAAAACTGAATGTCGGATGTGTGTGTGTTTTTTTTTTCTTCTTCTTTCGAATTGAGATATTCAACTGAACAGTTTTTCTAATTAAAACACTGATAACTGGAAACAAAATGAACACAAGAAAAAAAAGAACATACGAAGGAAAGACAGAACAAACATCAATCGATCTATATATTGCTTCACAGCATCTACAGAAAATGTTCAGAATTTTGTCTTCTTGTGATATTTTATCAAAAAAATTATTTGAAACACGAAAAGGAGATAATATTGGCGCGCGCAAATCAAATGCGCTGTTGCTTGTTTTGTTGACGTTAAGTGACATGAATATTGTGTGTCATCAATGCCCTTAAAATGTTTCTATTGCGAGCACATGATATAGAGAAATGCGAATCGACGTTACGAATGAACTATCATCAAATTCCTTTATCAATTTTTATGTTTTCAATTTAGCGTGTGCGTCCTTTCTCTGTCTTAGAATCGTAAATACGAAGAGCGAGAGGGAGATAGAGAGAACGAGAGAGATGATGTGCTTCGATCGGCCGTATTTCTCATTCTTTTCATGACAATTTTTATTCGATTTTCTTCGATTTTTGTTTAGCTACCAATGTGAACGCGCGCGCACGCTCACGTTATCACTGCGTTTATTCTCTTTTCTGCTCTTTCTTGCTCAAATATGGTATATTGCTTACTACAGACATCTTTTCTCTAGTCCCAATGTATAACCGCACAACATTTTATTTTAATATAAAAGGAGAAGAACCGATAGGGAAATAAGAGATCATTTCATGTAAAATAAACTAATGACATTTTAACCTTTTGTAGAGCAATACAAAAACACAAATAAGTCTTTCGATATTTTTCATTCGCATTCTGTTTTTTTCCCTTCAAGCAGCGTTTTTTTTTCGTTCACACTTGTTTCTCTTGACTCTGCATAAAAATTGTCGCTCATTTTGATTTATTTGTTGATGTGATGATCAGTTGAGAACAAAAAAAAAGTCCACATCATATTCGGTCTTAATTACATTTATATATTAGATCCATTAAATGATTTGTTATCGCAAGTGTAGCGTACAACTGATATCAGTTGTTCGATGTTCGATTTTGTGTGACCTGTTATCTGCATATTTTAACTTATTGATGCTCATCAATATTTCTAACTTATCGTGTGTTCACACACAAAATGCGTCGATATAAATATATATATATATAACAAAACAGATATCGTCATCCAATATTTGGATTACAAAGTGTGTGCGACGTGGTTTTAAAGCACTTTTCCATAAGGAGCAATATTCTAATTGTGTTTATTCATAAATATTAATTGATCGCCGATAATAATATTAAACAGCTTTACTGGTGAGGCGCGAAAATATCTTTTAAAACTATGGCATGGCACTTGATGGAATGTGACTTGGAAAATGTCTGAAAATTGCAAGTTGGCATACGTTGTCAAATTGAACCCCCATCCATGACCTAAATTTATATTCCTTTGCGTCAACCACTTAATTAACGTCAAATAATAACAAATTTTCGTTCGGATAACTGTAATCATAATAATTTGGATAAGCGAGAATATTCATTAGCAAGATATCTGTTTTGTCTGCACGCAATGAAATTTACATTAACGTCAATCGACTCCCTTGTTTTTTTTTTTTGGTGGATTAGAGAATCGTCACCTACAACATTCCGCGTGTTTGTATACAAATTTCGATCGATTTTCGAAAAGCGTAAACATCTGTAACATGCATTGAAATCATGATAAATCGATAATTTTTCACGTCCCGAAATGAAATTGTTGTGGTGCGTATTTATTATTTGCTATTTGTTGTAAATAGGTTGTTTGTATTTGTAAATGTATTTAAAATGCAACAGATCAAAATGTTATCACATTTTCTGTGAGTAAATTGTGTATCTTCTTTGCGTCTATTTTCTCTTTCCCATTCGACTCAGTAGGTATTCGTTGCTTTTTTTTCTTTGAATATTCTTTTATTTCAATATTATGATAACCTCCGATGCTTAGATCAACAAATAAATTAACAACACGATGTGTCGTACATGATTTTTTTTCCATTCCACACACATAGTATATATGGGATATGTATCATTTCGGAATGAGTTCAGTGAATTTATCAGAAAATCATCACGACAAATGTTCAAAGTTCGATGATGATAAGAATAACAACCATTTTCTAGACCATTTTGTACACCAAACGTGTAAACTATATGTACAGAAATCGAATCTTCGAGTCTTTATAAATATATCGATTCTCATTTTTTGGAAAATGATAACAAAATAAGATAAAATGCAATAAATATGACTCTATTTTATGGCTAAAGAAGAAAGAAGAAAGAAAAAATCAAAAAATTTGATTTACAGTACACAAGAAAAAAAAAGCGTAGATGGATTATTGATGTGGTTTAGCGAAAGTCATTGAATCGACTCGATCGAAAGTAAGAAATGTAATACAAAGATATAGATATTTATATACATAAATGTGAGTACAGGAAGAAGACGACGACGAAGTGAACAAAAAGAGTAATCATGAAATGAACATGCGTTAAGTAAATAAATTCGATGTTGTTTAAAATGGACTATAAAAATTCAGCAGACCTATCTACTGCTAGTAGCAACAAGTTCAATTGATTTTGATATATTGTTTTCATTATTATTGACAGGCGCGCACACCGATATCGCCATCAACAAATACTTCATTAGATATCGATAAACGTATCGATATTGAATTCGGACTCAGTTCAACATAACGGTTTCGGTTTTTATCTCTGTCTCTTTCCATTCCATTCTTGCGTCACATGTTGCGTCTCTGTACCGCGCACTTTTCATTCCACACACTTTGTCACGTTTCGTTTTTTCTTCATCATTCGCGCGCGCAATTGTATTTGTTGTCACCGAAACGGGAGCCATATATTTTAACGAAATGTATTTCATTTTTGTTATAGATAATTATAAGATATTAATCAATTCTATGGGTTTTACTTTAGATTTGTTTGCTCTTAAGTGTTCAATTATTGAACTTCAATAACAAGTGAAGTCGTAAAAAATCATCATCAATTTTTAGAGACAGAAAAGAGAATGTGATAAATGATAATAAATGATAGAAAATTTCATTTAATCGAATATACATACACCGTACAAGACTTTTTCATGCCGTTTTCAATGTACTTATCAATAAGCCATTTCATAACATTCGTTCCAGATATTTTTTTTTATTTCCTATCGAAACTATCGGATTTTATTCTATGAGACAAATTATATGCGGATGTTCGTGATTATGTAATTTGTGTTAAAACATACATACTCAAGGAATCATATGGAAAATGTCTCTCTCTTTCAATGGACACCATCATTTAAAGTTGACTTAAACTGATAACTTTTTGCCGATGTATTTACATATTCGTATCAGAAATGATTTAATATCATATACACGCGCCTTTTAACACCCTAGCTTGTATATTTCAGATGTAAAAATGGTAGTTCGATCGCAACTCTGACGCAACCATAAATCATCAATATATCGTATTCGCTGACAAAAATCGAAATTATTATTTCTTGTAATTATTCTTCATTTTCTTTTTGTTCGTATTGTTTTCGATTTCGTACAAGTATGATAATACAAAACCGTATCGTATATCATTTTTCGTACGAAAATACATTCATATCGATCATTCATCGAACGTAACCAAAGAAATGTGGAAAAAAAGAGAAGAAAATAAGATAGTAGTAAGAATTTGAACCTGAAAAAAGGTCAACATATTTTTTCTCTCTTTGAACACGTGATGAAAGTAACACTAAGACATATTCCTCATTATTCGACTTTCCGCGGAAATTGTCTGCTTTTCTCTTCTCTCATATTCATCCCTTATCAGCTCTAACAACCTAGCAAACGTATTTTCGATCTTTTTTCGGTGTGACATTTCTGATGAACTCATTCTACTGCTCTATTTTCGCCGTGTTGCTCACTTTTCTCACAATTGTGGTAATTTTGTTTTTGAGAATTTGATACTGAATCTTCACAGATTGAATATTGTGTTGGCAACACCTCAACTGATATCGCTTGATAAATAAAGAAACAAGCATGACTTTAGTATGTATATATATTCCGTTGCAATTTGTTGACTTATCAAAACGGAATTCGTACATAAACATTTGCATCAAATGTTACATGCACTGTGCAAACATGCCGTTATGCTCCATACTATATGTAATGGGTTGTACGTAACGACGAGGGGTGTCCCATTTATAAAAAAAGTGGGGTAGAGATAGAGTTGATCCTGTGTAAAGCGGTTGTGTTGCACATAAATGTGATAATAAAAAGTTATTTTTGCCATTTCATTCGAATGCAACCATAAAATTCTATTGTAGTGGTTTATTATTTGTATTCGTGTAAGAGAAAGAGTCAAAAAATGATAACAACAAACAAAATGTCTCAAGTCAAATTGTGCACTCTGCGTTTTTGTATTGTATTTAAACGCATCAAAAATTAAATACATTCTTGCTTTTGAATGCATATTTTTTCTCTTCGTCTCTCTTTGGTTTCATGAATACGATAAAAACGTGCCGAAATACATTCGTAAAGGTTGGAGTGCCAACGATGTATAGTTTTATAAAACTGCGTGCAACAGTTTCTTTTATTGAAGAGAGACAATGTCTGTGCGAAAATGTTTCGCGCGATAAAATGTTATTGTTTCGAATTATTTTTATTGGCTGTGTCAACAAACATATTTACGTTTTGAAATAGAAAAAGAGTGATGAAACATGCAAGATATACATGAGATGTATAATGCGCATTTTCCAAAGAAGATCTTTTAATTTAAAACAAAAAATGTGCCCTACAGACGATATTATTACGAAAGTTAATTAGAGTTTGTTTTGTTAACACATTCCCTGTGACTTTTTCGGAATTTCTGCTATTCAGTGAATATTCACGTGTCATCTAGATTAGTTGAAGAAAAGCGTCAAAATACTAATCATCAAATAATAATTTTATTGCTTTTTTTTGTTTAAACCTAGTCGTACTCAAAGACGTATCATACACGGTGATGACGGAATTGTTGCAATTTATGTATCAAGGAGTTGTGAATGTAAAGCATACCGAATTGAATTCGTTCATGAAAATTGCTCAACAATTGCAAATAAAAGGTCTTGCCACGTCATCGTCAAATCAACAAATGCACCCAAGTCAAGCGCATCATCATTCACAAAAGTCACCGTCCAGTCCGGCTGGTAGTTTTGGTGCGAAAAATGAAAACTATCCGAATGCATTCCATTCGAGTCAATTGAGTGGACACAAACGAGCAGCACTCGACTATAGCAATTTGCATAATGAAAGCGGCGGCGGCAGCGGTTCATCAAAAAAACATTTGAAACGAACATCAGAAAGTGTTGACAATGATGTTAGTACCGAATCAATGGATAATCTTAGCACCTCCGAAGATGGATTTCCAATTCCACAAATCTCGATGATCGAATCCGGACGATTTGATTTATCGAATGTGAAAAGAGAAACTGGCGATTCACCGGGAGCGACACGAAATCTATCAGCACCGTTTAACTTTGATTATAACCGTGAGTAGCAATTCATTTGAAGGCCTTCCTATTGTATGCGTAACAATCGAACTGAATTTATGTAGAATAACAGAAAATTACGATTTTTTCAAAGGCTTAGCAAATGCATCGGCAGCAGGAAGCAGCGCATCAACAATTAATGCCAATCATATGGAAATTCCAACGGGTGAGTTAAACTAATTATGTTTGCTTCACTTGCACACTATCACTTTTGTTACCCTTTGCTGTAAATTCTTGCGTTTTATAAATAAATGGGAGAAATTAAAATGGAAACTTTGCATCTCTTTTTCGAAAGAGCATTTTATCCACTTTTGTAGTTTTACATAAATGTGAGCGGGGAAGTGAAAAAAATGAAATTTCTTCTTTTAGTTTCACCCATTCAAGTAATCTAACCACATTCCTTTTGCATAACTTTGTTTCAACCACTTGCTTCGACTAAATTTATATGTGTTTATTACTACCAAAAAGCTACATTTTGTTTGATTTGTAAATTGACAACAATTGTTTACCTAAAAAACTTATTGTTTTCTTATTTCACCTGTAAAAAAATGCTTATCGATCTACAAATGTACAAAAAAATGAACAAATTTCCTTTGTGAAAATCAATTTCTTTGAATTAAAATAATGTTTTTGTTTGTGAATTTATATGTAAAATGTAAAATTAACCAAATATTCAACTTTTACTTTTAATCCTAGTCAAATAAGTGTTATTATTTTATGTTAAGGTTGAGGCTTTATTTTTCGTTCACACCACACAGTGTAATTTGTTAACAAAAAAACCAGCGTCTCAAAGAAACTACTTATCACTACCTGAACTTTGAGTGCAATCTTTTGTTCTATTCTTGCTTTATTAATAAAATTCAATGTTCACCACTTTTTCTTTTCCACCTGTACAAACCGCACCTATTGCTTTGCGTGTAAATTTCGTATGTATAACTCAATGTTGAAGCGAAACGATTAAAAAGTGATATTATTTGCTTTCTTCCTCTCTCTCTCTCTCATTTTGTATGGCCAATCAAATTTCAGGTGGAAATGTAACGATGCTCTCATCGACGTCGTTATTGCATGCTAATTGCATTTTCAATCGAAACAATACGGTTGCAACGCAACAAGGAATGAAAACGTATTGGTTGTGTAAATCGTATCGCATAACGATGTGCCGAGCGAGATGCATTACACATCAGGGTCGTGTACTATCGGCCACCGGTGTGCATAATCATCAACCGCACATGAAAGGATCGTATCCAAATTCGGAATTTGTCCAAAGTGGCAACACAACAACATGTGCAACAAGCAATGGAAATAGTATATCAATATCAATGCGATTACCGTCTTCAATTCCAGTCACAACAGTAACAACGCAATCACATTCGTCGTCACCGACATCACAATCAATATTGCCAGCAACATCACAACACCAAGAGGTGCCACATTCTCAACATCACTTAAACAATGAAAATCAAACGCAAGAACCGCCAAATCATACGGTTACAACGAATGTTCATCATTCGCCACCGTCAAACCATCAACATCATTCGCATCACAGCGAACATCCAACGTCATCATCACATGCCAATAATAATTCAACATCGCTGCAGAATATGATGCAAAATGTTCTATCACAAAACAATTTAATGCAATTAACGAATATGACACCGATTCTCAATCCAATGCATAACCACTCGCACATGGCACACTTGCATAGTTCACACCTTTCGAATGAATTACATGTTACACCGAGTCAAAATCATGAAAATAATGAAAATAATGAAAATTTACACAGCCCAGATTCGCCCAGAAGTTCAATGCATCATGCTCAACTGGTTCGACACCAAATGACAGACGATGTTAATCGAATGACCCAACATCATTCACATTCGACGGGTACAATGCATGGACAGCAACAGCAACAGCAACATCACCACCACCATCATCATCAATCCAATGAAAATAATTCGCCCGTTGGATTGTCACCAATCGAAACACCACCACATCGAAGTCAATTAACATCTGAATCCGATTCGAATGTTCATCATTCGCTTGCAAATGAAATGACCTCATCGTCATCATTCAAACTCGAACAGATTTAGAGTGAACATCAAATTGAATTCAATGAAATGTAAAGATAGTTAAATAATAATTTAAACCAAAAAACCCAGTGCATTTTGAAGGATTCTGTACAAAAAAACAAATGCAAGCCATTTATTTCACTTTGATTTGAAATAAAATTATGTTTCCGTTTATATAATAATATATAGTTACATTTGAATGGGGTAGAATAAAAACTACTTCTCGAAAAATTGCTATTTTAAAACGAAACTTAAAAAAAATTTCAATAAAAAGTGAATCAATTTTTTTTTGTCCAATTGAAGTGAATCAAGAAAATTTTGTTCAATAAAAGTGAACCAAAAAAAAAATTTCACTCGGTTTTTTCAGTGTAAAATACACTAAAATGAATTTTTTTTTTGGGTTCACTTTTATTGAACAATTTTTTTTTGGTTCACTTCAATTGGACGAAAAAAAATTGATTCACTTTTCATTGAAAGTTTTTTTTAGGTTTCGTGTTTAAACATTTTTCGAGAAGTAGTTTTTATTCTACCCCATTCATTTATGCAAAACATGTTATTGTTATTAAGTAATTTCTAATTAAGAAAAAAATCATTATTTTCGATTTTACTTTTATTTTCATTCGATCCATGTGAATGAGTAGATTGTAAGCATTTTACGTCGTAAGAATTTTCTTTTGCGACTTAAGATGACTTGGTTGAAATAATCAAAAACATTTTACATTCAAATGAAATGAGTTTGCTTATTTTCTAATTGTTTTGGTAACTGCGTATTTAGAAACAAAGTAAAAAAAAACCTAATATACGGAAAAACGCTCGAATAAATGAAATTGCGCCAAATTTTGTTCCATTATTTAGGTATGTTTCACACATTCCACCTTTTTGGAGGTTTTTCTGTATAGACATTCTTTTCTTTCGAAAGAATTCTCTTGTCTGTACTACATTTTGCGTCTATTGACGACAATTCATCTGAATTGCATGAATTACATCAGCTAAAAAAATATCTCCTTAAAAAATTGACTGATTTCCTTTTATTTTTAAAAAATGTCGACGTATAGTAACACCCGGAGAAAAATGGTGCCACGGTAAATTGGAATTTATGCTCAGTCAACGTGGTAAACCGCTTTTAGTTCACGACGGACATTCATTTGGCATTCAATACATTCGCAAGGACAAAAAATACTGGTAAGTAAATCAAACATGATTTTGAAATGGAAAAAATACAATAATGATTACAAAGCCCAATTTTTTCTGGCGTCTTAAAAAAAATTGAACCAATTATTTTCTGCATTATTATTTTGTCTGAGAATTTTTCCTTCTTTTTTTCATTTAATTCCATAGGCAATGCAATTTATCTCGAAAATTCAATTGTAAGGCACGCGTGACAACAACTGATACGGGTGAGATAATTGTAACAAATAATGAACATTGTCACACGGAAATTCGGCAGCATTTGAAAAAAGACTACAAAAACAAATTAATGTTGAACGCTCTCAGTCACTTCAATCACCATCTAAATAACAGCATCCTATCAGGAAATGGGCCAATCGATGTTAGCAATAATAACAATAATCTTAATAATAATAACAACAGCAGCAGCAACGAAAATGCACGTGCTCGATCTTCTTCTCCGCAAATCAGTTCGAACGGCAGCTGGAACTTGAAAAAAGAGTCGAACTAGATGAAATTGCGCAAGTTGATGAATGTGTGAAGTACAAATGCAATGATACTCTAAAATCGTAATATTGAATACTATGAGCAAATTTTGTTTGACCAAAAAATATATATATATGTTTAATTCGGAAAATCTATCGTATGCCATGAAAATGTCAATTAGAAACTTTAGTGTTTAGGGTTTTTTCTCGACTTGTATGAATTGATATTTTGTGACAAATCGGGAAGATATGCAGCTAACATACCAAATGAATAATCTAAATTTAAAAAATGGTTTATTTTGTTTAAATGAACAACCTAAATATAACAATTATAATTTTACAACTTTTTTTATATTAATTTACAATGCGAATAGCTACAATCAAATGGATTAAGTAGAAAATATTAATGGAAGGGCCAAAAATAGCCGGTAATTTACAGATCAATGACATCTCTCTCAACTTATTCAAATAAGACTTAATCGTAATCAATTGTCTTCATTTAGCTAACAATGTCAATGTTAAAATTTAGAAAAGTGACGACCAAAAATACAATAACTGATAAGATTTGAAAATTACGGCAGTTGTTTTGATTTTTTTTTATAAAATCGTCTTTTTTATATATATAAATTTGTTGTTATTATTATTCGTAGAATTAAGTTTGTCGAAAAATAAATATTTTGAGTATAAAAATGCAGAGAAGATATTTTTTTTCGCATGCAATGCACTGGGGGGTTTTGAATAGTTTTGGTTTGTGCTTGTTTCACTAATGTAAAATGGTGACGTGATTACAGCGGTGCATCTGATGAAATCGATAAAATTTCCACCGAACTGTTCGATTTGTTGCTGTCAGATATCGTTAATATGTCAGATTTATCGGTTGATTTAGTTAAATTTTGACTAGTGTCTTCTGTTGATCCATCATAATCGAATGGAGTGGAAACACTCAGCTGAGTGTCATTGACGGTTACGATGCTTATATTTTCTGGTAAATGAAACGAATGTTGAATCTCTTCCTCGCCAAATTCCTCAAAAGATTTGTCTGACGATGAATTGCTTTCATTCTGCTGATCATCATCATAATTTAAACGTTCTTTAGAAGTCGATGGTGCTGTGTCTGTTGAACTTGTATCTGATGATTTCGCTTTTAGTGCAAGTAATTCGGCACCGGACGATTCACCACCAGACGGTTGAATATTTAGCATTTCCATTTTTTCGCTGATAATTTTCATTTGATTATTAGCCAAATCGAGCGCCTTGCTCACATTCAAATCGCGTATGTCGGATAACGGCAATACTTCAATGCGTTGAACCGGCTCGACTGGATCACGCGATGACGATGAGGCAACATCGGCTACTACTCGGGACCAAGCGGTTGGATTCAAAATATACTTAAACATTGATTTAATCAAAGTCACCAAAATATCTTTCATGAAGTAAACCACAACAGCCGTAATTAGAATACCATTTGTTGCTGCAAATAGATATACAAAATATTGAAGTTGGATTAATCGTTTTTTTATAGAAAAGAACATGTAAACCAAGACCACTCACCGCTTATTGAATGCACTATATCAGCCACTGTCATGAAAAATATCTTCAGCTGTTTCATCAGAACATTGGCGAAGAATTCGTGGAAAAGATCAATGACACCGCATTGTGTTTTTGTAGTACTTTGTTTCCTATTTAAAAAAAAAAAAATAAATATTGAAAATGTGTTAAGAATTCTTCGATTGAATTTGTTAAAAAGTATCCGAATACATACTCTAGAAAATCGCGGCATTTGGATCGTCCATCTTTTCCAATGAACCAATCGATCAAGTTCATTTTTTGCGGGCTCACACATGGGTTTTTTTCCACGCCATAAATGAAATCAACCGCTTGATTCAGTTCAATTCGCTAGAAAGGAAGAAACATAAAAGTTTACTCTGCGAACTCTATGGCGTCGAACCGTGTTCGGTAGCGAGAATAGGTCAAAGTGCAATAAGTTACTTACTCTATGACATTCGCTATCTAAATATTCATACAAACAATATACAATTGCGAAGAGGATGAAATATAAATATGGTATTTGGAAGCGACGACAGGCAAAGAAGCTCATTACAAAAATGACAAAATTGATGAGAATCGGTCGACTTCGTGGTAAAGTATTGAAATTGATTTCGGATATTGATGGCACTGACGAGAATGAAGGCAATTTCGGTATATTATCCCAAACTGTGGTTGCAAGATCAACGGTGTATTCTTTCACAAGTTGCACCGTCCCAAATTCAGTTTGTGCAAGAACTTCCGACACCAAGCCATCGATGTAAATCGGATCACTTGACCTTCGCAATTTTTCCAGTTGCTCTTTTGTGATATGGATATGAACATTACGATACATAAATTGTGTCGCCTCATCAAACTAAAAATAGAATCGGTCAAATTAGCACACAAATCAAAACAAAGATATTTAAAAATGTATTATGTCACGTACACGAAATTCGTTTGGATTAAACAAACTATTAACCAATCGTAGATATTCTGATTTAACTGTATTTTCGCATGGTTTACATAGCTCCGAGTGTGGACAGAGTTTTTGAAGTGGGTCCTTATCTTTGGTCCAGTCGTGCGGGTCAACCCATTCTGGATTCAAATATTCGTTATTACGACTCCTAACCACTGTTGCACTGATACAAAATAAAACTAAAACCGCTTGAACTACAAAATAAACAATATCAGTTTGCTGTAATAAATTCAATTCAATAATATGTGTTTACCTTTTATAAAACAGAAAGCCCGTAACATTTTTGATTTCCTTTTTTTTTTTTAAATTAAAAAACTAATAAAATGTATCTCCAATCGAATTTTCATGTGTGTAGAAATGAGACACGTAACTAGGATGTAAATGATGAAATTTTAGTTAAATTACGTAGTTTGTTGATAGCGCTGTAAATGCAAACAATAACTAGTGCGAAGAACGTGCAAGCTGTCAAACTTGTGTATGTTTATTATTCCTTTTCGAATATCAGATGTTTGGAACGAACGGTCATCGGGCAACACTGTGTTTCGCACTTTCAACATTACATCAAACGTCAAAAAAGTAGTTTTCGGTCAGAAGAGGAGAGAAAAAGAAGAAAATTGCATTGTACAAAGCCAACAGACAGTGTTTTGTTGGTGCAATTTTGAGTGCAAAAAAATTGATTTCTTGTTACTGGACATTCAGCATCGGTTTTATTTTGTTTAATTAGATAAAAAAACACACAATGTCCAGACAAAAGAAACTCATTCCGCAGCGATGTCCCGCTGGAATGGAGAGTGATGTAAATACAATCTATGCATTTTTTTTTATTGGTTTATCGCGGTGTATTGTTTGGCCCGTCGATGGTTTATTGATGGGATTTATTTCTCTTTGTGAACAGGATGACAGTGATGAATACACGTACTTCGGTTCATCAATGCAGAACAATATCAAAAAGACGACAGAAAATTTGAAAATGAAAATTGTGCCAGACATCACACAGAATGCTGCTTTAAACGGTTCGTCGTTTGACGCAAGTTTAACGAGTGATGCCGCACAATGGTTACAAAGATTACGTGAAACTTGGCTGGCATGTATGTGTTTCTGTGTTCTATCATTGATTTAATCGAATTGAAATGGACTTGTGGTGTGAATTTCAGATAAAAAAGGTGTCATCACAAGCAATTTGCTGAAGCAATTTTTCTTGTCACGTGCAAACCCATTTGTCGACGCACTGAAACTATATGCGAACTGCCAAAATGCAAATACCGTTAAGTCAAACACGCTGGCTTACATAGGTGAGTTTGAGTTGGTACCACGTGATTTTTCTGACCGAAATACAACAACAATAACAATATGTTTTCTCATTTGCAGTGATTGAAGAATTCCACCGTTTTAAGCATGAGAATCAATTGGTTGGCGCACCATTTTTGAATCCAAATTTGAAAATGGTCGCATTCAGTTTTGGACGACAAAGTAATCATCCGACATTTTTTAAAATGATGGCCAGCATATTCGAACTCTCACGCGAAAAGGATATGTTTGTTGATAAAATTCGTGAAATCATTGCCGAACATAATTACAAAGATGTACATGAACATTTCCGCATCCAAATTCGAAATGTGATTATTAAACAGTTTTATTGTCATTCATTCATAGGCCTGCCAATTTGCACACGATTTGGAATTACACGATGCATTTACGATTTTCGATTTTGTATTTCCATTGGTGCTGCAAGACAAAATCAATTCAGCCGAACCGTTTTTGGAGCAGGCCAAGTCATTGCAAATACCGCTTGTCGAACTGCTCGATTCGCTGCTTGATCGACACTCGTCCATAATGAACTGCGCTGATCCATACATTGCGTAAGATCTTTACTGACTATTCCAATTTTCTTTTTGATCATAAAAAACATTCTCTGAATTTGTTTCTATAGCAAATATGGATACCGTGATCTATGCGTATATCGCTTGCAACCGAAAACTCTGTCCAAATTAATCAAGCGATTGGTAAAACAATACAACATTTCCGATGATGCAATCCCAAATGTGGCCAAAGGAACCATTCGAGGGCAATTGCAATTTCTCATTCGGAAGAATTACGGCGAAAAAAGTTTAAGCAAAGACTCTTGGCGCGAAATGGTACTTCAAATCGTACAAAAGACTGCTGAACTCAATTTGAAGTTAGAATTAATTGATGGTTGCTTGTTCAATAATGACATGAATGAAGCGGCTTACTGGGCCAAGTAAGTTTTTAGCTTGCTCGAATAAACACGGTTTGTCGATTGATTCGAATAACGGTTCAATTTTTTTTTGTAGATATTTCAATGTTCCGATAAGTGAACTGCCGTTAGTCGTGCAAGAGCATATCAAAGAAAATCGTGATTCAGTTCAACGTAAGAGCTGCAATAAAAAATGTGATCAAAATGATAATAAGCGAAATTCGCCGAAACGAAATGAAAATCGTTCGGATCCGAATCGATATTATCAATTAAAATTAAGTCCATCCGCAAATTTCATTTCGTATGTGGATCGTCGGGGTAGTTTTGATGAAATGTTGGGCTATTTGTCACGTCAACCGTTGGTCGCTTTTGATGCTGAGTGGAATCCAATCAAAACTACATTCAATGAACTCGCACTGATTCAGGTAATTTCGAATTTAACAGGAAAATGTATATTGGTTGGGTTGATTCATACCATCGTTGGCAAGCCAACCACTTGATTCACATTTTTAAATACCACTTTAAATCCAAAAACCGGACTTTCTGTTGGAATAAAACAACAGCTAGATTCGAACTAACCGGACTAACTTTTACTTAACATCACGATAGTTAATATATAGTTACCGAACAATGGATTTGTTCGATATGTGTTCTAATTCCATTAATATCCATTTTGCAACATCCGCTATGCGTGAATAGCTATCAATAGAACAATGCTTTCAAAAATAACTATAAACATTAATATTTTTGTAAAACCCCAAATCCGCTAAAACAATACAATATATTTGCCATCTGGATATTTCAGCTCATCTGGATGACATTAGGCGATGATACGGAGTGAAACAATAGAAGTGATTGTTATAGTTATGATAGATAGTATTTCTATTCCCAAAACAATCATTACTATTGTTTTCACTCCGTATCATCGCCTAACGTCATCCAGATGAGCTGAAATATCCAGATGACAAAATCCAAATAAAATCTGGCTAAAACACATCAAAATATTAATATTATGGGAATTCACTTTTTTGTTGCTTCAAAATTTTTTCAGTGTGCCACAACCGATCGAATTTTCTTGATTGATGTAACCTCGTCTGATATTACAATCGATTGCTGGAATAAACTTGCCACAAATATTTTCAATAATTTGGAAATTTTGAAGCTTGGTAAGTGGAAACGTGTGCAAAACATAAAAAAGAGTCAATTGTAAATGATTTCCCTTTCAATTTACAGCATTTTCTCCGCTTGCTGATTTGAAATTATTCCAGAGACTAATGCCGGCATTTAGTGTATCTGTACAAATGATGCAATCGTACTTAGATTTACAGGCATTATGGCAAAAGCTCATCCAGACACCGAACTTCAAGTTTCCATACGAAGGTACCAATGTCTTTTATCATCTTTCCCATTTTTTTATTATGAAAAACTCATTTTTTCCATGCAATTTATTACACAGATGACGAAAAATTGGAAACGGGAGGTGCCCTATCGAATCTGGTACAATTATGTTTTGGCAAGCCGTTGGATAAGTCAAATCAATTTTCAAATTGGAATAATCGTCCGTTGCGTGAAGAGCAAATCATCTACGCTGCACTCGATGCGTTCGTTTTGATTGAAGTTTATGACGTGATTCGAGCTCAATATATGTCGATGAAAAATCTTGACGATTTCGATGAATTTGTGCACAGCTTTCTCATCGAGAATAAAAACAAAATTAGCGTAAATAAGCGAAATCAACAAGGCGCCGGAAATGGTGCCATTCCGACAAAATCACAAATGCGATCGAACAATAAAAATCATGAACCACCGAAAAACCGTCCACATTACCGTTCACACCGAGACGATGACGCATCGAAACAATCATTCTATCCCAAACCATCCAACTGATATTAAAAACAAAATATTCAAGTCATGAATAGACATAATCATTTATTTAACACAAAACAACAACTGAAAAAAAAAAATGAAATAAATGGACAGAGTTTGAGTTTAAATTTGTGTGTTAGTTTTTATTGTTACCATTGGAACTTATGCGATGTAGCGTTATGAAAATTGTTAGCAATTCGCAAAATGAAAATGATTGTATTATGGATATCTGGTTTTATCCATTCAATGTTGAGGTGAGTTCATTGTTTGCTACCAATTCTTTGATGATGTCCAATCCACCGATCAGCTCACCGCCCACATAAACCTGTGGGTATGTGGGCCAGTCTGAATAAACTTTTAGTCCTTGTCGCACCTCTTCATCGGTTAAAATGTCAAATGTATCGTATTGAACCTTTGTTTCGTTGACAATTTGTATGAGTTGCTTAGAGAAACCACAGCGTGGTGTATTTCGATCACCTTTCATGAAAATCATCACCTTTGCACGATTGATTAAGGCCTTCAGACGGTCGTTCAAACTTTCTTTTGAATCTCCGCCACCATTTTTCTCCACAAACGATTTACACTTCAATGACAGCGCAGCGATGTCAACACCATCAATACGATCTACGGCTGAACCGCTACGAATAAACAACACTGTTGGAACGGCTTCAATTTGGTGCTTCAACGATAGCTCGGATAAATCTTCGGCGGGCACATTGAGGAACTGTAGCGCAGATGCATAGTCTGGTTTTTTACTCAAATCGTTCATGACATCTAATATTTGCGAGCACTGTTCGGCCCAGTCAGCTGAGAATAACACCACCGAGACCTTTTCTGACCTATGTTATCATTTTACAAACTATCAGTGTTAAATATACATTGTTTTTTTCCACATCAATTCAGTCGAGTCGAATACTTACGCAATTAATTTTTGGTATTGCGCTACATCTTTCACTGAAATCACCGACATGATAGTTGCCAATGGAGTTATTTTTATTGTATAAGAATGTAAATTTTACTAAAAAGCGTACGTTTTCAGTCAATTATTGACTAAATAAACGATTTTGTTAACTAGACTAACCAATGAAACAATTGGGTTTAAGGTTATGAAATGTCAATAACTTCAACTCTTTTTTTAGTTGCTACTTCACGCTGTACATATTTCGAATTTTCGACATTCCATTCGAACGTAATTGAAATTTCTCAGCAGTTCAAAGTTCGAAATTTGTAGACTGAACCTATTCGAAAATGAATTTATTGAGTAAATAAATTGGAAAAACCTACTTTTCTGCATATTTTAATTATATAAATACTATTAAATAGTTATTATATAAATAGTATGAATGGAATTTGTTTCTATGAAAAAAGACGATAAATTCAAATTTATTCTTTCATTTTCGAAATAAACGTGTTTTTTTATTCATTATTCAACCCGAACCGACAAATATTTGTCAAAATTTAATATTTTATTTTGGGCTTCAACTTGAATGTACATTCTTGATGGATTTGAATAATGAATATGCTCGGTTGTTTGTTGAATTAGTCGAACAAAGACCATCGTATGTTGAATGTCGATCCTTGCATTTCTAAGCTGGTGATCCTCGTTCGTACACTTGTTTACCTACAATACTTGTGTATCCATAATTACTAGGGTGGGTCAATTATTTTTACTCGATGGGCACATCGCGATTCTGGTACTATGGGCCATAACAAGTATTTTTGCCCACGGAACCATACCTATAAAATCATTTTCGAGCCTGCCCATTTTTAAGTATAGATTTTTTCCAAAATATTTAAAAATCGACTTAGATGTTGTATGAAAAAGGCAAAAAAGCATTATTTTTTCTCTAGACAAATGTGTATACGGAAGTTTTTAGGGTCGAGGAATCCATTTTTGATATTTATTTTGCGATATAATAACGTTTTGATCTACCATCACTTACAATGGCAAATAATGTAAAAAACTGCATGATGGCGCCATCTCTATGTGCTCATGAAAATTAGAACAAAAAGTTTGTGTAGAATGTTAGTTGTTTGAAGTTTGAATACGGAATCATTTGTTGTGACGTCTGTCATTTTACGCTCGATAAAGATATACCGTGTAAATTGAACAAAAACCGATTTATTATTTGTAATTGGTGAATTTGTGATGGAAAATAAATTGAAATTACTTTGCACAGTTTGTGTCATCGAAATTAACTGCGAGGACGTTGCATATCACATGGTTTTTCTTCACACAAAATCAGTTGACATTTTTGACTTTTTCGCACCAAAAAAAAAATGTTTTAATTGCCTTTGGTGCTCGTTTGGATCGCGAGTTCAATGCCAAGCACATAGAGATGTCGCTCGGAACGTGAAGCTCAAAAAAAATATACAGGTGATATAGAAAGCAAGTGAGGGTAGGTTTTGATACGATTTCCATACAAAAACTGGCAAAAATGATCATTTACTTCTTTTTTTCCATTTTTTTTTGTTGATGTTGATTTTATCATCGGATCAAAAAATTATGTTCTGCAAAGTTGTTCAGAATGATGAGAGAAATTTTTTGGGTCAGTTGCCCTCCAACTCCCCCACCCCCTAGGGGATCAGGGGTCATAACCCCTTAACCCCTGATTTTTTTTTACCTGAAACCCAAAAATTCGGCTCGAGCATGCCAAAAAACCTTTAGAAAGTGTTTTTTCCAGATGCCCTCCGAGACAATTTTCACAAAAAGTAAGATCCCCCCATTTGGGGTCAAATACTATGAGACTATGGGGGATTTTGTGAAAATTGTATTTTGGGATGCGCATGGTATAATATTCATTGACTATCTTAAAAAGGGCCAGACTATCAATAGCGACTATTATATAGCGTTATTGGAGCGTTTGAAGAACGAAATCGCGAAAAAACGGCCACATTTGAAAAAGAAGAAAGTGTTGTTTCACCAAGACAATGCACCGTGCCACAAATCAATGAAAACGATGGCAAAATTGCATGAATTAGGTTTCGAATTGCTTCCCCATCCACCGTATTCTCCAGATCTGGCCCCCAGGCTCGAAAATGATTTTAGAGGTATGGTTCCTTGGGCAAAAATACTTATTATGGCCCATAGTACCAGAATCGCCATGTGCCCATGGAGATTTTTTCGGCCCCCTACAATTTGACCCACCCGAATAATTACACACCAAATGACGGTACTTAAAATCATCCTCGGCTAACCGCATCATTGCACTGTTTTTATCATTGACCATAGTCGTAAAATCGCTGACGTATTTTCTGTAACATGAATTGAGTGTGGAATTGTCGCATTTCAAGATATTTTAGTAAATTGCACTCACCCAGATGGATGATAATGAAATGAATTAATATAAGACATATCCGCATTTCTATGTTGCATAAACCAATCCATAACCATTACTGAGATGGTGTGCATCGTTGGCTCATAGTAGGTTGCGGAAATTTGCTAAAAATTGTTGGCGTTTCAATAAACTAAATGCGACCAATCAAGTTTTTGGTTGAATTAATCCATTTTCCGTAGTATAGTTTAAAAGTTTCTTTTAATGATACCCAAATGAGCATGCTTTGAAGACATTTTGAGCATAGTTTGAAGATTCGAAAATGATATGATAATTAAATTCTACTAAGCAAGTTGAATTTTGGCTCCAGAGACTTGTTCTGCTTTGTTAAGTGATGAATATTTGATTTTTATAATATTTTATTCTCAAAATAATAAAGTGTTTATAAAAAATAAGTGTGCGTTGACATTTTGGCAAATTGAACAAATTTTGAAAGAATTAAAGTTAAATTTTACATTTTACTACAAGCAGTAAAGTTTACTAGTCTATTTGAGTAAATTAAAATAACACAACCCAACGGACAAATATGTAACGTTTTTAGGACATTTTAACGTTAAAAAATGTAACGCTTTAACCCATTTTTGTGGCAATTTTCGTGTCAAATGGAAGGTAGAATATAGGCATAATGTGAACCACTTTTTCGGCTTTTTCGTGTTGCGATACACAACAACATCTTCTGTGTGTTTCGATTGTTTCTCTTTTTGTTATTATATTCTAAGAAACTGTAGCGGCAATACAATGTAAACAAATGTAAATAACATAAACTCGTTGAGTTCATAATATCGTATTCATACGATTGATTTTAAGCAAATGAAATTTGAAAAACAAACCGGAAAAAAAAGAGGATGAAAATACAAATCTTACTCTCTTCTCTCTGTGTGTGTTTCGATTGTGCATGAATAAAAAAAAACATTGCGTAGGAATTTCAAGTGACTGTGAAATACATTTATAAATGTACCTTTTTTTTAGATTTGTTTGATTTGATTTTAGTTTCAGAAACATTTTTTTATTTTTTTTATTTCATAATTCAAATTCGAATTTCGAATTCGAAACATGTTTGAATGTGTACGACATTTGACAGTTGGTAGCTGTGTGTATTGGTGTGTATCATATCGAAGCCGATTTTTCTGATTACATTCAAAATGTGCTTCGTAAACATTGCATCGTATCAATTAATTTCTTTGAACTAAATAGGGATTTTTTCGCATCAAAATATTTTGAAGTTATTGTTAAGAATAAGGTAAGTAATTATGGTTAAGTTGCCATTGTGTTGAAAAAAAAAAAAACAAAATTCAGTGATTAATAAATGGAATTCTTGTACATGAGATTCATTTTTTGTTTATCGTCATTTTAGCAACGGTTTGGTGTGTTTGGAACGTAACTGTAGAAGTCACTCGATGTCAAATGGAAAGATTCACAGTCCGTTTTGTGACAGTCTTTGTATTCATTTCAAAATAAAAAAAAAAAACATTTTCATCGTTTTAATCAGGACACAGCGTTCTATAGTATAAGAAGTTATTCATTTGAATTGTGATATGAGTGTGTTCTCATTTTTTGTTTGTAACAAATTGTGCTTTGCTTGTAAAAGGAATTCTTGAGAATTATGTGTGAGTGTTTATATTAGAGTATGAAACATTTTGTTTGTCGTCATTTTTGGCTAACATTTGTTCCAATGATTTTGTTTGTTCGATGTTAAACGGATAAATTCACTGTTGGTTTTGAGATTGTCTCTGTTGTTATTTCAAAATAAGAAAGCATTCATAAAATTGACGGTGAATATTCCAACAAAATTTTCATCTGCGGAATATTGGAAAACATTTCATCATTTGAATCAGAATACAGAGTGACATCGTTGAGGTAAGAAGTGATTAATTTGAATTGTGATATAAGTGATTGTCATTTAAATTGTGATCTCATTTTATTCGTAATCTATGCTATTTTTGTTGCATTTTTTTTCTAAATTTGTGTCTATTTTTTATTTTCGAATAATTTAATCAGTTTTTTGAGAATGAACAGAAAAAGACATGGATGACGACGAGCTCGATGATAATCAACCAGAAGAAAGCAAATACGTTGTAATAAAATGTGGACTTCAAACAATCCTGCGACAACAACATGAACGGATTGAAAGAGTTGGAGAAGTTGTGACCAAAATGCTATTCGAGCGCAGTGTTCAAATGACAGAAGTGGCAGCATTGGCATCACTTTCTATTCTTTTTATTTTGAATGAAGCACTTGATAATGACGATCGTGCATTTTTTTTGAAACCACATCCAAGCCTGTTCATTGCCGATTGTTTCAGAGCGGTATTAAACCAACACGTTAACAATATCAGAAGTCAATTTCGGATATTGCCCGAGTTTCGTTTCATGGTAGAAAGAAACAGTGAAGAACAGTTCCGATGGCCAGATGATGAAAAGTTGGGAAATGGTTTGAGATATTTTTATAAACAATATATCACAAACATTCAAACCAATACCAACACATGGTGTGAAAAACGACTTGAGAATTTTTTTCGAATGCGTTGTTGGTATCGCAATCGATTCAACAATGGCTCAAGATTTGATAACATCGACATCAGAAATGCCAAAGAGTTTTCATATCGATTTAAGAATTTAACAAATGGTAATAATGTGGATCCACAACGCGTTGAAAAATTCAATATTTTAATGCGAGATTTGACTGAAATTGGATGGTCGGGAACAGTGAGTATGAAATTTTTCGCAAAATATCGTTGGTTTGAATCACTGTGGTTGTTCGGTCAAATGCAACGGCAAATAGAAGTGTATCACAGTCATGCCGAACAATGGTATACCATTCATGAAATGTTTCGTAACAATCCGAACTTTCAAGAGCCAACAATCAATCGACCACCAAAAATAAGCAGTTTTGCTCTTATACCATTATGCGACTACCATTTGAAAAACGTGCGATTGGACATTAAGGACTTGTATTATAAAATTGTAAACGAGCTTGATTTGGTGCCTTCTTTTCTCAATACGCAGACCAACCGGATGAATAAGAGAAATTTAAAGTACTACACCCAAACTGATCGATCAGGTCTATGGAATATGTTGTTCGATGTCGGTAAAATAAATAAATTGGGCAAATCGAAACCATTCCATCATCAGATTTTGACCGATAGTGTTTCAATATCCATAATGTACAAGAAACCACAGCGACAACAACGACCACAGCGACAACAACGACCACAGCAAACAACCCAAGCGAATCGGGGGCCGGAAAAACTCATTGGCAAGAAATACATCATTGGAATCGATCCGAATGAAAAATCGTGGTTAACTGTAGTGCGTCGCAACATTCAAAAAACACCTGATGAGCCGGCTGTTGAGGTAAGATATTTTGAAATGTAATTTGAAATGGTTTTGAATAGAAACTCATAGTTTTTTGTATCATTTTGCATTTTGAAGGAAAACATTATAATACCAAACCAGCGTTTTCATTGGGAAACTCAGCAGAAAAAACGAGACAAAGAAGCGAAAAAGTTGGCTGGATGGTTTGATATCGAAGAGAAGGAACATCTCAAAACCTACCCATATCGTCCACCATCACCACGTAATTCAACATGGAAATCATACATTGAATATCGCATTAAAATGTTACGAAAAGGAATGGCAGCTTATGCGACGCGTGAATATGCACGACTGGATTTAGACCATCACATTCGCTCGACCAGAGTAAATGATCAAATCGCCGTGCGTGTGACAAACAACAAACCGTCGTTGGTTCAATTTGGTGCTTGGGCGATGAAACCCGATCGACCGTTTGGAATAAAAAAGCGTAAAAGATGTCCGGGATCGCGTAAGTTTCGTGTGAGCATTAAGAAACTTGGACATTCAGAAGTTGAAATGCAAGATGAATGGGGAACATCACAAACATGCGCGAATTGTCAGGAACGTTTTCCAAGGCACACAAAAGATGATCGATTTAAAGTGTGCTACGATTGTAGAGCGAAAAAGATTGATGGCCTGCCAGATTCAGTCGCTGGACTGCCAGATATCATTGTGTCAACGGTCAACAGACGTGTTTTGAGAAGAAAACGTGCAATTATTAAGCGACAAATTATCGATGGCAATCGTGAGGCTGTGAACGAAAAAATTCGGACTGGGCGTTTAATGTCAAAGGTTAAAGTTACCTACAAAAATTGGCCATTAAATGTTGATGATGATGATGTTGTTCCACAAACAGTTACTTGGCACCGAGATATTGTTGCAGCAAAATGCATTATGCTCAAAGGTATGAATCAATTGGAAACAGAATATTCATTATTTAATGTATTTGCTTTAAATTACATAGGACTTTGCCGGATCTTTGATGTACCATTGCCAGTTTCATTGTTAAGACCGCCGGACTACAACAACAATGTCAACTAACAAACATCATCAATTAATCATACATTCAAAAAATTACATAAAATAAAATATTTTAACTATTATAGTTAGCTTAGCTAGACATGAACAGACTATATAAAGTCTTGTGGTCTAGTTGTACAATAGTACAACATTGTACGGAGGGGGAGTGCCCGTAGGTGAGTAAAGTTTTTAATTTAAAAAAATCATTTTATACCCAGTTCAACTGATATTAATGGTTGTCTTTCCATTTTTCCATGTTTTCACACCTGAATGTTCCACCATGCCAAACCTATGGAAATGACTGAAACTACACACGAATCTAACCCCGAAAACGACCGTCAATATGTGCTTCATAATGGATACATTTGCCCTATCAATTGTTTGCTGGGAATAGAGCAAATTATCAAGATATCACAAAACAAATTGAAACGTTCCACAATGGGAAGTAGTGCAAAAGTGTGGATCACCTCAAACCTTCTCATCGCCTTTATCCTTATGAATTTTTCTTCAATTAATGATTTCATAAACTTAAAAAATAATTTTTCGTATTGGACAAAATGTTCTAAAAATGTTCTTATGGAAACTTTAAACGTCCTTTCAGGCAACACTGAAACGATTAAATTGCTAATTGAAAAGGAAGAAAATCTACGAGATCCAATCAGAATGAAAAAGTACGCATTCCTTATCATTCAAATCACGCTTGGCGAATATTGTATCAAATCTGCGGCTAGTAGAAATGCGACATTTCTAGATAGGATCATGTATGGTTGATTTGGAGACTACATTAATTTATCATATTTTATATTTCTTTAAAATATTCAGCTATTTTTTGTCGATGAGATTACATGACAGTTTACATATATTTTTAGATAATGATAAAGACTTTTGTGTTTTTTAATACTTTACGTAAAATGCAAAAAATACAGTGAAATCCAATACAAATGATGATTGATTTAAATAAAAAAAAATCTGCACTGCAACAATTACAATTCATTGTCGATGATCTCGACTGAAACCAATATTGAATTGGCTCAAAGACAGCTCATGGATGATTTTGAGCTAGGATGACACTTGTACGTGTATTATAATAAGATTATTACAATTCAGAATATAAATGACATTATTGAAAAAAGTGACTTAATCAAACGAGTTTTATTTATTCGTTGTGTATCATAAATACAGATTTATTTTTTTTATTCAATGCAAAATTAGAATGACGTTTCTTCTAAATGTTTTTATTTTCATCATCAAGATTGCAATCTTACAAATATTCAAATAAATAAATTACAACAAGTGAAACATTTTTAAACCAAAAACAATTGCATATTAAGGAATTGGAATGACAATTTGGTCTGCTGAGCAGAGTCCTTCATAAACTGGATGCTGTTTTTTACATCGAGAACCAGCTGGACCTTTTGTGTATACCGGCGTTCCGATAACATTTGTATAACCATAGTTACAGACCAAATACCGATAGAAAAAACCACCTTCCTTGTATCGAATCATTGCGCAACCAATTGCATTATTTTTATCACTGACCATGACGGTGAAGTGACCGATCTTTTTCCTAAAAATGAAAATTTCATCAAAATCACAACATCAACGAGAGGTTAATATTTATTTACCCCAATGGATGATTATGGTATGAATTGATGATGCCCATATTGGCATCTTTGTACTCGACGAACCAATCGTTGATCATATGTTTAATTGATGATTTTGTATTTTCATATCCTTTTGTGTTTCCACGTCGTGCAATATTCTAAAAAAAATCGAAAATGATTAAATAAAGGATGACATTTATGTGGTTGTTTTTACCTGACCCGCCCACGGGAACTTTTCTGAAAATTTTCATTCGAAAACTTTTAGTTACTTTCTAATGAAATTTGCTTATTCAATTCATTGCCGACTTTGAATCGACTACTTTTGAAATAAAAAAAAAATCATTTACCTGTTGCTCGGCATTTATCGTGCCCATAGTTACAAGACCGTGCATTTATTTTCGCCAAATAGGCCAGCTCGTCACTCCATTGCTGAAAATGACACACCATTTATCAACTGATTCGATCTTGTTTAAAATTTAAAAAATGTTGCTTACAAAGCATGGCATTTTGGCAGCTGAACTGTATTTATCAATTTGGCCCAACGCAATTTTGTTTCGCATTCGATTATGCATAGACACAATATATTCCTTTTGCGAGGCGCTCATTTTTAAAAGTTGCTTATCGGCTGAACACATTTTTCCAAAATCCTGCACAATTCATCAAATAAAACGAGTCAATTCGATAGTTTTTCCACAATAATTTTATTTATTTTCAAAAAAACATACACCATTATTATGGCACGCCACATGATTTTCACAGTAATTACAATAATTGGTTGCTTCTGTGATGTGAAAGCTGAAAATCACAAGAATCACCAATGTAAATAATCCAAATTGCTGAATATTTCGGTGCACAGCACTAAATTCACTCAAATTAAAATGCATTTTTAGTTTGAAACGAAAAACAAAAAAATTTGCCTATAGACAAAAACGTCTGAAATTGCAAATTTGAACACAACTATGCAGAATGTAGGGCAACAACAGCAGAAATAAAGTCTCTGCTTTTTGCTACGAACGTTCGAATGAATGATAGTGTTGTGCTGACCGTTGATGTCTTTTATATCAATTTGATATTACAATGAAAAGCATGTCGGTGATCTTTTCCTTGTTTTGTACATAGTTTAATTAAAATCGTGAGACGTCTCATCTCGCATCCACTGAACGCAGATATACACAAGAAACGAAATGCCCGACCACAAATGGCAATCATTTATAATTGTTACGATGCAGACTATTATGTTTCTCGCTCAATCGTTATTTGCTTGCATTCATTATTATGAATCAAGTCAATCTCAGATCGATATCGACAATGTCTGCGTGTTTATTTCGCGCTTATCGCACACTTCAATCAATAAACGAATGACCATTGTTTCATTGCTTTTAACAGATCGTTTAACACTTGCTAAGTCAGCTAAAAAATAAGATTTTTTTTTTTTTTGGCAAATATTAATTGCTTTTCTCTTTGCCTATACAACATGAACAACATAGACAACAAATGCTTCGATATAAACAAACTAGTTCATGATGAGTACGAAAAATAATAATCATATCAATCGGAAATAAGTCTTTTTTGTGTCCGATTTGGACAGTCCAATTTTCGATATATGCTAAGAGAAGCATGATATATCATAAATCGCAACAGAAACAATGACTCGTCAAAAAAAAAGCATTCGACAACACACAATAGAGTAAACAAGTTGTGAACAATGTGAAGCTGAACATCTATGTCGAGATCAATTTTGATATCAACGTGTTGCTCGTTCATAGACGAGCAATAAAACACAAAGTTCAATAATTCACGTTGAGATGAGAACCGGTAATAAACGAAAACGGAAAAACGATATTCAAATGAATATGTGCGCGACAATAAGCTAAAATCAATCAATTGTGTAATTAAAGGTGGAGTTCTACACAGGTGAGGTGTAGAGTAGCGAATGGGGTTTTATGTGAGTGAGCCGTTTGTTGTTTACGTAAAATCTTCCTATCTTCTATCTCCGATCGAAAAAAACATTCTCTAATGTACATCTCACCCATAGAATAAATAAAGACACAAAAAGTGCCTGCTTATACGATGTTATTGATTATTGACTCAAGTTGCAATAAAACGATGTTGTGACAAAACGTCATTGTTGATGAATTTATTTGACAATTCTATGAACTTAAGCGGGCAATTGCACTTGTAATTTCTGACAACAAAAATTTGTACTGAGAATCGATTGTTTCGATTTTTATTGCAAAATCAAATACAGTAGCATCGTTGAAGTAGCAATCGGAGAGGTGAGAAGTTGAGATGCTTCGTATTCTGGGATTTTTATATAAATACAGCCGCTGAGAAATATTATCTTTCAGTTATTTTATGGTTTCACCTAGAACACGTGAACATGTATCAAAAACTGTTATTCATTTGCTTTCTGAGCATTTTTCTTTTCAAAACTGACACGTTGGCAGCAACAGCCGATGAATTATTCTCTGACATTCCGCGCGCGTATTTGGAAAGACTTATTGGTAATTTGGATGGATTGACGTAAGTGCACTGATTAAATCAAAAAACAAGTGTTCATATTCTACATTCATCTTTTTTTAAATTTAAAGTTTTGACATAGAACAACAAGAGATTGTTGAAGTCCCGTCGATCAAATTTAAAATTCAAGTTCGTCCTGGAGGGTCATCGACAACAACATCTCCGTCATCACCATCATCAACAACTCCGTCTTCAGCGTCTTCAAAAAGAATGTCTCCATCGTCAACGTCCAAGATGCCCGACATGAAGTCGTCAACTACACCGATGCCAACGACATCAACTCCATCTCTAATTAGAAACTAATCCATATTTGAACGGAGATTTTGATCAAAAATGCAAATAAACCATGTTTTTGTAATTGTTCTGGCAATTAAAATGACGTAGACGAGTTGATAAGATGTAATTGATTTTTGCTTCGAATTATAGTCACGATCTATGTTTACTGCTCATTCACAAGCAAATAAAATTGAAACTATTAACATTCATCATACAAGGTGTGTTTATGTTTTTTTTTTCTTTTAATTTGCAACGGCGACAGGTGATGCGCGGTTTTCATTAGGCAATAAATCAAATCTCCGTCGAGATAATCTTCAACATTAAAGCAATTACATCTCGAGATTGTAGTATTATACATTGAACTTGAACTTGGATAGCAATGATTGATTGAAGATCGTGTTAAATTAGCATGCAGCACTTATGTTGTCTGGATTTAATCGGAGCGAGTGATTTTTTTAGAAGAAACAGATTACACAGTCAATTTGAATGAAATCTGTAAAATTGTATTCTAAATGTGATAATGTTCTAGTTTTGGTGATTTAGTATATCTCAATTGAGATTACATAAGAATCTATTTTTGAAAGAATTATAGCACTTAACGACAACAATTACTCTTACAGTCACACAATTTTTATTATTATATGGATGGGTAAGAATAACAATCCGACTTGTACGCAAAGTCCATAAAAGTGGAACACAGAGTTTTTTATATAGTTTATTACAACAACAATTCTATGTAAAAAAAACTCTGTGTTCCACTTTTATATAGACCCTGCGTACAAGTCGGATTTTTATTCTTACCATTCATATATGCTTTTTATGCCCTTGTGAAAAAAATGACTGACTAAGTCGGTTATGTTTCAGAGTTAACTGAAAGTGATTAAGTCAACATAGTTGACAAAAGTCAATTTCATATACTTATAGTTAACCGTAGTTAACTATGATCATAATCAACATTTCTCAACTCAAGTTACATGAAGACGCATATAGTCACTTATAGTTATAGTTTAGCTGGCTGAAATATCAGCCATTTTTGTCCCAAATTAGTCAATTTATAGTCGACTATGAATTCGAAATATTTCCACAGGGGTGTTAAAGAAATTAAATTCGAAAACATAGAAAGTTGACCTATTTCTATTCTTAAGTTCATGTCCTCAATAAATTCCCAATGGTAAAAGTTTTTTTTAGTAATTAAAAACACATATTTTTTTAAATTATAAATTGAAGACATTTTTCATTCTATTTTCAAGGGATTTTATTTCAAACAAGATAAAAAAAAATTCTGCCATCATTTTTTCGAGTTTCCATCCGAAAATTGAAGTATTCTGTCCAGTTTCTGTAAGACGTCTATCAATTTCGCCAAAAAAAATCATAATGATGGTCCTAAATTTAGCGACAATTTTGAAATTTACTCCCATTTGCCACGAATGAAATTATTTTGTCACAAAAAAACTGCATATTGAAATTCGATGTTTTAGTGGAAAAATATGGATTTTCGAAAAATTCAAATTTGCCGCTCACCAGCGCCACCAATATCATGTTCGAAAATGGGATAAAACTGACATTTCATTCGATGACATTTCTGGATACTTCCAATGAAATGACGTGCCTAAATTAATATATCAACAACAAAACAGAACGATTTCATCACTCTCAGCGAAACATAAAATAAATTTTTTACGCTCAAAATCTTTAAAGTGAACGAAGAAAATGGTTTACGTAGACAGGGGTAAGTAATAACTGTTTCAATTATTCGTAAATTAAATGAATTTCATCCAAATTCAATGTAAAAAAAATAATAATACTGAAAACAGTATGTGGATAAAAATAGAAAACATGACTTCCTATTTTAAAGACCACGTAATCCAAAGATTTATGTCTTTCCACAGATGGTCGCGTTTGTAATCAACGACCGTGGTCGATGTCGCGAATATTTTCGATTTTTATGGGCATTTACACAGGCATCATACTATTGTGAGTATTAATTTTCGAAAAAACGACGAAATTTTGGACGAAAATACTAATTTATTTTTTATTTATTTAGCTTAGAGACGATGTTTTCCCCGTTTGCGAGTTCAAACCCATCCAGTGGAGGAAGTAGACGCGGTTTCTGGGGTGGTGGCAGCGGAGGTAGTGGCGGCAGTGGCGGAAATGATGGCAGAGGGTAGGTTTTCTTTTGCAAATATGAAGGAAAACATAGCAAATTTAACAAATATTCAAATTTTTTCAGACCACCTCGAAATGGACCCCGCCGACCGATTGGCCGGATACAACATTACAGCGAAATAAACGGTGGTGGATGCGCTGGTGGTAGTTGTGGACGTTAATTCATTCCTTTTACATCTCCCAATTCGATTAATAAGCGATTAGATATACGTAACACAACTAAAATCCAATATTTTCAATGAAATAAAATATATCGTGGCATAAAATTTTGTAATACAATTTTATAAGTGGCAAACACTTTAGTTAATTATTTTTTATGAAATAGCAATTTGTGGAATAATTCTCGTTTAACTATGTATAAATCTGTAGAAGAGAGTCGGTGTGTCATGAAATAAAATGAAAATTATCAACTCAACATTTTGGTATTTATTTTCGATTTATAATGAAATTATGTTAATATTGTTTTGAAAATTTAGTAAATACTTCAATTATCTAACGTTATTTTTCGTACAAAAAAACAACTTGAATTTTATCATGTCGGACAAAAACATATGAAATTACATTTGAATAATATCATTTTTAAAATAATTCATTCAAACTGAATTCATCATTTAACCTTTAAACAAGCGAGTATGAAAAATGAATTGGTTGCCAACAAATTTCTTTTAATAACAGAATTTATTCCGCAATTATATTAATCCAATGTTATTTCAGCACTGGGCTTATTTCATCTCATATGTGTTCTGTTGCAATTTGTGTGACGCATTGAGCGCGGACTCGTGGTGGAATGGATAAATTTAAATGATAAATATAGGCAGAGAGACAATGTACATAAAAAACAATCTATATATATTGTTGTATGCATATGAGTAAAACAATTGGGGGTCAGATTTATGTACATACTTATGTACTGTGAATTGTAATCCGAATAATGGGGTATGGTGGTGGTCATCGGCTGTATTTGAATAAAATTGACCCCGGTTTAAAAGGATGTGCATCGATACTTTGGTGCACATAAATTGATTCATTTTTCAATTTAACGAAATGAAAATTATCATAGATTTGGTGTGATAAGGTATCAAAGGATTAATTGCATTAAATTCTTTGTCATTCATCCTCATGATTAAAATTCTTCGTGCCAGCTTAAAGAGTTTTTGTTCGGCTTATACACAATAAATCTGTACTACAAGTACGTCGTTGGGTGTATAACAAATTGCCGTGTAATCGTTCTATGATGCTTGTCGTAAATATCATATTATGATACTCATAGTAAATGTGCAAAGTTCCAAAGTGAGTGTGCAGAAATAATGAACATTCACACAGAGAGCCACATTTTATTGAAAATATTTTATTTGGATAGTTCGGGTCATGTGTGTTAACCCATCGGGTCATACTCGATTGGCCGAATACGAATGTAGAAGATACATGTAGTGCATTGATAACAATTATTATTGCTGTTGTAGAACATTATTTTTGCATTTAAGCGTACGCGAAATCACATATCGGACCGTCAAGCAAACCGTTTGATTTAGTTGTTACAATTGGCGTTGTTATTGTTATTGTTTTGATGATTGTGATGGTCATGGATAGTGGTGGTGTGGCGGTGGCATTGGTACAACGACGATACAGTATAGTGTGGTATGCAATGGTGATTTTGCTGTTGTAACCGTAAATTGGTTTATTATCTGATCGTAATACTTGTTTTGATTGCGGTTTTAATTAATCTGGTAAAAACATCATTTTCGGCTGGAAAAACGAAAACTATGGCAAGTAATTCACACAGCATTTTCTCGTGAAAATTTATGACCCCAAACGCTCATTTTATAATTCAGTCTCTCTATCAAATCGTTCCAAAGTATAACCTTTATTATTATTTTGTTTCGAAAATTATTTCGAATGGCGGCAAAGATGGCCAAATTATTGCATGGCTAGATGCAGTAATGAAGTTTTTGATGGAACATACACTCGACTTCACTGCTCTACTCTCTCATGCAATTCGGAACTTGTTCATTGACCCATTCGCCACACACATATATTCGAATGCAATTTAACAAATTAAAAATTTATTTTTGATAAATTTGCTGGCGAATGCAAGTTAAAATGCAACTTCCCATGTTGGCCAAGTCAATTTTACGCTTCAATTCATATCCCGCCTCCCCCGCTACAACATTCACATACTACATTTGCTTATCTTTTACATTGGCACAGAGATTTTATTAACATTTTAATCATCTATTCGATTTTATCAGAAAATTTTAAATTCAACGTTCTCAAACATTGTAATTTGCTCGAAAAGTTGATAGATAGTAATTTGCTCGTAAGAACAAAAAAAAATTACGCATAGTTTTCTCTCTTTTAAAAATTACGATGAATATATTCAACTTGAAAAAAAATTGGAAAAAGTAATGAGAAAACTAAATTAAGTTAATCCAATTGATGAATATGGTTGGTGTAAATGCCACACGATATTTCCTTGGAAAATTTTATTGTTTCCAAGTTGTTTCGAATCAAAACGAAACCCATTTTTGTATGCATTCCCATTTCTACTCAACGTTGATAATTTCGAATAGGCTTGATTGGCACTTTGATTCCATTCTGGTGTGGTATCTTCTTGTTTTTTGTCGCTTCGTTTTATTTCAAATAAATTGAAAACAAAATCGCTCCGAATGAACATATTTAGTGTTGATGCATGCACTTTGTAAGTCTTTTCATATATGGATGGGAAACATTCCAGACAGAATATTCCGCTCTTATCATCATCTGAAGCGATGTGCACACATTGCATGCAAACAACGGCAAAAGTGCCAGTATTATATCAGCCGTCGTTTTTGCTATTATCATAAAAACACAGCCCAGAGAAAATTTTCGTTGATCATCGGTGAATGCGGAAAAGTTGTTGTGTATTTATGTCATCAGTTCCATCATGCGACTATCGCAATGACAGTGCGACGTTTTTGTTGGCGCAAAGATGGTTTGGCATACCATTATTGTTAAAGCTGTACGCTAAATTTCACAAACATTTAATATGCGACCACCAGAACAAATGAACAAAATGAGAATGTTGATGGTGTTGCATTTACAACAGATAGAAAATTCCACCGGATGCTAAGAAATAATTGGGTCAAAGCTTCAGTTTTATTGGCAAGCACGTACATGTTGGTAACAAAACGATGATGAAAATGAAGTTTTTGAATTATTTGAGTAAACTCGCCTTATTCATTCGATCAATATTCGTTTAATGTTTTAAATCAAATCACTCGACGATTCCAAATGTACTTTCTTCATTTTCAAATTACACTTTTTGATGCAGCTTCCATGCTATATGGGGATTTTCATTCTTGAAATGTTCTGTTGATTCATTTTTTCGCCGACATTTGAGCGCAGAGCAGAGATCCAATCAGAGCATAGCACAGAAAAATGAACGAAATAGAAGCAAGAATCTCAGTTAAATAATAAATTCAATTCGAATGTGTTTCATCTGCGAAATCAGTTAAGCGAATTTGAAGAAAATTAAATTGAAATGTATGTGTCTGGTGTTCGATCGATGTCATCGGTGTTGGCTGCCGTTTTTCTTAACCCACAACATTTTCCGCGTATTGGCGTAACAGTTTTGTATCAAATTGAATTGTTTCGCGAATTGTATGTTAAAGTCGGACATGAAGGACACAAATGTTCGAAAATGAAATCGATTGTATAATATGTCTATTTTATGCTCTTGTCGACGTGTATTTTACATTTTCGCTGTTGTTGTTCTACGTGTTTTTTTTACTATATGTGGTTGTTGTCATTGTTATGCAAGTACAGAATGACAACCTTTCTTCATGTATTGCACATAAAACAATCGGAAAATGTAAAATGATGACGAAGTGATAGTTTTGCATGGCATACATAGCATGTGTGTCACATATGTGTGCGTATGAATTTCGATTGGGAAATGGATAAGGGAATCGACAATTGAGCTAACAAAAAATGGGCCACCACCAACACTCATATTTCAAATGAAAACAAATGGCGAAATAAAGGAAATAAATGAAAATCTCTTTCTCATTTGGTAAAATATCGAGAAAACGCATACGAATATGTACAACAATAAGAGACGAAACAGTAACGGCACAAATTTCAGTGCGTCGTTTAAAAGAAAATTTATCAACGGGCAAAATGTCTTTCATCCATATTCGATGACATGTTCAGTGGCACCGTCATATTGCTACTGAATCCCCATCCATCCTGACATAATAAATTGCTGGGTGTGTGTGTGTGTGTGTGCAAATATATGCGCTCTGTTCCAGTTGCCAATAAATACTTTTCCTTTTGCCATTCTGCACATTTAACTGAAGATGATTTTATCTCTCTTCGAATGTGTTTTTGGAGTATGTTTTGAGTGTCTGTCGTAGCAAAGGGAACGAGCGAGTGTGTGTGTTTGTGCGCGTGCTAGAGATTGCAGTCTGTTCGGCGATGCTTAAAAATGTTTCATTTTGATTTGCATATTGTATTCGATTTAACCGCAACCTACAATCGCATACCATTCCTGATATGTGTAATGGTTGCAGCATGTTGTTTTTATTGGCACAAATTCCACAACACTTTTCCATTTCCTCTCCTTCTCTCGCTCCCACTGTCTCCCAACAAGACAACGAATAATGGACGCGCTTATGCACAAAAGATACACACACACACACACCAAGCCAAAAAGAGTTATATTCTTTGCCGAAACAATAAATGTGAATTGCGGTTTCGAAAACAGCATTTATTTTGCAATTTAGATGTTTATTTTTCTTCGTTCTTAGGCTCGACATTTCGGCTTGTTTTTCATATTTTACAATCGTTTAGAATTTATATATTTTATGTTCATGCAATAAATCTGGAAAAGGGAGCCAAAGTGGGAGTGAGAGAGGTAGAAATCGTGTATTCAAGTGCTATTTGCAAACTGATTTTAATTGAATTTCAAATTACTGCTACAAATAGGAACTTAGCATACAAAGAAAAATGTGCAAATTTTTTACGGCATTTTTAGCGCTGTTTTCGAATTGTTGAATGTCATTAAAACTGATACACATTTGTCTAATACAGAATCAAATAAAAAACGAATGGCTCACTAAATTTAACCTTGAGTTTTCAACAAAATTTCCAAACATTTCTATTCAAATTCTCGCAAATTAAATTTTTTTTATTTCCTTTACTTTTTCGTCATTTTTGAATGTAAAGTGCTTTCATCGATGAAGAAAAAGAAGAAGTATAATTTTGAATATGTGTACACACAGAATTCATTTCGGCGACAATTGAGTGAATGCAAAGTTTTTATTGCCAGTGTAAACCACACGCAATTTTATTGTATTATCTTGATTCTGTGCTGTGGCGCATAATTGACTGTGGTGTAGAGTTTTTAATGAAATATGATTTTATTTTGCAAAACACAAATTTTATGTGAGAATGCTCTCTCGCATACGACTGGCACATACATTCAAAACCAGTGCCACATGTTTTTTGAGCATTAATGGCGCGAGTGTTTTTAAATGCTCGTAGTTTATAAGTGTTTCAATATGGTTTTCATATTTTTCAGTCTGCATTTTTTTCTTTTTGCTTCACATTTTTTTTATTGTTAAATTGTTACTATAATGGTTGAAGGTGTATTCACTTCTTTTGGTGCGTTCGCAATTCGATGAAAATTCTTAATTAATTTGATGCGTTTGAGTTACTTTGTAATAATTTAATTAATTTGAAATGTATATATGAGTTTTATGGCGCTGTAAAACAGACTCATATTTTGTATGTGTATTTTTCGACAACCGTGACAATTAATCTCATTTCAACAATAGCAAAACGCATTTACGCAAAAGTCGAAGTTTTCACCAGCAACACAACTTAAGTGATATTTGTTCTTCTTCTTTTTCTTCTTCTTCCGCTGCAGAGAGAGTCGACTGCGTATGCAAAGTTAAATATAAACATATCCACAAAGTGAAAATACCACATTAAAAAACTAGCGCACAGACACACATAAGTGAATTTAATTTGGCTTACACAAAATCCGCAAATTTATTAATAGTAACTTTATGTTTGCTATTTATAATTTTTCAAGTTAATGAGTTGCATGCAAAATCAAGAATATTTGCTCGGAACATTATTATCAAGAATGCAACGAAAGTTGCCACCGCATACACAACCACAATATCATACGACCGAAGAGATGTGTGTCGTCTGTCGGGGGCAAAAGGATTTATCATCATAGTTTAAAGATTTAATGGGGAAATTTTTGAACCATCGTCGTTAAAAGAACATAAAGTGTATGCAACGTGATTAAACACCCGCAAGGTAATTTTGTTGTCACATTTAATGAAAACTATGCACGTAAAATTACTGATCATAAGGTGCTTGGTCTCATACCAACGGTAGTTGTTTTTTTATCAGGGATAAAAGTACTTTGATACTTACTTGAGAACACTGTCATTAAGAATGTTTAAGTGAAAAAGACAATATTATCCAGGAAATGCTTGAGGATCCTTACCTTTCTCAATTGAAACAGATTGTCCACTGACGGTCCACAGTGACGTTTTTTATATGATAAACGACTACACAAAATATTTGTTGACCATTCAGTGTCTAGTCGGTTTCCCACGTTTTGAATGGCGTTTTTTTATTGGTCATTTATCTCCAACTGGGAAAATAATATCAAAAACGAATAAAAAGCTTTGTTGATTACCATTATGTTTCTGTTTTAAAAATAGGGCTGTTTTTCATTTAAAATGGCACCGAGTCTACGAATTTCAAGGAATTTTATTTCATTGGGAGAAGAGTATTTTAGAAAAAAACTTCTTGCTATTTTATTGAATTAGAGAATGAACGTGATTGAACATAGAGAGATTTTACTAGATTTGATTCCAATTAAATCAAAGAGCCATTCTGTAGTACTCTAAGTAATTACTAAGGTTATTATTCATGATTTTTTCTCTAGAAGTGGTGCTATACATATTTTTTTCACAAGTATCAGGAATTTGAATGTCGATTTCATTCGAATTCATTCTACGATTTGAGCAAATATTTATTGTTACCTTTTTGCCCTTGGTTTAATCTATATAATTTTTCTCTTTGTTTAGATCAAATGCGACTCGCTTGATATTTAAAGAATAATTTGCACCTTTTGCATTTCTTTTGCAAAACAATATCAAATTAAAAAGACCAACTCTTGTTCATTTCAAATCGAACATTTCTGCCTGGCTTTATACTTACACAAAATGAATCTCTCATTTAACCACCGTAAATATATACTCTCTCTCTCTCCCTCCCGCTCAATTAACTGTAATTTCATTAAATCCCATAGATGAAAATATCTGTAGTGCCGAGATCTTCAATTACTGAGATTAAAACATGTTGAGCAAATTTTTGAGCAGCTGCTTGAGATTTACCGTATCTTGTTTACTGAAAACAAGAAATTAAAGTAGTAAACAGAAAAAGTCTAGACGCCAGAATGGATAAGATAATATGGATGATAAAAGGTCATGGAAAGCATTTTTTCTTTTCAATTCGATTAATCTCTAAGGGGGTGAGATTTTTCGAATGAGGCGCACGTCATTTATATGCCATTTCAATAGTAAACGAATATTAAAAAGCAATTTATTGAACAAAAAAAAAACATCATAATCTGAAAATCGTCGATGGAAATCGGATGTTTAAAACCAATGGCAACGTGTTGCCCTGATGATGGTGACGCAAACGATCTGATTTTATTAAAGACGGTCGTTCGATGAAAATTCAATTGACAGTACTTTTATTATTCCATTTACCGATGCTTTGCTGATGAAATCGTTGCTTATCAATTCGTGCTTGAGGTGTTGTGGTATCTGTGTAAGCAGTAATACAATTGGAAATGGTGGAGAAAGAACAGGACATGCACCAGCGATTTCATTCAATTGTGACAAAAATTTGCAATGAATTCAAACAGTTGGTTGTTATTCTATCGTGTTCTTCCTCTGTTTTCGACCAATATGAATTGAAGTGTTTTCTCTTTGGCGCATCGTGTATCTGTATGTGTGCGCGCCAGCTAGAGAAAAAAAGCTGTTTTGCTGTCATGTCTTTTGTATTCATTATTTTTTATGTTACACTTGAGTATTTGAAATGTTGACGGCACTTATAGAATATTAAATAAGTTGGGTGAAAAAAGTTGACTATCTCGTCGCTGCTGCACTAATGGATTCATGCACAACGTGTATGGGTGTATGTGTGTCTGTATTGTGGATTATGTGGTATGAATAAAGTAAAAGCGAGTAAACGAGACGGGGAAAAAAGTAAGCATCAAATGGATGATAATGATAACGACGATAAAAATAGCAGATAAAATCGAGATTTTTTGTTGCTTCCTCTCGTGTATGCTGGTACTGCATGTTTTCCTTTCAAGTTGTTTACAGTCGAAAGAGCAAACAACCAGAACATTTTCAGCGACTTTTCCGCTTCACAGCCGCACAATAATAATAATAGTAGTTAAAATATGTTTTCGCTTTTCATCTTAAAATTTATTCCGGCACATGCATTCATTTATTTATGATTTCATCGACATATTTTGCTTTTACAATTGAATGATTTAACGTACAACGCAAGATAAAAAAATTGAAAAAAAAAAAAAAACAAATACAAAATGAGAGAACGTTAATTTAAACCCAAACAAAATTTGGTTTTGCTCCAGTTCTCCTGCTTTCTCTTGAATCGGTGTGTTTGTGTGTTTTTTTTGTCGTTCTAATTTCTATACTATCTAACCGGCAAAATATGTTTACGTGTCAAGCGCATGCTGTTATTTATTTTCTCTCCATCTCCATCTTCATCGTCCCTCTCCCTCTCTCGCCGTACTGTCATTTTCAATTGTTGTCGTCGTTTGTTTTATTTACTTCTTTCGGCTCTCTTCAGCACTTTCGCTTTGTTCGCCACCGTCCGGATCGTTGCCATTAAAAATGTAGTTGTCTTTGTTTGCAATGCCAGTTCCCTCTGAATCGCCTAGCCAAGGATACTGTTGCGGACAGTCACGGCACGTTTCCATGTAGCGGGTGTCGGTGATGTTGCTCGTTTGAGTTTTGAATGGTAGTGCACATTTATTCGATAGATTGCACGGTGCTTGTACATTTGATTGTTTCTTTTGGCATGCCCACGGTTCATAGTTGGTGAGCGATTTCAATGGTTTTGGATCGGTGATCCATTGCAATGCTTGTGTTGTGGTTACAACCCAAACATCTGGCCTGATAGAGACAGAAAACGAAACGAGACAAAAAAAACATTACAACGAACGGAATTAATTAAATCAAACACATTAAACTTTTGTTTCATTTAGATTTCATTCAGTATATACTTTCAACGCCCAATCAAGGCAAACACACTATTATTCCGATGAATATTCTCCAAGTGAAACTTTTTAATTCATAAAAACCGATGAGTTCTTTTTTTTTCTCTTTCATTTGTTCAAACTCGTTTGGCTCGATTGGTAATACGTGAATATGCGTAAATCAATGAACTTTTAAGTAATATTTAATGAATAAATTAAGCACATGCTCCAAAAATATGCATTGTGAATTTTTGGGTTGGGTCGTTGCGATGACGAACACAGTATAACTCATGCGAATGAAAATCATGCTTATCATATTTAAAAAAAGCACAATTTTTGCGTGTGTGGCAGAATTTCTTTTTATCGCTCTTTATTCTAGCGCTGACTTGGAATAATGAATGAAAAGAACAACATAAAAGCCGAACATTTGATGTGAACTTTTGATGTGGCTCCATAAATTGTCAAAACAGTATGACAAAAAAAATATAAATAAAAAACAAACAAAATCAGCCAAATATGCCAGTCTATTTTGGACGGTGTTTGGTCCAATGTTTGTGTGGTTAGGCGAGTCATCTTTTTTACATGGCGATCACGTACACGACAGAATAAGACGGCACCAACAATAATCAAAACAAAAAGTCATAAACAAACTATACCGAGCGACTTCAGTACCGAAAAATGAACTCTCCCATCCAAAGAAAATAGAGTGTTTTTGTTGTCGTCGTCGTCGTTTTTTGGGGTTTGCCGTAGGACATATATGTATGTATGGATGTTTCAAGTTAGAAACGCCTTTTGAAATTAATTGCAATGCAAGGAAGAAAATCGAAAAACAACACATACAAAATTAGTACGAATGACGATGGCAAAACTATACTACATGGCTCTAGTCATCGCTGTATAATTCACCCTTATTCATGACATTGTGTGTGTCCGTGCGCGCCGCATCCAACGAAATCCAATTTGATGATTCTTTTTTCTTTTTCTACTGGATTTCACTTTGGTCGACTTTACAATAACTTGAAATTGAAGAAAACACTGAAACATTTCCATATCGATTTAGTTTTCGCATAAATTTTCACCCATCTCTCATGCTGTGCAACCGAAACGCAATATCCCGATTTTTGCTAAAACAAAGTTTTACAAAATCCAGTTTGAATATATAAGTCTGGCATGGGCATGTATGTGTGTGTGTGTGTCTAAATTCAACACATACTCAGTGTCCATTTGCTTCAATAAAAAGTTTTTTGTGTGGAAATTTTCGATTAGCAACAAAGTTTTTTAATAGCCATGCATAACAGTTGCCAATGAATTGCAGTTTGTATTCCAAAAATTAAATTTACATTTTAAGCATTCAAACGAATAAACGTTTCAGTTTCGATAGACGATGAATTGATCGCCAGCATATATTTCTGCTGGAATACACAGACGCCAATCATTTGTAGGAACTAAATCGATGCTTTTTTTCATTGCACACATTTACACTGTAGTTATTGTAAATCGGCGGCAATGATTCTGGGGGTTGGATAGTGAATTTACGATTCGTGATGTTTGAAAAAGATGTGGACATTTCTACAACTGAAACAGACTTGAATATACAGAATTTTACTACAAAAATTGATGTAGAAAATGCAATATTTGGAAAAAAAAGTTGATTTTTTTTAAATTGCTGTCATCCCCCTGTGACCCACTTCAAAATAATACAAACTTGTTTATCAACTATTCAATCAGCAAATACAGAACCTCAATGTGTCTATCAAAGACTTCAATATGTGTTGAAGTTTTTGAATGATACGATTTCAGATTTTAATTCAAACATGGATGAAATTCGTTCTAGAGAAATCATTGCAACGTAATCGGTTAAAAATCTGCATCGAAAACTTTTATAAATACAAATGAAGCAATCGAATTTATATTTGCGATATCGTTTTTCAGCGTTTGATTGATCGGCGCTTTTCAAATTCAGATTTTATGATTTCTGAGCTGTTTAGACAATGTCTTTATTTGCAGCGGTGAAATGAGTACATAAAGACAACCTGTTCGGATGGACGCTAAATAAAACACAATTAATTTTTGTTATTTATAGTTGGGAAAAATAGAGAGCAAAAAACCCGACTCTCTTTATTGAATGTTTAAAAGCGGCTGACTCTTGACACATCGAATGGCAGCAAGTGTTGCCATCCGATACGCAACCCTTAATTAAAAATGCAATACAGATTTGTACGATTTGCAAATCACATATTTCTTTACCTTCACATTCCGTGACTGTATATAAAGGTCGTTTGATATCAATATCTCTCTACTGCATGACTGTCATGGGGTTAATGTTGAATTGATATCTTTGTAAGTACATGATATTGTCGTGACCTTAGCCTTAGCATCAGTTTTCATTGAAAATCAAATGACTATTTTCTCTTTCTGTTGTCTTAAAATCGGTTCCGTTTCACGAGCCCCAAATAAATAACGAATAAACTGAGTCGTTGCTGTCAATACAATAATAAATTGTGGCGAATAGCAAAATCGTGGCGTGGTGACTTGGTTCTTACGTTAGACCCAAAGTCATTGTATGTCCTGTCGCATTACGAAATTCTAAGTTGGTGTGAAATATATGGTTTTGATCAGTGACCGGTTCGCGCATATTTCTATGCCTGATAGCTATGCTAAGCATAGCGGAGACGCAAGCCGTAACGCACCCGTCGCCATTCGATTCGAGCTATATTGTATGCGCACGGTCGTCTGCATAAACGAACATGTGCATTGTTCATATAGAGTGAACGGCGATGCGTCGGTTGCGTTTGCGGCTATGCTTGGCATATCTATGCTACCTAGCGTATTTAGGCAAACATAGAAATATGCGCGAACCGGTCACTGGTTTTGATTCAGTTCATTAATGAGGTTGGGCATTAAAAAAAAGAGAACAACTGGAAAAGCGACGCAATGGAAAAAAGATTAAATAGATTTTCGGCTCAGTGCACGGCATATGGAATGAGGCGACGATTTAGCTATTTTTCACACTTCATTAAATTTTAATTGTGCAATGCGTTGTCCGCAAAACAAAAGAAATGAACAAAATGAAGGCAGAATTTAGTAAAAATTACGCGTATCATGAAACGCACACACTCGTCGCTCATTCCAAAAGCAAACTCTTTTTTTCTTTCTCGTTGATCGTCGTCGTCTGTTTTTGCTGTTGTCTTCTATGCACGTTTTTCTTTTTCGGCTGCCTTTCGACAATCACCTCTGTTGGATTGGAGCGGCCGCATTTTCATTTGGACCAAAAGCGAGACTGAGGTTTTAAGCTTTGAAAAATGGTTGCGCTTCAAAACATGAACCATTTTAGAGAAAACATGCCTCCTCTTTACTATACATAATTCATTTGGTTCGGTTTTTAATTCATTAGGACAAAAGTCGGTTTTACGACTTGAACATTGTCTCATTTCTCATCGTTTTTATATTCATATTCAGTTTTTATTTCAGACGGGGTTTTTTCTACATGAAACTTTTCCGTTGGCCGAGAAGGCGAATAAAAAACAAATGTCAATCCTGAAATCGTAATTTGAAATAAGCAAGAAAGACCGCTAATTAAATCATTTTGAATAAATAAAAAGAAGCATTCGAATTTAGAAGACAAAACATTGTAACATTTTCACTTCGCATGAACAGTTTTTCTTCCGAATACGATTTGGTCCAATGATACTGAATATTAAATGATGCACACACAAACCCAACGAAAAAAAAAACATCGTGAAAAACACTAGCCGTGGCCAGTACAAAACACGTTTGAAACATTTTCGCGCAACAAGATTTGTAACTGCCTGCTTCGTTTCGAGTGAAACTTGATTCGTTCACTGTGTTCGGCGTTGCTTCAGTAATAATTCATTTATATCGCTGTCTTCACTTCCACCTGTTTTTTATTCTGCCTGTTATCTGGCTTCGTGAAATGTCTCGTGCTGTATCTTTTATTCATTATTTTCGTTGTCAGTGCCTTTTTTTAATAATATAAATGGTTCATAATTATTCTTCGTAAAGCCGTACAATTTTACTTTTTTGCATGCATTTCTTTTTTTCATCTCTATTTTTTTTTTTTGCTCTTCAACACTCTTTTGCTCATTGCGCTCACTTCACGGCAGCGGCTGCATTTCCAAAAGAACTTTTCTAACGTTGGTAAAAAAAGGAGTGAGGGAGAGAAAGAGATACATGCACACACACACAACCGGCACTAACAATTTATTCAGAATCTCAAATTATATTAATACCATTTAGCGTGTTCGTTCTTCTCCATTTTCGAGATAATGCAAAGTATTACTGTGACATGCTTTATACGCTCCATAGCCGGAATTGAATCTAGTTCAATTTCTTTGAGTAGTCGGTATAAACTTGATATCAACGTTTCTTTTTCTCTGTTCTTGCACTTAGTTAAACTATTCCATTTCATAAGATGCGAATAGAAAAGAGAGCGAGAGAGAAAAAAAAGTGGGAAGAAGATGAAAGAACAAGGTAGATTTTTAGTAGTTGTTTGTTTCATTTCTAAAGAACTTAGTCAAAAGATAATCTTTTTTTGAGGCTGTTCTCCATTGAGAACAGACGTGTGCGTGTGGGCGAGCGCGCTTGTTTTCTGATGCCGGCCGGACAATGGGCGGAAAATGTATGAAGTTGTGTAAAGATTCTAGAAAAATTCAACATGCGGATGTTGAGCATTTTAGGAAATTAAAGGAGGTTTATGCGTGTCCTTGCACCGGTAGCTGAAACGAACATGTTGCACATTATGGTCTCTTGCACATTAAATCTTATGCCAAGACCATCGTCCGTCTTGGCGAAGAGCGAATTGCAATAAATAGCTTCTGCTTTTACTTTAATGAATATATTTTCCGTGCAACGAGCAGAAAAAAAGCGATTAATAATGCAACGAAACGGTGAATAAAAAAGCACGAAAGAGAAAATGAAAAGAAAGAGTTGCTCATATTTACCGAGAGTTTGCTTATGAATCAAGCATTAAATGAAGTGCAAAGCATTTTGTATGCCCTGTTAACGTTTAAATGGATTTTTTTTTTTTCATAAAAGAATGTGAAGCTTATCTTGACCAAGCGGGGTTGGCGTATATGAGATTGGGAACTTTTTTATGCGAACGCAACTGATCAGCGCCACCTCACATTAGTTCGAATTAGATCGAAAAACTGAATTTAATTCTGTAGCATTGAAATGAAAAAGAGAAAAAACAACAACAATAGCACGGCCACACAGAGCTGTACATCTATGCGTGCTGATGCATTCATACACATATACGCTTTCTTCATTCTTTCATTCCATTGTTATACGTATCTCACTGGTCAACAGATCTATGTAGCCATGTTACTGTTGTTGTTTTTTTTTCTCTTTTTCGATTCAATTCATTGTAACTAATGGGAGTTCAACTATGGAATACAAGATGGCACAGATGAGGGGAATTCGCATTTTGTCTCTTCATAGGCTTAGCCGGTTGATCTTGACGCTGTGTTGTTTCGATATTCGGACTATATAAGTGCACTTCATTTGTGGTATAATATTTTCGGTGAAATGGCACACCAAAATGACCTCATCGTATTCATCTCGGTTGATTAAATTGTGTCAACACTGGTGCGATCATCATCATTATCATCATCTTTTGGTTACATCGATTCATTTAATGTATGAAATTAAAATAGGTAACTCTTGTTTTGCCGTGACTTCATAAAATTTTATCTTGTTAGCCATTTCAGGCCGCAAGGTAAACACAACAGCGAACAAACAGAGAGCGAGAGAGAGAAAAAATTCATGGTACAAGTTAATTTTCGAAAGCAAAAAAAACTTCGATAAGTAGCTTATTTTCTTGGAAAGCGAGAAAAAACGGATATTTTCCAGTTGGTAACAAGGGTAAAAGGCTACAAAATAAAGTTTTGTAATGATAGAAGAAATGTTGTAGCGCACATAGTTTGTGTGTGTGTACTGTGTATGTTTTGGCCGGATTTCATTGCACGTGGTAACAACGTACGAAAAGAAAAGATGCGAGATATAATGTGCAAGTGCATTCAGAGTGCATAAATAACATTATTTTAATATTCCTTGTAAACGAAATCATATCAGCATGACTGGAGGAGAACGGTTTCATGGTCGATAAATAGACGAAGCGTGCGAAAAAAACCGGTTACAAACTAACGACGCGACTTTTTTTCTGCTTCGCTTCGTATTTATGTTTGTTGCACTGTTATCTGCAAGAAACCAAGTTAAAGGAAGAAGGTGTGTGCTTTTCACCGTCAAATGAGCTACCTCACCTATACAGGTGCTGATGCCAAAGTATTGCCGTTAATGTGGCTGATGCAACGTAATTATTCCGTAATGCAGATTGATTATACACCGGAAAATTTCTTGTTACCGCTTCGTTTCCGTTCGCTTCACTTTGCTGTGTGTGTGTATAATGTAGTTGTTGGCGGCAGAGGCTTGACAGTTTCGCCATACTCGCTTTGTACGATATGTGCATCAAGTTGGGTTTTTGTTTTAAGTTTTTGTCGAACCGCATTGTTTATTTATTCATTTATATTTTATGGGTACGTCTGTTTGTGTGTATGCAGAATAAGGCAAACGCTAAAATGTGCAGAGAGAAAGAGAGTGAGAAAAAGTCATCAGAAACTTGTTCATGAATTTAACATACACGAAAACTGTTGCAAACGTACACATATTTAACTCCGGCAAAAATAGGGAATGCTCGACAAAAGAAGGTATATATGGTTGGGAAAATGCTTGACACTTTTAAACGGAAAACCCTTAAGCATCGTGATTGTTTTCGATTTGTACGCCGCAGACACGGTTTTTTCGGTAACATACACGTATAACGCACTTCCTTCGCAAAATTCAATAGAAATCTGAAACAACCACTTTTTTACTCATTCACCCATCGCACCCTCTGTTCTAGGCGGTAGTTTTTTTCAAGTAGCAGTTTTTTATTTGGCATTAATTCTGTTGTTGTTGTTGTGTTGTTTGTTCGCTTTCAGTTGTGAGCATTTTATAATTAGTTTTTAATTAATGAAGAAGTCCTTTTCGTTTGGCTTTAATTATTTCGATTTATTTTGTTCTGTACGGGAGAAAGAATTAAAAAAAGCGGTAATTCAATGGAATTAAATTCAAACGGATTTCTGTCACGTCTCTGATGCTTGAGCGTTCTTTTTTTTAATTGGTTGTGTTTTGTTGAGATCTCACTTTGTCTCTCACTTTGAACCTCCCCCACCTTGGGTGAAATGTTAAGAACGCTTGATTTATTACCAAAATTCGTGGTATTTTAAAAGTGTGTTTGTCGTGTGTTTTGATGCCTTCATTCGAATACAAAATACCGAGAAATGGACCTCAGTCAACCACACCGGCTATTCATTTATTTAAATATATACAAACAATTCGGTTTCAATTTACAAACACAAAAACCAATTAATTATAAAAATATAAACGAGTACCGCGGCACGCATTCAAGAGTATTCATTCTCAAATACACTGGCGGAAACCACGTGCACGCAGACCCGACAAATAAATGAAAACTTAATGGGAAATTGCGGGAAAAAAGAAAGAGATTAAGAGCTACTGTGAAGTCGAATAAATATTTATTTCATGTCTGTGCAGATTCAAATCCAACCGAAATACCAAATGCAAAAACAACGTGTAATTAATTATTCGCTTGTTTCCGACTCTTACAATAGAATTCTGCAATCTTTCAAATGCTTGTCTGTTCGCCCTTGATTACCATTCACCGCTCAACGCATTCTTTACTTTTTTCCTCTCGTTATTTTGGCCATTTTTATTCGCACTTGTCTATCACTCGATGGCCGTATCTATGCATCGTTTCATTCGATTTCATTGCTTGCTTCAATGATTAATTGAATTTACTGAACTGCATCAAATCCAAATTGACGGCCAAAGAAAACCATATTAATTTCATTTCCCATTATTTATACACGTTTCTATTTATTTAAGGTGCTTTGATAATGACACGGAATTGTTCACACCAATCAAACATTTCACACCGATCTGGTTGATGCCTTAAAATGGCACATTCACACCGGCAATAGAACCAAAAACCAAAATAATTTATCTCAATTTTTCTTTTTCTACACTGACTCAGAGAGTGGTGGATAGAAAAAAACTTTAATCTTTTGCCCAATATCCGATGGAAATTGCTTTTACGAAAGTTAAAATGTTGTGAATGTTTTTAATTATTTGAAAAAAAAAAAAAAAAAAATAACGTGCTTTTAAGGTAAATGTGGATCAGATTAAGAGAGACATACGCTTTTTTCCCAAACACTCCGAACAATGATGCATTCGATTTCATGGAATTTGTTTTTCGTGGAAAAAAATAAATGCATGTATAAATAGGAAGATAGTAAATGTATGCCGCAAAAAGCAGCTTTCAAAAGAGATTTTTCACGAGGATTGCGCAACAAGCCGAAATGATCGAATGATGAAAAGATGTGCTTCCACCAAAAACCCGCAGATCGAAATATTTTTCTGTGAATTCTGCATTTTTACTCCATTAAAACAATCCGTCCACTATACGTACAAAATGAGTTCGAAAAACTTTTCGCGTTAAATTTTTTTCGGTTCTTTAATTACGAAAAACTAAAGCTCACATTGTTGAATGTGTGTTTTCGAAGTTTATAGTCGTGATGTTTCACTTGGAGTTGTGGTTTTAATTTTGGTTAGTTGAACTGAATAAAATTGTATAAAATGCATTTGTTTACTTACAGATTTAGTGCCCAGTCCAAGAATTTATGTAGACCTTGTTCGAGCTCTTTGATTTGGAACCAGTTTGATTTGAATGCCATCATGTACGGTGCTTTATTTTGTTCATAGTGTCGTGCAAAATCTTCTTGTAACCATTCTGATACTTCTTCGGCGTTGTGATTGTGCAATACGCATTGATCCAAATACGGGCAATGTCCACCTTCATAGCTTTCAATGTAGTGAGCATTCATTGGGACCTCCCATATACCTGAAAAATTCGGTCGTCGAAGGTGAAGAAAAAATAGAAATGAATTGTATTTATGATATATATTTTTTTCGCTTATAAAATTTGAAAGCGTTGAAATTGTAAACGTTAAAATCGATAACACACGCAATCTATTATAGAGGGATGAATTACCTGGAAACGTTTTTGTTGGACATGTTCCGCTCTTGCATTCATGTGGGATTTTATAATCTAATGTGTAAGGCCAAACCGGTAGGTTTTGTGGTTCAACCGAAACTGAACTATCATAGATGTAACCGAAATCCTCGATGACCTGATATATTGCCAGGCGTGAACAAAAGCGTAAATCGTTTTTCGTTATGTGTGGCGTGCACGATTGGTCCAAAAAGATTGGCGAGCATAGAAGAAAAGAAAGAACGAAAAAAAGAACAATAGATAGTACATTATTGGAAAATTCAATGATATTGAGTAAAACAATAGAACTTAAAGTACGGATGAGAGCGATGCGGTAGTGCGTTCAAAAGCGAAAGCAACTAATGGCATTCACATTGTTCGGTGGCATGAAATAAAACATGAAGTTTCAATTCACGTATCTATCTCATTCTGTGTTCTCAGTTCAGCTCACTTCATTTACTTTGTTATTTTTATTAACTGTATTAAAAATGTGTTGCCAAGAGTATCTTCAGCTGAATTACAGTATGCATGCTGTGTTGAATGCATTTCGCATGAGAATAAAATACAATAAACCGGTGAATTTGTGCATTTGTTATCAACCGAATGAAATTTTTACTCGAAACAATTCACATTTACATGTTAGCTATCCCACTACATTGTATATCGCTTAACTAAACCTAACGAAAAGATAACGGACTAATGATGGAAATTGTAAAACGTACCTTGTATTGTGTATTTCGACCTGGTTTCAAGTATGGTGCTCGCATACCAACAACATCATTTCCCGAAACATTTGCAAAATGTCTCAATATCTCTCGCATACCAATCATTTCGCCGACCCATTCTTCATAGCCTTTATCCTGTAGACCTTGTTGCAATGAAATTGTTTCGGTTGCGATTTCATGCTGGTCAAATGCTAACGATTGAATTTGTTGGTAGTTGCTGCTCTCCCCATCATCATTTTAAATATACACGTGCAATTCACATTGTTTTTCGTACGGCCAAGATTGGGCCAGGCACAGAACCATAGCGATGTGTGGTTGATATCATTCCATCCATCAGTCAAACAGGAGTCAAAATTCATGCAGAATTAAAGATAATAGAATCGAATTAGAAATTCAAGTTGAGAGAAGCGAAATGCTTTTTGTACAATTTGTATTCAATTTTGAAGGGAGGAAAAACCGTCTCGAATCTTCCTTTTCGCATCGGTGGCATTTGATGCGTGCGTGAATTCAGTGGCAAACTTTTGTATTATCTCTCTATTGGCATTGTCTTATTTTTAATTGAATATCATAGCCTAGATCAGGAATGTGCGAGGAAATTTTTTCAGGGGGGGTGGTTTTCCAAAAACAAAAAATTCTCTAGCAAATTAGACAAATTTTCGTTTTTTTTTTTGAAGTCACTTTTTGAGGCGAAAATCCCTAGCAAATTGAAAGATTTTTCTCCGCGAAAAACCCCAGTAAATTGGAAAAAATTCTCTCGGTACCCAAAACCCTAGGAAATTGAATTCTCCTCAATTTTCTACATTGATGAGCTAAAAAAAGGCCTTCACTTTTAGAATCAAAAACCCTAGCAAATTCAAATAATTTTTGCGAAAAAAATTTTCTCATCCAAATCACAGGGTAAGACCCCCCCTTCGCACATTACGGGCCTAGATCATAGCCGCACAAATTTTCCAGCTTAACAATTTTGATAAAAGTAAATCATTAAAGCAAACCGCTTCCCGTTTTTTAGCCATTGTTTTTGTGCACAGATTTAGAAATTCGCTTTCATTCCGAATTTCGATAAGAATTCTTCATTTTCACCTAGAATTCCTCTCTTCATCATGCATAACGATCATCAGATATGATGAAATAATCATCTACAATAATAATTCGTAATATTATTATTATTCTAATATCATTTATTATCAGAGTACGACCATCTTTTCAATAATTACAATCACATTGTCTAGACACATGAATTCCAAATGAATGTGGAAAAATGTTAACATTGAGTAAATGTGTATCGTATTGTGCATGTGAGCATGGTTTGCCTTGTTTCACAGCAACAATTACCTGCAGCTGCCACATTTCATTATTTGCACACATTTATGTGCTCGCTTAATATTGCGGATGGTCGCCTATTGGAATATATACATCCGACAAACTTTTCGATTCAACTGAATATAAAAAGAAAATCTCTTTCTCGTTCGAATATTATTAATTGGGCTCAAGAGTGAAAGCATTTTGTTTTTATTTCTATTCCTGATTTTGATTGAAACGATTTTAATTAGACAAACTTTAAATTACCATGAATATACTGTTGCATTAGTTTTGCAAAATTGCGAAAATTACTCTCACTTTTACACTCTTTCTCTCTCTCTATTTCTCTATTTCGATGCCAACGTTTGATGTACACATTTTAATGCGATGTGAAATCGAAATAGATAGTTTTTGGGGTGGAAGCGAACTTATTCGCAATCTGTTTTCAACAGATAATGACGGTGCACAATTGTATTTGCCCTGTGAGCACTTTCTGGTGTGAATTAAATCCCATCCGAAAAATAAAGAGTTTTCAAAGTCTTTCTCTCACTCTCTCTTACGAATTTATTAAATCCAATGCAAACACGATGAACGTTGCAAACTAATGAAAATTAATTTATTTCTGCATCAATAGCTCTTGCCGCTGTGCACTCTGCATGCCATCTTTAATAAATGAAAATTATTGGCCAATTAAAGTTTTCACAAAAATAAACCATTCACGAATCATTTATATGTGTATTCATTATTTAAGAGAATAAATGAAGACGAAGATAGAAATGAGAGTGCGAGAAGTAGATAATTCTATTCGATCTGATTTTATCGAAAGTTAAGCGAAAACTGATGATATATTTCGTTCAAGAAATCAAATTCAAAAAGTTTTTCTTTATGAAATCTTTTTCACTTCCTTATCGTTGATATTCAATGAGTTATTTTGTTCAAAAGTTACGGAAACTATTGTGTCCATTACCTGTATTCATGAGCGATGAAGAACGTTCCTTTGATGTCACAACCGTTTGGATTCTTTCGCTTGCCATTAAATACCTTCCTGTAATGTTCGTAATTGTTCAAATTGACGGCACCGTCAAAGGTCAATAGGATGATTTGTGGAATCTGTGTTTAAAAAAATGGAAAATTACATCAAATACGGTTAATTACAAATCATTATGTAAACAAGTGTTTATTTAAAAGAATAAAATTAAATCCCCTTTGAAGTTGAAATTTATTGCATAAAATTTGGTTTTCGAATTTAATTTACATTCAAAGAGTGTATAAAATGATGAAGAATTCATTGTGCAACTTTATTTCTAGAAAAATAAGATTTCGTTTCTACGAAATCTCCTTGTAACCGGGTCTGGTGAGAAGTGATGTGCATTGGTGGTGTTTAAGGTGATCGAGTGAAAAGAAAACACATATTTCGCCAAAAACCATGAAAGGAGTATTTCAAATTTCACAGCGAATAATATGCAATCCAATTAATTAAACCAGCTTAAATTGAAGATGAAGAATAAGAAAACCCAACATACACAAAGCCAAAAATCCAATGCGTACTTATGTAATCATATGCCAGCTGTTAAATTCACATTCGCGTACATCTCGTCTGGTCTGTTGAATTCCAATTTGGGGGTTAAAAGTTCAAAACAGTACTTCAAATGATTATATATATGAAGTCTTGCTCTCTCACACACAATAATCATGCAGACAGAGAAATTTCTTGGAATTTTGCATCAAAAGGCGCTCAAATTTAACTGACGCACAAACACTTCAACAAATAACAAACAACAAAGTTGCACAAACAAACAAACAAACAAACAAACAAAAACGAACGTAATCAAGTGAAATGCTGATCAGGATTGAGAGCTCGCGAAACGCGGGCGTTCTGGAGATGATGGTACAACACGGTACTGTATAGAATTTCAGCTGAACGCCGTTTATCCATGTAAAATTCAAGTATTCACAAAGATTACATTAATTATTATGATTATTGCACAGTTGTCGTTTTTTTTTCTTCATCGCTGTAGCCTCTTGATGTCGTTTATTTTATGAACCTTTGATGGTTGCCAAACCGCATGGTGCGCAATGTTAAAAGCAAACGAATCCGTACTTTATGTTGTCTCATATTTGTCTGTTCATGCTTTCAATGTACGTAATAAACAATTAGACTTTGAAAACGAAGAGCTAAGAAGGTTTATTAACAGAATTATATCTATAAATACTATGCGACAATACTTTCAATATCCGAAAGAGCCTGAGACATAATCTCGCAAAAATACATTATAAAAGGCCGGGGGAGGGGAGAGAGACGTATCGCAAAATTATGTAAAATAGCATTAGAACTTGGTAAAGCGGCACATCTAATGAGAATAATCCAATATTGAATTAACGGAGTAAAATACGCTGTGAGAGAATATTGGCGTTTGGTAAGCGAGCACATGCGATTTAGAAGTGCACTTAACCCATTTTAGCTAATTCAATATTTACAATTGAAATACATCCATCGCTATATCGATGTACCGAAAATAATGACGAAGAATGAATTAAGATATACCGCGTGTCAATTGGAAGTATGTGTGTACACTTTACACGACTATCGTCGTAGCTTCATTCAACACGAAAACTTTCGTTTCATATTTGACAAACGTTTAACAAAATAAAGGCATATACAAACACCGTTGAGCCGTATTTAGTTTCGCATCTCGGTGACATAAATTGTTTGCGAATGGCAAAGTACATTTACCCAGCCGCTTTCGTCAAGACACAACACATTATTTCACACACAGCGTTGAGTGAAATGATGAAGAATCGTCTTACCATTTGGTGATGCTACCATTTCGATGGGAATGGAGGAGAGGCACGAAAAGCGGACACAAAGACAGGCAAATACTAGGGCAAATATAAAATGCAAAGATGTGCATATTTACTTTGTGCTGGCACGCACACAAATGTCAAAAGTGGAAAATTCTTGAAAGTTTTTTTGCTATACGTGGCAAAACTCAAATTAAAATGTGCACAAGAGCACCAAAAAACTTTTGCGAAAAAGAACAAATAAAAGCAACTAATGCATGTAACGATGTCGGCTATGTCATTCCATCAGCAGTGTCACAAGAGTATTTGGCATGTCTCTGATTCCAACGCTCTCACGGCATTGTGTACGTCGTACGATGCTAAAGCCTCTCGTATATCACACATGCTCTCGCTAATTATTTATTAATTATATCGCTTAATTGATGTTTACACATGCAAAATTGTACATAGATCCCAACTGAGTCACATTTATGTACCGAACGTATGTTAGTTGTTTGATAGCCGATTACACTGTTACATCGCTCTCTCTCTCTCTCTCTCTCTCTCTCTCTCTGTATGTGTGTGTGTGTCTCGGTCTCTCCACCACGCAGCACCATATTTTATAATTCACAGCATTACAAAATAACATCATTCATAAATACATACAACGAAATATATTCGCATGCAGTAGACATAGTCAATGATAAATATGCAACTATAGCTCTCACTGGAAATAATACAACACCTAAATTTGTGCACACATTCAAACGTTGAAAAAATGAATTTAATGCGTGAATGTTTATTTAGTCTTTTCTTTCGGAGTTATGGGCTCGCTCTGCTGCAATTACTGCTTCACACTACGCGACTGTAAATGCAAAAAAGCGTCTAAAATAACAGAACGCTTGACAATGCATGCAATTTCGTCATGATTTTATGAATATAGTACTGGAAGAAAGATAAATTTCTAGATACTAATACAAAAACATATAGTCACGTCAATATTGTATTGATTTGCAAACAAACATGATTCAACTAAAATAATTTCTACAAGTTTTATAACGACTTTTTCATAACATTTACAGGATTCATATTGTGTGAGATTTTCGGTGCTTTTAATATTTTAAGATCATGTGGCTTATTTAATATGTTGGTGTCATCGTAGCTACCCACCTCTAACGCGCTTTCTTTCTTTCACTTCAATGGAGAATGAAGGAAATGAATTATGCTCGTTGTTGGATGCAGCAAATGTGGAACTTAAATTCTCTCTCATTGGATATAGCATTGGGAAAAAACATGCTGGAAAATTAATTTCCTTATTTCTCTCACAACAAACAATTCCAATTCACCATCATACGCATTGCTCTGCTTCCTAAAAACGTATTAGTTTTGTCATATACACACACGAAAAAAATCTGCAAAATGTCACTTGGAATCCATACAGAAAAATGTGTTTAGGGTTTCCCAGCAGTATTCTCATGTTTTGTGGGTTCGAAGATTTTTTTTCTATTTTTAGGTAGATGAAGTTTTGACATTTGCAGTGTGGCATGTGGGTGCGTTTATGGGTTTTCTGTCAAAATACAGGAATATCTTTTTTGGAGACAAACAGTCAGTTGTGAAAGTTCGTAGATTTTTATCGTGAGTGTATAGTTCAAAAATGCTAGTCTTACACGCACAGAAACACACATCTGCAAGTGAGTAAACGTCTGCTATTACGTGCTAATTAATTGCTAAGGGGCGGAAATAGCAAAAGCCTTTTAGCAAACAGACCAATTTCGAAAATGAAATTTAATGCAACGCAAATTACTTAGCTATGCATATGAGGTGAATTCTCTAATACCTCTCTAACTCTTCTGAATGCCGTTTCATATTAATGCATTAAGTATTCAAACCAAAATTTTCATACCGCACACAACGAACTATTCGTGTTCGGGAATTTAATTTGCCGAATATTTTAGTTGAAAATTCTCAATTACGGAAATAAGATGAATGTCATTTTCTACGAAACACGTCAATCCCACAACTTTTCGATGCGAATCAGCATGTGTATGCGTATGATTATAATCCTAATCGCAGAATGTAAAATACTTTCCCGAACAAAAAAATGTATGAATGAATAAATTCCAACAAAAAATATATATAAAAAAAACTCGGAGTAGGAAATTAAGGTTATTTAAGAAATGCCAGATATAGCGAAGAATGTTTTGCACAAAATTTAAATCGAAAAGTGGGAATCCATTTGATATCATTGAAAATTTGGTATCTATGTTCTTTTTTCCCTTCTGTTTCGTTAAGTCAACACGTGTTTCAAGTGAATCTTCTTTGAATGACATATCCCCGCTTTAAGTTTGCCAAATGGCAACGAGTAAATATTTTTATTAAAAACACATTTTCTTCGTGAAAGTAAACAATGTATGTATGCACAAGACCATAAATAAAATGGGAAGCAGAAGAGAAAATTTGCAACATTTTGCGATGGTATTACGGGTATGTTTAAGAAAGTGATCAACATTTCAACCGATTATTTTGTAATTTTCTCGAGCGCATTTTTCACGTTCCCTTATAAACGTGTGTACGCTTGGATTAGAGTGTGGAAATTCAAGGACAACTGGCGATTATCTCTATGTTTAATTTATAGTGTTCTTTCGAAAGTGGAAATTCCCATGGATGTAGTTTCATTAGTGCTTCAATATTGTAGTAAAAAATGCATTCGCCGCCCGTTTTTTTTTTCGTTGTATGCAAAAGCACGGCTCCTATTTTACTCGGGGATCAACATTAGAGCGCAACACAACATCTACTGTCTGTTGCAATCACACGGTATACCATATTAACTATAATCTCACACTGGCTGCCATTTTAATAAATGTCTACTTACGTCTTCAGCTTCTAAGCCACCCGGTATGATTGTGCCATCCTTTGAGCAAAAACAATATGGTAATGCGCAGTCAGATGGGTCGCATTTTTTCGCCAAATCGATTGGTGCTTCGGTGACTGGTGCTGGAGCTGATGTATTCCAATATGCAACGAAACAAAGAAGGTAAAAGAATTGGCATTAAAAAAAGCACACGAATGGAAGGAGGAAGAGAGAGAGAGAGAGAGAGAAAGCATATACTTTTGAAAATAAAAACGATAATGGAAAAAAGCTCTAAAACAAACACAATGTTCACTGTGAAATGCCAACAAAATGTGAGCAGTTTAAATATTTTTCTAGATTCACAAAATCGTTACCAAAGACGCACATACTTAGCATTTGGCTTTCGATCGTATGACTTTTTTTCTCACTCTCTCACACAGGTGTGCTTTTTTCTGCTGCATAGTTTGTTTGAGTAGATTAAATTCAAATTGAGTTCTCGCTTCGGTGAAACAAACAGTAGAAAAAGCAACGAATAAAAATACTTAAACACCTATTAGACCTCACATGTAAAGTTATAAATCGTCTATTTGTGTTAGTCTCTGAGTGCTTTTTACTTCTGCTTATGTTTTGCAGCATTGAATAGAGTGAGCGAGAGAGAGAGAAAGAGAGAATTGAATGTCTTTTTTCTCGCCGAGATTTTCATTTCGATATAATAAAAAGGAATGGCTTCACATCGGTCGTTTCAAGCTCGTTTCAAACACATTTCCACTTAATGCAATTCTTGTATGACTCACCATTTCTTTACATAAAATAAGGAATCACTGTCATTATTTCGACAGTCGCTTGTCGTTTGAATGGTTTAAAATATCTATAGATCGAGGGAAACTTGGCAGTTTGGAGTGACGTAGCCACACAGCAACTAACATCTTTTTACTTGGATTTCATGCAATTCATTAATAGTTTATGGAAAAAATTACATTTTTTTCCAAGCAATTCGATTTTTGAGGTGTTATGTTTTTTCATTAAACATTTTTCCCTTATACTCTCTACCTAACGTTCATATAGTATACTGTTGTTCTAAAAATGTCATGTAAACTAATTGAACTCACTCTGAATAATTTAGCGAATCAGTCAGACTTTCGGGAGCCTGCGAGCTGAGGGTCAATTTCAAATTTCCGATAAAAGTAATTTTGCGTTAAAATTGACAAGGAAAAAAATAAACGACTTTTAAAAGAGAGAGCTTTTGCCTAGGGGTTAGACACATGTCTAAAATGTAGAATACACTTAGTTTTGAAGAATATACTTCATTTTTCGAATACATTCTGATTCGGTGAATCTTGAAGCTAAAACCACGATTTCCATGATTACGTGATTCCAAGATGGCGGCATACAAACGTATTGAACTACACAAAGTCGATGAAATTCCGCACAAAAGAGATTAAAAAATCCATGCAAAATGTGGCCGACTAGTCGATTTTCGGCATAATATTTAAAAATTAGTGCTTTGAGCACTCTAAAATATGATACATGTTATTTTCGAAAATAGTAAAACGAAGAATATTTCACTATTCGGAGATTACGAATACACGTGTCTACCCCCTAGGCTTTTGCTGGGAAAGTATAATCTTCTGATTGATCAAATCCAAATATAAATGTTATAGAGCCTCAAAATAGTTAGTAAAATAGTTAGCAACTGTCAATGCGAATTTCAATGCGAATGAAAGAGTCAAATCTCGACTAAGATCCTTTTAATCCTGAAAGTAGAACCATTGTGGATTTTGAAGTTGTTATTATCTCAAACCTAGGTTTAATTTATCGTTGTCTCCATTTCCACGCAAAATGTCTGACTGCTTAAATTTGCAGTGTATGGCCGAGTCGAACCTTTGGGAAAACATAAAAATCTAATTCGAAAAAATCATCTCCAATTTTTTGTGGTGAAAGTAAGGAGATTTCACAAAATACCATAATTTACATTTGGTATTTAATCATATTCCAAAGACATTGAGCACGAATATATCAATGTGCCGCATTTCCTGAAAGCTAGTCTTTTGGCATAATGAACAGCTAGAGTTAATGTCACTCAATCGACTAGCCACCAATTTTTCAATATTTCGCCTGAATAATAAAACATTCTATGGATTCAACCTATTGAATAAGTAATAATAATAACAAAATTATGCAATATGGCTAAATTCTCATCGCAACTTAATTTGAGCGCATTATTCACGACATTGTGAATTAATAAAAGCAAAACCTTGCACATTGGTTAGCTACAATTTGAATAGGCTTGGTGTAAAATGTCACAAAAGGCATGATCTAAGCGAAAATTCCAATTTGATGGATATAAATTATTGATGTAATACAGAACGGTATAAAAGGATGTACGCTATCAAAAATGTGCACATTCGAAACACCTTAAACGTGCGAAACGTGCATTCTTAGTGTACTAATAAGACACTCAAAATTTGAATTAAAATATGAGTCCGTTGGAGACAAATAAGCTAGTGCTAACTTGGTTTTGTGTGTATCCGGCTGATAAAAATGAAACGAGTTTAGTGAATTTCGCCCGAATCGTATTTAGTTTGTGCATTGTCCTTGGCATGGTATTTGCATTTGCCGGAAGTGTTGTTTTCTTTTATAGATTTATTTTGATTGATTTGGAAAGCTCATTAGGTGCACTTTTTCAAATCTCTGCCTATTTGAGCACAATTTATATGATTGTTGTTACGGTATTTATGCGTCACCGGCTAGTTGCCATCATCGATGAATTGGAAACGATTTATAAAGCAAGTAAGTTTCCACTACAATCGGCTCAGAACCGCAAATTAAAAATATTGCATGCAAATCGAAGGTACAAATGACGATTGGTTCCAATTTTTGGTGCGAACAAACAATAAATGTGAATGGATGTGGAACTTTTTCTTCAAATACGTGCTTGGTGGATTTTTCATAAGTACCACGTCCATGTTTATTGTGTCAGTTTTTTTGGGCTACATGAAAAAAGGATACTTTGATCAAAATTCTTTGTTTGATCCATATCGAATCATGTGAGACACTTTGTCGAATTCCAAAAAAAAACTTTGTTCAAATCGAATTTCGTGAATATTTTTAGCCTTCCATGGAACCGAACCACACCGATTGGATATTTAGTTTATGGATGCTCGTTTGTTGCTGTCATCGAAGGTTATTTTCTCGCCAATGGAGCTCTGCTCATTCTATTCGTGTCCATATGTATCCATCATGAAGCGTTCTATGACCAATTTAAATATTTTATCAGTAAACTTGATTCGACTGGCGAAGCAAAGCGAAAAAATGAAAGATTGTTGTGTGATTTGATTCGCTTTCATAACATGACAAAAGGGTGAATAACGACAACATCCACATTTTTTCATTCAATTTTCATACTTTTTTATATTGTTTCAGTTGGTTTTTGGAAACATCAGAAGTGCTTAGCCCATATATTTTGGTAATATTGATCTGCAGTATGGTGTTCACGTCGTGCATTACTTTTCAGTTGGATTTGGTAATTTTTCTTATTGTATTCCATATACAGATTAAACCATTTCAATTTTTTATCATTTTCAAAAGCAAATGCGACACATCGACTGGAATATAAGTTTCATGTGCGAAGCAATTATAAATTGCACATCAATTTTATTTTTGTTTTGCTTTTATGGAAAATTGGCTACTGAGAGTTACATGGGCATTTTTCAGACGGCTTACGAAGCCAATTGGCTTGAATTGCCAACGCATTTACAAAAATATTTTATTATCATTATCGGAAATGCGCAAATTCCGCTGTACTATCACGGCTTCGATGTTGCTGTACTGAATTTAGAGACATTCATGAGGGTAAGAAGCAAGAAGATTTTAAAAATAAAATAAGTGAGAATAATCGCAATATTCCGATGCTGCAAGGTTAAGAACGCATTATTGTTTTTTTTTTCTACCACATTGCAGATGATGCGGACAGTTACGTCATATTACTTAATGTTCCGGACATTGACATCGGAATGATGCACAGAAATGATGAAAATGCACAGAAACGATGGAAAGGAGAGTTTATTAATTTTGAATTTACATATAAAATAATTCTAAAATATTATTATCAAAAAAGTTGTTAGTTAAATATTAGAGTCCTAGCCATAGATGATGACGAATTTTTTTTAGAGGGGTGGTATGACAAAATTCCGTAGGGGGTCCCTGAAGATGTCAACAGATTGTAGGAAATGGGGGTAAAATCGTTTTTTTTTGCTCTTCACTTTTTTGGCGAAAATCCAAAAAAGGAATTTTCTCTGCCAAAAAAAGTGAAGAGCAAAAAAATGTCCTCATTTTCAAAATTGTTGAGGGTTCCTAAAAATATTTTAGAGGGGGGTAATCCGAACCCTAGAAACCCTCGTCATCACCTATGGTCCCAGCTAAGACCCATTTATATTAAAAGTGATATTAGACTTTTTCTATTTAGTTACCCAACAACAACAACAACAATCATTTATAGACCGATTTAGTTACCCAAATGGTAAAAATGCGGACTTTGTGTGGAACTGTGTTAATTTAGACGAGACCAGATTTAAGGAACGTGCATACGTATAGTATTACAGCTAAAAATGTACATATTGTATACTGCTTTCCTCTATTTCCACACAACTCCGCGTAAGTCCATTTGGAGTTTAACCATTTGGGTAGTGCGATAAAGTGTTAACAATTGGTCAAAAAATAAATCGGAATGAGATATTTGTCGGTAATTTGCTATTACTAAATGTAAATGATGATATTGATATTTGAACTGAAAATTACACATTTAAAGCACCGAAATACATTTGAATTTATATAAACAGCTTTAAATATCGGAATGTTATTTACGTATTTTATTAGCACTTTGAACCGGAGGCTATCGACATGGATTGATTTTATTGATTTCTCGATTTGAAAATGAATTTTGAATAACCCCCAGTAGCCAATCACAACGAATCAAAAGGATTATGGTATGCAGTTTAGTACGATGTGAAAATATTTGTCCATGTTATGCCAACAGCATTTCGAATCGATGCACATGTGCGATTTTAACCAATGCAAAAGCACACTGACCTGCTTTGAAAATCTCTTGTTAGCAAGTGAAGCGATTTGTTTGACATAAATTGTGTCTTAG